AAAATATGAGAACAAATTTGCATCCATCGAGGTTTAAAAAAGGCCCAGTTGTAACCAAAACTCTTATTGCTCTCCGAGTCCAACATTGTTAGCAAACCAAAGAAAAACAGTTTCCTTGTATTTTACTCATTCTAATGTCCCTCTTGTATCTCATTTTCTTCTCTTGACTCTATCTCAGTAATATCAATCGATTTAAATCCCGTTCTCGGTTACCTCATTCCAATCCTCTTTTTTCATTCATTACATGGACAAAATTGAAACTTGGCATAAATTAATTTTCTGATTTTTTGTTTTGTTTTGTTGTTTAATTTGTGATGCTTTGGAGTTTGGGTTTGGGGGGGGGGGGTCTTCTTTTTCTTTTATTTTGTTAGTTTTTTTTTTTTTAGTTTTTTTTTTTTTTAATTTGTTTATTAGGTCTAGACTCTAGATCTAGATCTAGATCTAGACTAATCAATCCTTATTCCACATGAACACACATCATACTAAACAAACAATCCATATTGAAACTGATATCACGTCAAAAAGGGTTTATTATTACTTGATGAGGAACAGCTCAATTCCATATATTTTGATGCGACAGGCACAGGCCTTCTAAAAATAAAATTAAAATTAAAATAAATAAAATTACTCCAAATGAAGCATCCGAGTATAACGCGGCCGACTTTAACCAAACACGGTCAAAACAGGGGGTGCTAGGCCGCCAGCGCAGGCGACTGAACGTACACCACTCCCCCTAAACAGGTGAACAGCTGGCTACTAAAACGGGACTTAATATTCAAGCTACTCGTATGACAGACTATTTGATAGTATGATAAGCAATCGCCATTTATCACTCTGCGATATCATGAACATTTCGTGACTCATTAACATTTGGTCACTATGAAAACTGTAAAATATTAACCCAAACAACTCACCAAAAAGTTTTGACATCACTTATCGTCTTCGCGAAGCTAGTCTGTTGCTGCCCTCTCTCGTTTAAGGACAGAAAGGAATATCTTCATGCAACGCACGAGTTTTATGGTTTGATAATCAGTTATTTTTAATAATTATGATTAAATTATATCAAAGATCATGATATTTACATCAGAAGTGGAATGTTCTTAAAGACTGTAAAACAGATATGTCAGTAACAAACTCAATGTACTAAATTATTGTTAAAGTTCCCTTGTTTTATCTTTCTTTCCCTCTTGTGGAACTTTCTTTATATTTTCTCATTCTGGTTTTGTATTCTAACATACCTTTTGTGATTTTGTGATCCCGCTACTATTACTACATTTACAATAATAATTGAACATCATTATTCTGCAATAGAAAATATTTTGATTTTATTTGAATTAATCTGATCTTTGCAGTGGATGCTAGAAATGCCCTACGCAAGTGGAGCTGCCGGGAAAGAAAAACAGAAGTAAAAATGAAATTGAAGTAAAATGAAGATTGACAAAGAACAAACAATTTTGTTAAAACCACTGATGATAGGCGAAGCTGAAATAGCTGAATCCAGTGGCGTAGACAGGTTTGTACACCTGGGGGGGATGACTCAGGGACGGATCTAGCTTTTTGCTAAGGGGGGGGGTTGACCAAAATAATGACGATGCGGAGCATCGTCCACGAGCCGCGAAGCGGCGAGCCGATTTTTTTGGGGGGTGTTTATTTGAACCCCGTAAGTGATGTTTTCCTGGCATCTATTAACACAATGGAGACCATAAAAAGCAGTGCATGATAACGTCTTTTTAAATCAAGTAACAGTTAAATACACAGTTATATCCAGAGTTATCATGTGTTTGGTTAAGTTACCAGATGAGTTGAATATCTTCTCACAATATTTGCACTTGAAAGGGTTTCTCTCCAGCGTGCGTTCTTTTTTCTTTCTTTTTTTTTTTTTTTTTTTTTTTTTCCCTTTTTTTTGTTGTTTGTTTTTTGGGCCGCCCAAGGGGGGGGGTTTAAACCCCCTAAACCTCCCCCGTAGATCCGCGCCTGTTTAATCTTGTGGTTATCTTGTGGTTTCCAAACCACATGCTAACCACAAAATACTTGTAAGATTTTCTTTTTCTTACCGTATGAATTGGCTTTCACCTTGTGAATGCGGCTAATAACAATAAACACAATTACAATAATGATGAGGATTATTATTATCATCATCATAATTATTATTATTATTAATATTATAATTGTTATCATTATTATTATTACTATTATTATCATCATTATAACTTATTAAGTAAGCAAATATCATTCCCCAAAACCTGGGGGGGATGATTGTACATGCCATCCCCCCACCTTGTGAGGTGGGGGGGATGCATCCCCCTCATCCCCCCCGTTGTCTACGCCCCTGGCTGAATCAACCATGTTTTGATATACACGACTTACACGTTGCATTGGAAAATGGAAATGAAAGACCAAGAAGACAAATATGGATAGAGAGCAAAAGGTCCTTTCTTACTAGAGGACTTGTTGAAGGGGCATCAAGTTACGGGGAGACGGATTGGAACTAAAAGACGACACCTATAGCTACAAGCTGTTTGAAACGATTACATTACATTACATTTTCGACTCTTGTTTTGCAATTCCAATGGCAATAGGTATTGCGAAATACCTCAAGATTTAAAGCGTTTCCAAACCTATATCTAACACACACAATGATTGTAGATGAAACTCACAATAACGAAGAATAACGTATTCCAAAGGAAAACAAACAAATTAAAAGGGGGAAAAACGACAATTCTTTTTTTAATCCATTTTTACTCTTACTTATTTAAAAATTATTCTAATAATCGTTTTTGGTCTTAAACAAGCGACATGCACTGGATTAAAAAAAAAAAAGATCTATGTGACATTTGCCCAAACTTTTGTTTCTATTTAGGCCTATATTACACCTGGACAGAGGTGGGCAAACATAATGGTCTAACCAAAGGACCTTAATTACTCTCTTTAAAAAAAAAAGGTGTGAATTTTCACTCTATTTTCACTTTCTTGGGAGTGACGTCCGTGATCACTTGTTTAGGAGTGAAAATCGATTGATTTTAGAGTGCTCTCTAAGAAGAAAAGAGTGAATGTTCACTCTATTTTCACTACATTTTCACTCTCCAGAGGAGTGACGTCCGTGATCACGCGATTTTTTTTTAGAGAGTAAGTTATGTATTTGGGGCTCGAATCCATGTTCTTAGCACCCCCTGTTCGCTCTGATCGAACCACTGCACACCATGCTTCTACTTTTTCTTTTTGTTCTTCCTCCGCTATTTCGAGACCATGACAGGGGCTTAGGATTAGTCCTTCATGGGGTTTAATAAAATGCTACTGAACCCCGCCCCCGCACCTGCCCCCACCCCTATATCCACATGATTAATACATATTTTTTCTTCAAATTTCAAATGATTTTATTTCTCATGCAAAACATAATATAATTAATAATTATATTACAGAAAAATATGCAATGAAACGACAAATATAATATAAATAGCACGAGAGAAGAGGAACTAACTAACTAAAAGCGGAGCTTGTTGAAGTGTTTATAGTTCCTCAGATGCTGTTTTACAATATAACATGAACAGAATATACTTAGAAAATCAATAAATATAATTAATATGTGGCTAAGAAATTATGGATTGGGGGGGGGGGGGATTAAAGAGAGGAAAATAGTACTAGAAGGCAAAAATAAAGAAGAATAAAAAAAAAAAAAAGGAAAAGGAATGATTGCAAAAGCTCTGGAAAAGGAGGTTACATCAGTAAAATGAGGGAGAAATAAATTGGGTCAAGAGTCAAACAAACCGAGATACATGTATATGTGTTTACAAAATTATTTTTTTAGCTTTTTTAAAAATGTGTGCAGCGCGCTTTGTAACTGCAAGGAAAAGGCGCTATTTCAAATATCTTTTGGACTGGATTGGATTGAATAGACTTGGTACTTTGTTTAAGAGATATATCCATGCCTATTCCAAAATACTGGACCGGTGTAAATAATTGTTTTTGGTGCGAAGCATTATCTGTGAACACATGGCGATAACATTATATGTGAGCACTTTAAAATATCATTTAAGTGGGAGAGTAATTTTATTATTATTATTCATTTTATTGATTTATTCATTAATTTAGAATTGGCCACCTCGGACAATTGTTTTTTTTTGTTGTGATTGATTGTCGGATAAATTTCCCGAGTAAATTTCAACACTAATTTTAATTATCACATACCCTTTTAATATTTCACGTTTTGCAGATCGGGAGGGTCAAACATAAAATCATTGTTGGTAACGGAATTATTTAGGGAATCTGGCTAAATGATTTTGGGCTTGACATTTATTCTGAAAAACAGGTTAAAGGTAAAGACCAGTTATGGTAATGCGATTGCATAATTGTGAAAGAAACGTTGTGGAATCGATCAGAAAAGGTTGATCATCTAGCATCTAGCATCTAGCATCTGCAAGGTTCTGGAATCATCAACATGATAAGAAATTTGGCCCATTCTTCGTAAAGTTACAAGCACTATACACAGAAAGATGTATATGGGACTACCCTATATCTCTCACAGACCATGAGAGAAACAAATTTACCAAATAGAGTCTATATGAATTAGTAGGCGGTTTCCCGGCAAATTTGTTATCATCATGTATTAGTCAAAACATATTCTTTCACATGATTGGTAATGAGAGCTTCCATTTCATTTTTTGAAATTGGGGCGTTTCCAATACTGGTCTTTACCTTTAAACCAAACTATACAACAAAATCATTCTGAGTTGCAGCCTTTCAGCAAAAATATCGTTATATTCATGTGTGTTCATTTAAATAATGAATAAAGAAACGGTTTATTATAATCATTAGGGTTCCTGTCTATTTTTCCTTGCTCTAGTTTTATCAAACATTTAATTTTAAAATGTTATGAAGATCTTTTCCCTCGGCTTGATAATGCTTTTTTCTAAGTCTATCTCTAACAAGTTGTGGTCTCTGCTCTAGCGCCATCTCGTGACCAAGTCGTGTAGAAGTTGAATGACAGGTGTATGGGGGTTTGAAGCCATTTCCATAGAAGCATAACATCAATCAATTAATTATCTGTGCGCATATTTTCAGCGTGTATATTCTGGACGCCGTTTCACACATATCCTACGGTTAGGTTCAGCGTAACAATATTTAGGAGAGATTGATCCTGGCCCATGAGCTTCATTACATCTAAAATATTAACCTTATACTGATATTACGGCTTTTCTATCTCCATTTCAAACGGAATGTGATTTAGGTCTGCACGTCTGCAGAACAATATAGATTTCAAGCAGGATAGAGCGACCCATCCGGCCAGCAGTTCCGGCGACCATCGCATTCGTTTTGTGGTAACAGTAACGGGTCCAACGGCTTTTTTCTAGAGACACGTCGCGTCATTTTTACCAGGTCACAAAAGCTTGATCAGTTTTCGTAGCTGGCCTGAAGTAGAACTTAAATAACTCTTTGACAAGTGTGTCAACAATCAACAACTCAAATTAAAAATGGCAGCAACAGCAAGGCATGACAGAGAAATGCAGCAAAAAGCAAAAAAGAATTTGGGCAAGAAAGATTTGGATCCGATTGAGAAGTTGAGATGCCAGTGTCTTGCAAGGGGTTCTAAAGGCATTCTTGGACTTGGAAGGTGAGTCTTGTTCTTTAAAAAAAAAATGATGTTACTCTTTTTTAAAACATTAACATTTGTATCAAGTTAGACTTTCAAGTTTCAACAAGGCAATTTTTTACTTTTAACATGTTTTGTCTTTTAACATTTCCATGCTCATGCAGTAACACGTAACATTCAGAAAAAAATATGTTGTACAAAAAATAGGCAGTACTGCAAAGGTAAAGCCTAAAATAAGGTTTAATTAACTTCAACTACATTTTATTCCGATTAGGGCATCTACCCGCGTGTTATCTTTGCAGGTGACAGGCAGGTAGATAGATCCCAATTGATGTTACACTAAAAAAGAAGAAGAATGAAACCACTCTCAGCTCTGTCTCTCTTTTGCATACAGATATTGTATAATTGTGAAGAATTTTTTTCTTTCAAAACCAAGATAATAATGAAACTTCTATCAATATGTCATATAATTCAACTGTTACATTTGGATTTATTGGTTTCTAGAATTATATATTTTTAAATAACCCATCAAAATAATGTGTATTTCAGGGAAAAGATAAGTGTGAGAGCTAAGTTTTATGTACCGGTAAGCTGTTGAAAGCTCTAAATGAGATCAAAATAATTTGAAAATTATGAAAACACAAAATGTTAATGACATAATTTTTATGATGTAGGTGTTATCATGAAATAACATAAACTGTCATAATTGTGTGACCAGACTTGACTGTACCCTGAAAAGTGATGTTCATATTTTTGTATTCCACAGAGTATTCAAGATCATGGATGACGATGGTAATAAAAATCTCAGCTTTTCAGAGTTTAAGAAAGGGTTGAACGACTATGGTGTCCCTCTAGAACTTCCGGATGTCAAGAAGATGTTCGCAGCTTTTGATAGCGATAACAGTGGCACCATAGATTTTGATGAGTTCTTGATTAAACTTAGGGTAAGTCATGACAATGATTGTGCTGATGATGGTGGTGGTGGTGGTCATGGTGATGATGATGATGATGATGATGATGATGGTGATGATGATTGCAATGATGATGATGATGATGAGGAGGAGGAGGATGATTGTCATGACGATGAGGAGGAGGAGGATAATGATGATTGTGATGATGATGATGATGGAGGTGATTACACCTTGGCCGGGTGTGACAAATCAATGACTTGCCAAAGGACATTTGTGCCTTGGCAGGGAATTGATTCCTGTACCTACAGCACCTACATAAAAGACTGAAAGTGAAAATGATAAAGGTAATATAATTCAACACCGTCTAATCTTCTTTAGCGATCTTTTTTTTAATCCAGCTTCTAAATCTGCTGCCCCCATGCTCCTGCAATACCAACCTGTTTATTATTCTACATCAAAAGTACCAAACAAAAGGGGTTAGATGTGTGTTCTTGCATGTGTTCTTCTGCATGTTGAATGAAACATTAAATCAATAACTTTGTATATCTAGGGAAGCCTCAACAGTACTAATACTGTTCTCCTCGGGGGGCCCTGCAATCATATTATCACCCGGGCTTAAGCTGAGCTACCATGATAAATTGATAATGCACTCATGATTTCAAGGAATTTCTTCCTATGGGGTAACCATTCATTACACCTGGTGGAGAGTGGCAAATGTAGATTAATATCTTGCCGAAGGACACAAGTGCCGCAGCGGGATTGGAACTACAAATGTATGTGATTCACAGTCCAGCTACGTATCCACTAGACCACAACACCTCTGCTCTCTCTTTCAGTGAAAAAAATACACGGGGGCTCAGGGCGATTTAGCCCCTGAAATGCCCAAAAGAGCCCCTGAAAATCAGAAAGAGCCCCCAAAAATTTGCATAGAGTTCAGTGCAAAACAAATATTAGAATGTTATTTTCATGCAGGCAAGCTTGAAAAGTAGCCCCCGAAAAATGAATATTAATCTTTTCCCTGCTCTCTTTCCCTCTCTTCACCCAGCCTCCGATGTCACAAGCGAGGAAGGGTGTCATTCACGAGGCCTTCCACAAGCTGGACAAGACCGGAGACAACGTCGTAACGGCAGAAGATCTTAAGGGGGTCTACAACGTCAAGAAGCACCCCAAGTACCTCAGTGGGGAGTTGACAGAAGATCAAATCTTTAGGACGTTCCTTGATACGTTTGACACACCAGGACAGAAAGACGGAAAGGTAAGATGTCAATGAGGATGTTTTTGTAGCTGTGGATCAGGGCTCCACACTTACATTTTTGGAATGGGGTGCAGATCGAATTTGTTGAAGTGTACAATGTACATGTAAAGTCAAACCTGCTTTAGTGACCACTTGTATAGAAAGAACACCTGTCTAGAAAGACCACATTTTTTGTTTCCCTTGAAAATGGTCTCTCTTCGAAACATGTACTAAAGGAACCTGATCATAAAGACCACCTGCCTATCAACATCACTTTTCTTGTCTCCCTTGGGTGGTCTTTATCTTGTACATTCATTACAAATTTGGGGGTCAGGGCCCGTATTCAATAAACTTCTTAAGCTTGAAATCTAAGTACTTTTTCTTAAATTTTGGCTAAGAAAAAATCTTAGCCAAAAATCGTATTCTATAACAGCAATGGGGACTTAAGAAATTTGCCTTAAGATTGGAATAAAAACAATGCAGCGCGAGCGCAGGTTATCAGTTGACCTATATAACAACATAAGCTTTGCGTAATACAGCGTCGACGGCGCAGCGCGCAGGAGCGCCATAGGCTCTGTGTACTTGTACTTGTGTGTACGTTTGTTTGTACACAAACTAAACGAGTAGTAGCATTTACATGCATAACACTAAATCATGACATGGCTGTCGTATATAAAGAAACCGTCTCTTACTCTTTGGCGCTAAAGTATGGAAACAGGGAATAATGTGCAATCGGCATAATTATTAGGTGAGACAAAATTTGTTATACTATGAGTCTGATAAAGGTTACATCTAGCCATTTGATTAATTTTAGGCCATCATAACACTACAGTAGACGATGTAAAACAATGAAAGGGTAGCTCCAAATCCAATGCTAGCGCTGGTCGGCCGGCTAGCGACGGCGCTCCCTTCATACTCACAGACCCTGCGGCTGCGACATAATAAGTAAGCCCGGTTGGGCTCCTCGGAGTTGTTTGACAGAAAAGTATAAAAAGCCTACAGTGGATGTTAGATCTAGCCTCAGGTGGTCTTGACTAGACTGTTTTAGTGTCAGTTGGTCAATCCCGAAATAATTATGTGAGCATCGTTCCTCCCTTACGCTCTCCCATACATGTTAGTGTATAATTTTAGTGCGGTGCGATTTTTATTTTAACACGCAAATTACATAGGCAAATCGAGTTGCAATTAATTCGCTCGAGTCGACCACATCAATTTTCCCACATGACGTCATCGGGTCTAAAAATTTGTCTTATCTTTCGTCTTAGCTATTAAAGACAAACTGCTTTACGTGTTTAGAATACGGCTAAGGCAACTTTCTTAACCTAGACAAATTCTTAGACATTTTCTTAGACTTAAGAAAAATGTCTTAGAAGTTTATTGAATACGGGCCCTGGTCTCTAGACCTAGATTTTGGGTGCCCATGTGCCCTGGCCTCCTGGGCGCCTCTTAGTGTCCAGTCCACATGACTAGTCACTCGTAAAGTCATTTAGGACTAACTTGAGGTTAATACACATACTAAACAAGACCACAGCGATAGGGTGTCAGAGAGCTATTTAATAAAGGATGGGTTTGCAGTTACACTAGCTTTATGGGGAAGGAAGACATGCCGCTCATGATTAGGACAATAGCCCTTTCCAAACCCATGCAACCAAACTGACAAGCATAGTTTTTTTCAGAGAATTACTTTCTTTTTGGGGCAAAGTCCAATGTATTTTCCTTTTCTGAGCTGTACTTAAAAAAAACATGCGCATCTAATTTGCTGATTTTTGTTTTGTTATCTCTGTATCCCTTGTACTCTGTACTTTGAACATGTTTTATTGTAAACTTATCTACTTGTACATGTGGCAACATGAATATGTACCGGTACTTTAATAGTTGTTTCTTTTCTTTTTTCTTCAGTTGGGCACGTACATTTGCATGTGCCTCTTTATGTTCTTCTATTAGAAGTTGTGTTGAATTGCAGTGAATTTCTTCGTACATGTATTTGATGTAATCGTTGTACTTCTATGATGACTTTCCTCTAGATATTGGATGTTTCTTTAAATTAATTTATCCTTCATTAAGCTTGTATCATACTTCCCATTCAACTACATTGTACATGTATATATTCTATGAAGACATTTTGGAATTTTGTTATCTTGCAGCATTCCATGTTAATTTCGGATCGAAATAACTTACATGGTATAGCCGCAAACCTCGCTCAAATCCTGGAATTTTGGTTTTGATTCCATTGAAGCACATTTATTTCAAACTAGTTTCTAATTTATGCGTAACTAACGTAATGTGTCCCGGGATCAAAAATGACTCTCAACTGTAATACATCTTATTCATCTTGAAAACTGTCTGAATGAAATGAAAACCATATCTATCATTTAAAAGCACAAAATTGTTTGATTTAGTTTTCTTTGTTGATGGCTTTAACAAAATTATTTACAATGTGCAATAACTTTTTTTCTGCTAGATTTCTATCATGTTCAATTGTTAATTTACATGTACCTATTCTAATGTCTTTTCACACCCATTAAAGGTTCGTTCAGATATTATGCAATATATTATGACATTTTAATAATGATTAAAGAAAAATATGCTCATCATATCTGTATCTGTCTAAAACGGTGATATTTAGTAAGATGCTTAGGAATTTCGTTGTCTGCAGCTATTTGTTTTTCATCCTGACTTGCCATTCACTTTCATTATATATGTAAAAATAAAAACGTCATTAAAATAAAACACTAGTTTCTTAAAAATCTGTGTGAACGGGCGTTATAGCTTGTTCAAATGCACACTATATGGTACAGTAACCCAATGCCCCCCCCCCAAAAAAAAATGTGTAAAAGAAACAAAGGCCCTACACGTATTCACCAAGCTCTCTCTTTTATGATACAAATATGAAGCATGTTATAAACACATCATCATGAGAAGAAAAAGTTGCTGTTAACCATGCCATATATCTGAACGAGTCTTTAAGATTCTGTTTCTTTTCACCCATTAACATTTCTTCCATTTTCATCCACAAGAGGGTTCAGACAAGTATTTAAATTGTGTTAATGAGCACCAATGTTTTTGTTTTGAAGTGTGAAGAGAAACATTAGGAATTGCTTTGAACAGTGGCTGAGCAATGCAGCAATATGGTGATTGATCGTTTAAAACGTTTTTAAAAAGAACATATTCTGCTTCTCGTAATTTATAAAAATGTCCATTAGTTGCCAGTTCATGTTTTGATACATGTAGGTAATGGCTGTATTTCAGCCCAGAATCATGCCAGTGAAAGACATCTTGTTTTAAACCTGGTAGCATCACTCGCATGCATTCATGAGACCTGTTAAAACTATGCTAGGGCACATATGCCATGTACAACTGTATGTATGTACCCAAAGTAACAGTTTGTGAGAAAAAGGCAAATAATAATCAAATTAAGATGCAACTTCTGTCAAGAAATATTCAAGTTCTAGTTGGGATTGAAAAATCACCTTTCTTGTCTGAACCTCCTTGTGTAAGGCCATTAAAAAAAAAAAAAAACATGTTTAGCATCCTGCCTTTTTGAAAAATAGGAAGGAGGAGGCCCATTTTTTCTTTCCAAAATGGCTGCTTGGTTCATATTCCCTGACAGTCGGGCTATTTTTCAAGCTTGCCGACAGTATTTAAAAAAAAAAAGTAAATCAGAAATTGATCATTTAAGAAGTATGTTTTTCATACTTTTATTCATTGAAAAAAAAAAAAAATAGGAGGTGGCCCCCAAAAAGAAAGCGGGCTGGGAGGCTAAACATGATTTTTTTTAAAAAATGGCCTAAATGTTTGCTATCACTAGATCACCAAAGAGGAGTTTGAAAACTACTACGCCGGTGTGAGTGCCTCCATCGATAACGATGCTTATTTTATACTGATGATGAGAACTGCTTGGAAGCTCTAGCGGTTCCTTCCACTTCTCCATCTCTATGCTTTTCCATCTCTCCAACTTTCATTTGTGAGATTTCTTCTTTCTTTACGCCTTTTTGTTTGTTTTTGTTTGTCTGTTCAGCACTTAATGGTCACTACACATTAGCCCATGTATGATTTAATATCAGGGATTAAAATTGAATGTCTTTTACAACCGGTAGTTTTTTAGTTCTTTTATGAAAGGTTCAGTTGTTGTAACAAGATGTAATTTCTAGTGCTAATATGAGAGAAGTGCTACTAATGTTCAAAGCAACCTGCTTGCTACATGTATTGAAATTTTACCCCCCCCCCCCCCCCCAGTGCTAAAAGGGTAATTTGGAGTTGTAGGCCAAATTAAGGTAGGACCAAGTAAAGTGAGGCCAAATTATGGTGGGACAAAATATAGTGGGTCAAAATATGGTTTGACAAAATATAGTAGGACAAAATATAATGGGACAAAATATGATAGGATAAAACATAGTAGGTAGGCCAAACTTAAGTATTAAAGACAAAAATTGTTATGTAAAAATACAGTTGGACAAAATGTGTTAAAACAAAATATGGTTGGATGAATGGGGGTCACCAATCTAGAGATTTATCTGTTTGTTTACTATTTTAATAAACAACAAATGAATTTTAGTGTAAATTTAACATTAAATTCCATTGATGTAACCCAAAGTATGTGTCGTCTTTTCAGACTTAAAGCCAAAAGGGCGTTACCTCGGTGTTAACACCCCTTCTGTCTTCAAACAGACGATGTACATGTAGGGTTTCATCTAGGAAGGCTTAATCTAATTCAGGGGACGTTTTAATGTTGTTTGGGTAATGTGCTCTTCTAATTAAGCCTCGCAGCATTAGATGGACCGGAATTAATGAATTGGCTACTAGTATGAAAAGAACAATGGAGAGAAGTATCATTGAGATGCTGTATGTACAATACTACATAATATGTACAGTACAATGGCACGATAATGATACATAAGCACATGCAGGAGGCTATGTGAGGACACATCCATATAACTTGGGTATCGGTCATAAGTATAAATTAGCCTCACAAGGTTTTATTATGTAACAATTATCATAATATGACAAGCAGTAGCCAGTAGGTGATATCTTAGTGAAAGGAATGGTAGAAACTCGGTATAAATCCAGATTGATATTTTATCTATCCTGATTTTATCATTCAATTTGTGATCAGTATAACAAATTGTATTCTTGAGCTAATAACTTCTATCATTTTACAATATTTTGTCACTTTGGAGTCAGAATGGCATTAACTCACATTGGTCAGTTTTAATACACAAAATGAATGCCTCTCTGGCTCTAATCAAACAATGAACAATTCTATTGGGCAAACATATATGCCGTGTATCTTAACTGTATGCCTGACTGTTGCATGCTTTTTTTCTTCTCAATAAACACTTCGTAAATTAGTCATCCCAAAATAAATTCATCTTAAAGACCGTCAATACTACTGGGTCAGAAGGGATTAGACCACACAGCGAGGTCTCTGACAGGTGGCTATCTCATTAACTCAGCTCTCAACTACCATAAGAAAAAGAGGATCATGGGGGACCAACAGGCACCGATTGGGGAAGTTTTCTATAGAGGGAGCAAGTAGCTACAAGTTGGACAGTGGGGCTTTAATAGTGCTATTTATTACCTCATAACATGCATGTACATGTATATGTTTATTTTGTTGTTGTTGTTTTCCTCATGTATCTATTTGCCTGGTGCATGTACTGTATTTATTAATTATGCATCATACTGGACCAAATAAACTATTTCCTACTTTCAGTTTCTTGTCCCCTCCTTCGAGACCTGCCGCGGCATTAATGTCCTTTGGCAAGACATTGATCTACATTTGCCACACTCAACCCAGGTTATGTAAATGGGTACCTGGCAGGAATTGATTCTTTGAAATGCTAGAGCGCCACAATGGCAGCACAGCTAAAGCCGGGGTGATAATCTCCAAGTGTGGAAGCGCTTAGTGATTCTAATGAGCGCTATATAAAAAAACTGAGTATTATTTTCCTTTTCTTTTTTTTTTGGCATTCCTCAATTTCTTCTCATTTGAAATTATTGTTCTGAAATTGAAGTATTTATGACTCTGTGAGCATATTCAGCATGTCTTATTCATTACACATATTGCTTCTAATCTCCTGGGTATGATGCATTTTCCCTTTTACTTAAATACCTCAGTTAAAAACAATACCAGGTACAGTATTTATCTTTCCTTGGGGGTGCACTTAGCTCCAGTATATGTGACAAAGAAAATTCTCATGCACTTGTTTGCTTAGACATCATTCATGTTGCAATTACAGTACAGGTAAATGATACTAGAATGTACAATGTAGAGAATTAATTGGAGACTGAAATGTAGGGAAGCTGTCTGGCTTGAAGAGAGAGAGAGAGAGAGAGAGAGAGAGAGAGAGAGAGAGAGAGAGAAGATGGAAGGAAATACACATGATTGATATGAAGAAACAATACTAGAAAAGAGAATGAGAGAAATAGGAGAGAGAGAGAGAGCGAGAGTGACAGAGAAAGGTGGAGAAAGAGAGAGAGAGAGAGAGAGAGAGAGAGAGAGAGAGAGCGCGCACTGGTGGGCAAAATTGACAATGCTGAAAATACTTCAAGTATTAAAAGCAACAAGACATTGTGGAGCTGTTGTTGCAATCTTAAGTATTTGAAGGAGAATGAGAATGCGAGAGAGAAAAAAAAGTTGGAAATCCAACCTCTCTGCATGTGAATGTTTTGCAGTCAACCTCTTCTCTACCATAGACAAACACTTGGTAATCTTGGTTGCCATGGTAATTACATCCTGTAGCATCAGGTTGTTTTTCCCCTTCCTCTTTTTTTTTTCTTCTCATGAATACATTGGATGAATCCAAATTGATTGAGTATAACTTCACAGCACAGCTCAGTCTCATTTCGAAAGGAAGGAGAAGGAAGGAAAAAAAAAAATCTTTTTCTTCTCCTTATTAATGAAATACAATTCAATCTTGTATTTGGGGTTTACTAGATTTTCATGGGGATTTGTTTTGCATCTAAAATTAACTCATGCTGGAATGTTTGGGTAGGTTGAAATAAGAAATTAAATTAGTTTTTGTAAAAAGAAATGCATGTTCACACTATTACTGCTCCTGTTTTGACAATTTGCTTTAAAAAATTCAAATGAAGGATGTACACGTAATTTGGAGATGAAATAAAAGAGAAAAAATGAAAGATTTTATTTGTATCCTCAGATATTGTCAGATATTTTCTACTACAGTCAAACCTGGCTATAAAGGCAAGCCAAGTGAAACAGAGAAGAGGCCGATTTGCACACGTGGCCTTTCTAGACAGGTTCTACAACACACCTTTCTCAAGCGAAACAAAACTCATGGCCACTATAGACAGTTGGCCTTTATAGATCCCAGAGAGGTGGTCACACATAGACAGGTTTGACTGTATACTATAGGCCCTACTGTGATATAGACTTTTACACTCTTGTGTGGTTGTACAAGTTAAATAAAGCAACAATTTTGAAAGTCTTCTGGAAGTTAACCTTTTGAAGTACAAACCTTTTCATTTCTGTAAGAATGTGGGGACTTGCTTGTATGCAATAATAATAATAATAATAATAATAGTGGGTTCTTGTATAGCGCTCGTGTCTGTCAGACTTGACACTCCTGGCGCTCCTGATTATTATTCCAGGTGGCTTTAGCACGGCTGTCATTACGGCGCTTTAGCATTTCAAGGAATTAATTCCTGCCTGGTACCCATTTACAATAGTACAGTATGTTCCAAAATGTCCTTTCTGAATGTTATCTTGTATCTTGCCATGTGGCCAATATAGTGTAAACATGTAGCTAGCTCTGTCAAGACCATTTTGGAGGGGTAACCATGCAAATATCCATGTATCCCATCATGCAATATAGTTTCATGTATTAAAAGGATATTGAATGTCAGGCTACTCATGGAAAGAGTTGTTTTCTCCCCCCCCCCCCTCCCCCCTCCCCTAAAAAAAAGAAGAATTAGCAGTGTTCATGCATGTGGCTACACCAACCTGGGCTACACCCTATATTGAAATCAATATTCCTTTATTTTCTTGTCTGTGAGCTTTCATTCCCATACATCTCCAAAGTACTCTCACCTCCCTCAGGCTCCCTGCATGGACCTCAATGTGTATGCATGCATGCGCTCATCGGGGGAAAAGAAATTGTCTGCACTGCGAAATGTATCATCTGTACCTCTAATTAGTATATTGTAGCAAAAATGTCTAGCTAATTATTTGTTTGGAGTGAGACGTGCTTATGGAAAATATCCTCCTGCCTCCAAACAGAAATGGCAATTAGTGATTTAGTATCTTTGATTGTGTTTACATACTAAATGAAACGGTTTAAATAGGTGTTTTATATATATCTTACCATATTATCATGTGTCTCTCATCAAATTATTTACATTCTGTTTGAAATGACATAATCAGTTTGCTATAAATGTTGACTGATATTATTATGGTATTGTTTTTTTTTTTTTTTTTTTTTTTTTTTTGGGGGGGGGGGGGTCAAATGTTGCAAGTGGGGTAAAGCCTACAAATGTAATTCATTTTTCTAGTGGATCCGCACTCGTAACTGTCACTCTAAATTTAATGCACTTTTCTCGTCCTTTTTTGTCTTCTCTAGATCACGCAAGAAGAGTTTCTGAACTACTACTGCGGGGTGAGCGCTTCGATCGACAATGACCCCTACTTCCTCCTCATGATGAAGACCGCCTGGAAGTTATGATTCCGCCCTCTACAGGCAGTTTTTGAGTAGCTTTTGAAATATCGCGGCTATCGCCAGAATGTGGGTCAACGACGGGTGGGTCAAAATTGATGCAGAGCTTAGAACAGGGCTTTGCCCCGAAAGCAAAGTTTTAATCAATGTATTGTGCTTCTGCTGTTAGATATTTTTGTAAGATAATGATTCATTTTCTCTATGTGTTTTAATAGCAGTTGGTTTATTTTTTAAATACCAGTAGATTTGAGAGTCACATTAATCTGAAATGTTATTAATTTGTTGTTGTTGTACAGTTAGCTTCTTCATATTATGAATTGGGTTGGGGGGGGGGGGGGGGGTGGGGAAGATAATAGTCTGAGAAAGTCACTTATTAGCTTTTCATTAGTGCATGTAGCATGCTTTCTAACTCACATTGTATAATACATACATACTAGGGATATGCTGTGACATATTGCCGTTAATTCAGTACAGGCTCTAAAAGAGAGAAAACGGCTCATTCAAGGCTCCTAGGTAAAGAGCTAAGAGATGACAAGGCTTTTAGTCCGTTTTCATGTATCTAGGTTATGTCATCACCACCCTGCTATCACAATACTCGCTCTATAGGGAGAGTTCAGAAAGACAAACAGATCAATACTGTTAGTATAGGATAGTATGAGAGAGAGAGAGAGAGAGAGAGAGAGAGAGAGAGAGAGAAAGAGAGAGAAAGAGAGAGAGAGAGATGATAGTGTAGAGAGAGAGAGAGAGAGAGAAGGGGTGTGGGAGAAAGATACAATACTGAATAGGAGGATAAAGAGACGGAGAGAGAGCGAAAATCAGAGAGAGAGAGAGAGAGAGAGAGAGAGAGAGAGAGTGAGATAGGGGAAAAAATATTGGAAAAGAATAGTGAATGAATTTAGGAATAAAGAGACGGAGGGAGAGAGAGAAAGAGAGAGATGTAGTGATGTAGGAATAGAGGACGTTTGCCATATGGGGAGAGGAAAAAAGAGCATTAAGATGGAGGGGGGGGGGCTACCTATGTACCAAATAAATAATTAAATATCTATTATCTCGAGCAATCCTTCCTTTCCTTTGTAACTTTATTGAAGGAAAAGGGTGGAAAGACCTACAAGCAACGAAAGAGAGTAATGACGAGAGTAAGACAGGATAGCAAGAGACCAAATGAGTTGGAGGGGGGGGGGGTGTGATTGAACATACACCTAGAATAAATCCAAAATGTAGACGGCAAATTATGAAGAGATACACGGATGAAATTATTGCCTAAAGCAACAGATAATGTGAAATATGTATGCTCTGCAAATGATTTTTTTTCTTGTTGCCTGTAAAGCACTGGAAAGAGAATCATGAAGGAAATTTGATACAAGGGCTCGAGTGTGCCTGTTCAGTCTTGTGAACGTAATTTTCCTCCATGTACTTGACGACGTCTAGAAGCACACATTACTTTGGGGGTTAAGAACAAAATCGATTGTCTTTTCAGAGTTTGATATTTAAGAGCAACAAATGATCGCCTTTTAACCTTTTCTTTTTTTATTCAGAATTAACACTGCCATTGTGATGCAAGAAAGATTGGAGTATTAAATTTGTCACAATGAGGAAATTTTTTAAATGCTCTGAGAAATCTTCCTTATTCAAGTTTTTTAATGTCAGGTGTGTCGTTCGGGGGGGGGGGGGGGGGGGGGGAGGGGCTAGCTCCTTTGTTTCAACCACATTCAAAACTAAATATTTTTGTTTTAATCCAGAATTTTTTACGATCATGATTTTGACCAATCACCACTTTAGTTTTTTGTCTAAGCCATGGATACAAAAACCCAGTGGTATAATAAATCAGAGTTAATTTAAGGTACTCTCTAGGATTTTAATATATATATTTGTTGCTGCTGTATTGTTTAACAACATTGGAGAAACGTGAAATACACAATCAGTGGTTTTTATTATCGTGGTTGCTGTTTTTGTACAGTATGCAGTATTTTAAGAATGTGAAATAACACAGCAGTGGAATGAATACTAGTATGAAGTGATAAAATCCCCTTTGTGCTCAAATTTCACATTCTTGTGATATTATGTGGGAGCGTTTAATTCCAACAAAACATTACTATGTGATCATAAATGATGATAATTATAAGTGGGGTAGCTAAATTAGGGCACCATGAGTGCGCCCCCCCCCCCTCCCTCCCTCCAGATGAGTGATGAAAACAAAAGAAGGAGAGAGAAAAGGAAAGGGATAAGAGGAAAAGGATGAGCAAAGAAGGTACATGGACCACCTTCCGCCCCCCTCCAGCTCTCAATGGATGAAATCACGCTACACTACTGATTATTGAATGTGTTCACTCATGTAAACCTTCATGTACACTGTAAACCCCAGTCTGTCATTATAATTAGAGAAAAAGAGAACGTAATTCTTGGTTCTCATTTTACTAATTTCATACCACAAACCACCTGATCAGCTGAGTTTTAGAAGGGCGCTTCAGAGCTGCCAACCATTCAGTTTTTGCCGGAATTACTCCGTTTTTTACTCCACATTACGTTTTTTCTTCATAAAATACTTTAAAATTTTTTTTTTAATTCAATTAATTTTTTAATTTTTTTTTTTTTTACATACCGCACGTCAAACAACTGCCCTAAAATGGTGATTTGATCACAAATTCAATAGAAAACTAATTTTAAAACATACTTGAAGAGAAAAATATTCTCAAAAAGAATGAAATGCCGATAATACCAAAATAACCACCAAAAAAATTACCTGCTTGTATGGAAAAAAACAGCATGATGAATGAACATTTCTGCATTGGAAGTGTGTCGCGCGTGGTTGTAAGTTTCGTTTTGATTAATTCCTTTTTTTGCCTGAAATTCCTTTTTTTTTGCCATCATGATTCCTTTTTTTAGTCGCTCAAGGTTGGCAGCTCTGCCGCTTGGTCTAGTAAAATATATATGCAATAATGCCCTTCTGGCTCTCAGCAGACTGAATACTTACATTCTGTTTTCAAGAAAAAATCACTAATTTGTTTTCATTAGAAAGATGCACATACTGGATAATCGGTAATTCTTTTTTTGGAATTTTTAAGAAAGAGAGATGATAGTGTGTGGGTTAAAAAAATAATAATCCATGCTTTGTTCAGGGTAGGCCTATGTTCTATGCTGTTCTATCTTTGGTCCAGATATGTGGCACTTTGAATGACGATGATCATATTTATAATGCCCCCCCTCCCCCACCCTCACAATTCTCTTTATTGTACATAATTGTTATAAATGATGTAAATATTACTAAAACATGGCTGTGATATATATCCTATAAAGCATACATGATTTCTTTTGTAAATATAATATACCTTAATTGTCTGATCATGGAAATATGGATGAGCTAGAAACTGAATCACATAGAATCATCATTTCTCCGAAGACCCAACCTTTTATCCAAGCGTAGACCATAATCGTAGCACATATTTGTATATTTGAATTCAAGACATTATTATACTTGCTCCATGTGCAACATAACTATTATTGTAAATTTATTCTACCAATATACATTTGTACTGTACACTTATAAAGAAACACTATTTCTGAATGACTTAAATTATATGTCCACTGCCATCCTTTTCCAATGTTCCATATATTGATTTTAAAACATTTTAATTAAAAATATATTTATGGTTGATTTGGTTGTTAAAAAATGTGCGGCAATTATGCAGCCAGAATGTTCGTGTTTATTAATCACTTTGCCAAATTCACTCTTATTCAGAGGAGCTCCAGACTCCAGTGAAAATTGAAACAATTGTAAGAGCTTTTTTTAAATGGTGAGAGAGCCCAATCAGCTGCAAAAACAAAGTGGGAAAAAGTGTCCTTGGGTATGTCAACCATGCTTCCTTAAAACAGCAAAGTCGTCTGTTGAGAGTTAGTAGGGCATTGGAGACAGAGTTAGCGCCCTTCTGGCACAAAATCAGACAAAATATTGATAGAACTCTTTGCTTGGAGAACTGCATGCAACTGCCCTGTGCAGTGCTATTTGTTTACTGGAGAAGTAGTGGAAATTCTACCAATAAAATGGAAATTACAGTAATGTATAGCTCAATGTATTCATATTAAAACAAGTATTCAGATTTTACCTTGCATGGTAGGAATGGTGTGTCATGAAATGCATTAAATATTATTTCGAAATGAGCAAAACATCTGGATCGTATATATTGCTATTTTCCTATGTTTCGTTCATGATCTCTCATGTTTTTAAAGTTACATGATCAGAACAAAAAGAGATGTTTTTTATTTAGCTAAAATTAGAACCATGTTTTTTGTTTTAAAAATACCAACTGAATCCCACAGTGCCATTTGTACAGTCTTTCTTATCTGATCTGAATAATGTGCCTTTGCTTGAATAGGGAGAAATAGTAAAAAGCATCACAGCTTAGAAGCCGACAAAACCTCTACAAGCGACTCCTGGCTATGTGTGCACCAAGTAGTGTTTTTATAATTAAAAAAACACATTGTTACATGTATTGATAGTCAATAGAATATGTTTTGTCAGCAGAATGTCCAAAAATGTCGCCAGAATATCAAAATAAAAAAATCTTTTGCATGTGGATTTTCTTATATTGATCAGTCCTCTGATTTTTACGCTTACTGTTTTTATTTTTAAGCATATAGATTAAAACAGTAAAATGTGTCCATTATATCTGCACATTTAAGATTCTTTTATTACACTGTACCTTTTTATCAATTGGATTTTTCTCTTTGTTGTATTGAAGATTTACTAGCTTGTATTGATATATATATCTGCACCTTGAATTACAATCATTCCACTGCATTACCTTTTAATCCAACTAATTGTGCTAAAGCCTTGATGTTTGTACAATTGTATACCTTGATATTGATGATTCAGTAATTTATTTATTTTACCTTTTAAATGAAGAGAATTAATGGAAGAAGATGAAGTTTGAGAAGCCAATCATTGAATTTTTTTTTTAATATCTCTCAATTTGTCTGGAAAGATACATGTATGAAACTATTGAATGCAAGAAGTAGAGACCATTGTGAAATTTCTCATTGACTTTATAATTTTTGTTTATCATATTACTAGCAGCTATAACATAATTTTTAAAGGATTGATGTCCCATTGTATCTTTTAAGATTCATATATGATGTGAAATAAGTTATAGTTTAAGTCAGCAATTCCATTTTGATATGTGATACTGATTTCGGGCTGTCTAAAATGATAAATCTACTTGTATTTTATTGCATGGCAGTCACTCTTACTTATTGCTGTGTCATGGAAACATAAGCTTTGTGAGTCGGTAAGAAATCATGTTGACATGCTTATGGCTACCCTAGTAGTATAGTGAACACTAATGTAATGCAGGGTTTTAGGGATATTTGCGATGTGTCTTTTTTTTAATTTGCTTGATTATTTTGAAATTGGTATTTGTATGCAAGTTTTAAATGTTTTTTTATCAAGTGTCACATGTATAAGAAAAACAAGTTTTGTTGTTCAGATCCAGTGATGGTAAGTCATTAAGAAAAGATCAGTTCTCCTGAGTGTCACAATTGCATTCAATTTTATGAAATTAATACACTATTGTGCATGTTGTGTCTTATATTCATAATGATAATAATTCTTTTTGACATCTAAATGTTGCGAATATCAATCTTGCACATGTTTTAAATATTTGGCAAAGAGTAGATGGAAAGAGTCTTTATGAATTTAATATGAATGGGTTGCATTTAGTGTATCCTCATAAAACATGAAGATCATTGCTCACTTGAAAGGGAATTGCATGGAAATTAAGATAAAATACACAGTGTTTGAACTCAAATTGGATCATGGATTTTTTGAACTCTGATAAATTCCCTCGATAAAGGTCTTCACCTGGTTGCCATCATTTTGACGAATATGACAAAATAAAGTGATTTTAATATCTGTATAGAAATGAACTGAAATCTTCTTTATTGCACATGTCTCGATTAAAGTGTATTCAGAAAATAATTGACAGTGGTGGTGATGATGATGGTGATGATAGTAATCGTGTTGATGTTGATTGTGACTGATATAAAGGCACTGATGGTGATGATAATGATAATTAAGGTTGTGGTAACAATGATGTTACTGATGATCATAATCATAAATGTGATGCTAGTGACCATAATGATGATGCTGATGGTAGAGAGTGAGCATGATAGATTGGATTGTGATTGATCAAGGGGCTGATGGTGATGAGGAGGTGAATTGAGGATGGTGGTAGTTATTATGAATATAAAGATAATGGTGATGATAATTATTATAATATTATTAAAGCCCCTCTAAAGTGATGGGAGGTCAAAACAATTGATGGCAAAATTGTATCATGATATGAAAGAGGATGTCATTTATAACACATTTCTGCAAGGGTTTTCAAAAAAAATGTTTAACATTATAATACAATTTAAGTGATATTTGCCATCAAATTGTTGGCGAATGTGGGGCTCCCAACACTTAAAGATAATGACGCATTCAAAAATTTGCTTTTGGTGGGTTTTGTCACACAAAGTTGTATCTAGTGTAATGTCCAATTTGGCGAATTCCCAATAAAAAATGCAAGTAATTACTTTATGGCAATTTTGATAAGGTGACATAGGCTGAACTGCAATGCGAAAGATTTGAAAGAGTAAATATTATTATCATTACAATTATCACAAGATGAGCATGTTTGTACATTGTGATTTATTAGCCATTCCTCATAAGGCAACATAATTTTGATAAAGGTAATTTAATGTTAACACTGAATGCGATGATAACAGTGTAATTGTACTATTAATTGATTGTTAATGATGGGGAATTCAAGTTTATTTTTATTCCCAGGTTATGTTCCGGATATCACTTTTGTGTTGCTTGTTTTCTAGCAGACGACGAACTAATATGGTTATCTATGCAAATACTGCCCGGCCCCCCCACTCCGAGAACGGACGGACCCCATGCGTGTTGCCAAAATGTCCTTTTCGTAACAAAAGAAAAAGGTCGACCCGTATTGACTTGACACATCGGACTTTTGCTGAAAAGGGGGGGGGGGCTGCTGAAAAAGGCTCATATACAAAAGAAAAAGGTCGAGCCGTATTGACTTTACACACGGAACTTTTGCTGAAAAGGGGGGGGGGGGGGGGTCGGTTGGAACACGCATATGCGTACCCTAAATAACACTGAGTGGGGGGGGGGGGGGGCGGGGAATACTGTACCTTTGGCCAGCTTTATCGGTACTCTATGTGAATTAGTTATACTGCCCTCTATCGAGCCTATAACCGACATGATCACTTAATAACAATCACATGATCACAAATTATGTTGCCGTGTCAAGTTGTTAGAACAAGAGCAAGCATCCGTTTTCTGTTTTAATACTTAGTCAAGTTAACTTTGGATTCCTGTGTAATCCCGATTGAAAGATAAATGAGGGCGTCCAGTCGGACTTCAGCAAGGGAAGCAGAGAGACGAAACAAAACTGTCACTCATTCTGCAAACGGACCGTATCTTGAGCCAGTTGAGGCAGAGGATTCATCGGGTTCGTGTCGTCCTCTACGCCGGCAGGAGCGGGTTTGTTTGGGGGCGGAATCAGCTTCTTCTGCTGCAGGGCCAGGGGCGTATTCTGACTGTCCACCCTCTGTTATATTAACGTCAGCTCGTGGAGATATTAATTGTTCAGGTATTTTCAGTTACTCACTAATCTTTTGAATGGATGAAGACCTCTACTTTGGATAATACTTAATCATAATGAAGAGCCAGTTTAGACTCGACTACTAGTCTAACTGTTAGGACTTAGGCCTAACGCTAACGTTACATTTTATATTTGTTGGTGTGTGTTTTGAAAATTTTATGTTTTGTGTGATTGAAAATCAAATATCTTTACTTTCATTTGATTTTGTATACTGTACAAACAAAAATACTAGCTGTAAGTAATCTTTTATGTACGTAAATATGGAATCAGTCTATATTGTTACCAAATCTGTCTGTATGAATAATTGTAGCAATATTAAGGAGATGATTCAATACACATACATTTCCCATCCTTTTTAGTATTTAGTTTATAAAGGTTGCCCAAAGAATATATATTTATTTTTCCTAGGACAGCTAGCTAGAAACTGTGCCATTTAAACTAAATTGTATCGCTACTTTTTATGAAGCTATTAAATCGGTAACACAAAATCAGCCTTTTATTTATAATATCATCGACCATAACTGAAATTTTACATGACAAGAAGATTTTGTTGCACAGGGATTTTGTTGCACTTGGCAAAACCAACCTTAAAGATGAAGTTGAGTTCTGGTCATGCGATTGCATTGTGAAAGAAACGGTGGGGAATCGACCAGAAAAGGTTGATCATCTAGCATATAAGAATTTGTGGGTATTGCAAGGTTCTGGAATCATCAAAATGATAAGAAATTGGCCAAGTCTTGGTAAAGTTACAAACACTGTACACAGAAAGATGTATATGGGACTACACGAACACGTGGCGTAAAAAACCTACCCCCCGAGTTTTACGATTTACATGACATATTTAGAATATGAAGGCATTTGAAGAGCCATGCTTTTCAGGGAACATGTCTTATCTGATGTTCTTCCACACTTGCATAATAAGAATGATAACGCTCACAAATTATTTTTCACCTCTTCCCAGAACTCAACCTTCTCTTTAATGACAATGTTTTTTTTCTCACAGACCCAACCATGAACACGTTAGCAGCCCAGACAGCCTGCGGTGGGGGCAGCTCCAGATCCCTCAACAGAATCGGCCGTTCCGAGTGTAACCATGACAACTTCAGCAACCTCAACAACGATTGTAGCATCCAGAATGAGTGTCACATTGGGAGCAAGCCTACATCAAGTATGGAGGAAGACGATGTGTTTGGCGCTTCGATAGGCACCCTGAGGAGCAGGCAGGAGATGCGCTGGGAGCTGAGGTACTTCTTCATGAACCCGTATCTCAAGTACAAGAAGCGAGGCCGCAAACCCTGGAAGCTGGGAATTCAACTCCTCAAGATTATCTTTGTTACTATTCAGGTAAGGGGGAGAGACTTGTGGGTCACAGTGGTTAAGTTTGCTTTTCTCTTTTCAAGCACAGGTAATGTCAAATCATCAAAGCTTGTAAAAATGTATACAGTTTCGTTAGAAAAGAGGGAAATAGAAAGAAGCATGTTACATTGTAAATATAGTCTCATTTTGTTCTCCTTGTTTTAAAAGAGATATGTACCGGTACAAGATTATTTGACATTCTATCCATGATTAATTGAGATTTATAGTGTAAATATCTGCAAGGAATGCTACATAACGGCTGTACACTCCCCTAAGCTACAACTCTTCCGTAATTTATTTTTTACAGACGTGTATCAATCAGAAATGATTATTTACGTCTGGGGACCAACTTTTAACGTCACTACCCGAAAGACGTGACTCAGTTTTGAACCTGCGTCCTCAGCAGAATCAGTTTGTAACTTCCATTATAAGCTGGATTACAGGCGCACGCCACAACGCCTCGTTGTGGCAATTCAATCTCAGTGTCTTACTCTCTGCAATGTACACACAACACACACACACACATACACACTGATTAGGGAACTTTCTTTGCATGGATTTACACAACGAAGTGCGTTCATATTTTGCTTGTTGCAGGCTGGCTTCATTTTGCAGAGCGGAATCGCAGAAACCGAGATATGATTGAAAGTACATTATGGAGCTGCTTTCAAGGCTCTTGTGTATTATCTTAAAACAGAATCAACTGTCAGAACCGTAAAATCAGGAGTCTCGAGCGCTTGACTCTGAATGAATGGGAGTCGACTCCTCAGTTCTCGGAACTCGAGTCGGGTAGAGTCGATTACTCGACCAGCATTCCAAGACTCAAATGCTATAGTGAATATGCAACTAAGATAATAAGAAAAAAGCTCTATAATTACTTTTTCCTTTTCCGGTATGTAACAGTCTGTATTAATGAATTTAATTTTAAGTGAATCATTTGCAAATGGTATGGGGTCACTGATGGGCTCAAGGTCAAAAAAGGAACGAACACCTCAAGTGTACGTGCTTTCAGTTTCAGTTCAGCTTAACAGTGTTTGTAATACAATCCCAGAGAGGCAAAACAAAGCACTTGTAAAAAGTGATACTTATGGTACTCAAAAGTAAAGCACAGCTCTGTGCAAATTTACTAATATAGGTTAAGTTCCTTTTCTGTAAGGTCTTAAAATGTTTTTCAATGACCCCAAAACAACCTTCAACAATGTTACTGAGTCTCTTTACGTGTTATAAGCTACTGAAATCCTTACATTTGATTGGCCGAGAGCAAAGTTGTTATAGAAATATGACACTTGTTATTGATAACAAGTTTTATGAAACTATTACTGAGACACTTCTATGCTTCCAAAGGAAACCACAGTACATCCAAGGCTAGAAATCACATGGGATTTTCTAATTCTGGAGTTCTGGGAAGTCCACCCTGACCACAAGTTGGTATAAACGAAAGCAGGAAAATATCAGAAATGGATCAGTAGAAATCAGAGAAAATTTCAATGAGAAAGGAATGAGTATTGAGAATTATGATTAAATGCAAATTGGCACTTCTACTATGATTGCCCTCTCAAATTGCATTCTCGAATTTTTCAGAGATTGTTTTAATTGTACTGAGATTTGCCACATTAATGCTCTCCTTCGTTGTTGATGAATGGACCCACTTCAAAGAAGGGATGTGTAGAGCATGTTTTCTTTGAGAACGATTGGAGAGAAATGAAAATTTAAAGGGGGTATAGCATGATGAGACTACGGGTATGTGTCTTTCCCCTGGCCTGACTACGAACAACACGACCACAGTATTCATGTGCGTGCAGCATACGCGAAACCAAGGCATGAGGAGAGCGCGTGCTGACCATTAATCAAGTCCATACATGTACGTTTACATTCAGTTGTCCAAATGAAATCGTAATGACATAAGGTTCCAGTATTAGCCATGCTACACCCCTTTAACATCCTGAAGGCTTCTGGATTCTTGTTCTAATCTGGGATCTTTTTATTTGAGTATTTAAAACAAAAATGAAAGCAGATTTATGTCATGAGGATAAGGGGGCTTCCTGACATTTTTCCCCAGTACAGAGTTTTATCATGCAAATTGAAAGACAAATAAAGATGTACGTGTTTAGCGTTTGGGGAAGTACAGTCTGATGAAGCTGCGAAGTGCAGGAAGTGAAAGTACAATGATTTGAACAAGGAATGCCCTTTTTTTCCACATTTTAAATCAACACAAAATTTAAAACAGATGGAATTGTAAAGCGCAGAAAACATAGAATGTGAAATCACTCTATGTACATGTACTTCACAAGACAGCTAAAACAAAATGCAATTACATGGTTACAGTTTAATTGAACAGATAAATTGCTTTATAATAGAAAGCGAAATTATTTACTTGGGCATGAATGTACTATAATATTGATGATACAGTAATATTGATAACTTAAAGTCTAACAAATAAGATGCCATATGAATAGGAAAACTGAACTCAAATATCTGTTTCTAATGATACACACCGGAACCCCATCATGAACACCCCCCCCCCCCCTCAAAAAAAAAAAAAAAAAAAAAAAGAAGAAGGGAAAAAAAAGAAGAAAAGGAATATGAGTAAATAATAACCAGCTATAAATGTATTTGAGTACCGCATTCCTTGTGTCAAGAGCAGGAATAATGGGCACGTTATGGTCATTTCATGTGATTGCATTTCTACCTACATGTTCAGTAGTACATTTCTAAAAGTGTGATGTAGAATTATGGAAAGTACATGTACATGTATGTGTATAACGAGGATGATAATGTTACAGTTTTAATCAAGGAAGACTAGACTACAAACCTTTCCCTGAATAGAGAATGCATGTGTAATTGAATGTACATTGACAATGTATGTTTTTGTTGACCCTTTTGTGACAAAGAGTCCACTTTTTGTGGTTTGGCTCAATATGGCAGATGAATGAGAAGAAAGGGCAAACATTTCTGCAGAGACTGCATCCATTTTTGTTCCACGACTGCATTGCATTTGATGCTATGAATTTTAAAAAAGAAAAAATATTTCTAAATTTCTTAAATTGGCAACACAATGAAAACAAAATTTGGCAACATTCTCGTCTGTGTGTATTGTTTCCAAAGACATCAAATTTTATTTATCATTGAAAGGATAAAAGAAAAATATAATTGCTGCCAATTTGAAGAACAATATGTGATCAATTTAGCCCTATGAATACACCCTGTCCTTCAAAGGTTAATGATAAAGTCTGATTGCTTTCTTCACAGCTGGTCTTGTTTGGAACAAGCCAGTTCTCTCTGAACAAGTTCTACGAGGGAAACCAAGAATCCTTTGAACATTTGTTCCTGAAAGACTGGAATACGGGCTATGACTCCACGGCCTACCCAAAGAGCGATGAACTTTACGCCATCTATGAAAAAGAAGTCCTCTTCAGACACCTTGACTATGTAGCATATCAGGTAAGTTTGCTTTTTACTTTACTGTGTTGTTTTTCAGAATAGCTATATACAATTGTACATGAACATGTACACACTGGACTGTCATAGTCTTGAACTTGACAACCTGGACCACTTCAAAGCTTCACTCAAAACTCACATCTTCCTTCAGACATTTAAATGCTAACTTTATTGGAGGAGCTCGCACCTTTGAATGTTTTTTTAAAACAGATATATGGCGCCATACAAATGTTGTGAATCATCATCATCATCAACTTTAAAGATAAAGTTGAGTGCTGGTCACGCGATTGCATTTTGAAAGAAACGTTGTGGAATCAATCAGAAAAGGTTGATCATCTACATGTAGCATATAAGTATTAGTGAGTACTGCAAGGTTCTGGAATCATCAACATGATAAGAAATTTGGCCCAGTCTTGGTAAAGATACACACTGATGCACAATACACATGTGTTATTTGTGTATGCTTTAATACAGAAAAGTTGCTCTCGAGTTTTGAACATTAAACAAAAAAAGAGCATTAATTTCAAACCATCGTTCTAATGAGCTTTCAGCTTGAGGGTTTGTTTGAAGTAGGCTTCATCAACGAGGTCAGCCTTGATAAATCATCGTCACCTGATATAGTTAATAGATGATCATGTGATTATTACAGTATATATATCAAGTTAAAGGTAAAGACCAGTTATGTTCATCCGATTGCATTGTGAAAGAAACGTTGTGGAATCGATCAGAAAAGGTTGGTCATCTAGCATCTAGCATCTGCAAGGTTCTGGAATCATCAAAATGATAAGATATTTGGCCCATTCTTCATAAAGTTACAAGCACTATACACAGAAAGATGTATATGGGACTACCCTATATCTCTCACAGTCCATGAGAGAAACAAATTTACCAAATATATGAATTAGTAGGCGGTTTCCCGGCAAATTTTTTATCATGTATTAGTCAAAACATATTCTTTCACATGATTGGTAATGAGAGCTTCTATTTCATTTTTTGAAATTGGGGCGTTTCCAATACTGGTCTTTACCTTTAATTAATCAACACAGACATGACAGCCGAGAGAGCAAAGCTTGTGGGGTGTCAAATTGTTCACCCCCATATATGTCTGTATGTCTACTACATGTATGTACATGCCTCATTTTATTGCCTATTTTACTGCTTATTAAATATTAAATTTATGTTTATGAATACTTTAACATGTATGTGCCTTCAGAAGTAAATTGTTGTGGTTTTATTTTGTAATATCAGTGCACACTAACATTGGTATACCATGTCTACTACATGCCTCAATATATTTACTGATTATCAAAACATTATATTTTTATGTTTATGAATATGTACCAGTATGTGCTTTCAGAAGTAAATTGGGCCGAGTTTGGCTACCGGTATATTTTTTTATGCATTTACATGTATACATTTACATTATACTTTGGTCATTTAATTGTAAATACACACTGTAAGCAGAGTGTATCTTGTTCAAACTTACAGACTGGCACACACTGTTACATGTTGTAAATGTATGTGACCTTTGATACCACAGTCAAATTACCATCTCTTGATTGTTAAATTTCTTGATTTCGGTATCTTGTGTGGAGCACCTTTAATGCAATAGCATGCTGGGAATGGGTAGAAACAAGGTCACAATGTTTTATATTGTAATTACTATTGTGTTTCTATCAGACTTGTTCAATGTTAGAGGTCAAGAGTTTAAATTTAGGGTCCTGGGTTCATATTTTGGGGTCCATGTTTACCCTAAATGATCCCTGCTCGTGTCAAGTCCTACATGTACTTTGGTGAGAGATTTTGTTTCAAATATAAACTCTTAATGCACTTTACATATTTCCTCTGTAGTTTTCAAACCTGGAAACGAATGCAATAGGGACGTACGGCTATGATCGGCGAGAAGAAGGGGAGGCTCGCTCTCTTCACGTCTGTCAGGAGAATTATAAAGAGATCAAGATAACACAGGATGGGCAGTTTTTTATCAACGAGACAATTCATACCAGTAAGTCACATTCTTCCTTCCTCCACCTGTGTCTGTCTTTCTGTCTATTTTTCTGTCTGTCTCTCTGTCTGTCTGTCTTTCTTTCTGTCTGTCTGTCTCTTTGTCTTTCTGTCTGTCCCTTTGTCTTTCTGTCTGTCCCTCTGGCCTGGATTGACAGGTTTACTAACATGATTCAAATTTTATGCATACTAATTTACTTTTTAAACAAAAACTGCTCTGGCGAACCTGAAAGCTTGTCCGAGGCTTGCCTGACATAAATTTGTGTATAAAATAATAAACCGGTCTATTCACCAAGGAGGTCAAAACCTTGGTTATGGTTTAAACCTCTACAATGGACTAAAATAAGCATTTATTTATATAACTTAGTCATGGACGTATTATTGGCTATTGGACATGAAGACACACATAAACTACACTTAGGCCCCCCCTTTAAAAACTCTTTATTGTTCAAGTTTTTTCATATACAAGGTCAAATCAAATTGACTCATTTATTGGTAAATGGCTATACTTACTCGTGCATGAATGGTATGATTCCAATAGCATGTCGTCTTAAAGAGGATTGATTGATGTTTGATATTTGTGAGATATATTCAAGATAAGTTTAACCAAATATTTATTTGAAATCTTAATTAAAAATAGTATCTACTTTATTCTTTGGCTGAGTTTATTATGGGTCTTTTTTCTGAATCAATAAAAGCCTTGTATTATTAAACTCTAGACATATCTACAATGACTAAAATCTTGTATCTCTCTTATTTTTTGAACAACAGGTTTCTTGGTCATCCCTGTCAACACGTCACAAAATATATCTGTCAAAGATTACTTAGAGCAGCACAACCAAACCCTCTGTGTTGATACGTAAGTCACAATCGGGTAAACTGAATTCACACAAGGATTTTTTTCGAGAACGATACAGCGAATCGTCTTCTTTGTCTAATAATTTAATGAAACGTAAAAGCTTTCAAAACAAATGGGTTTAAAGTCAAAGATTGATGAAAGAATACAAAATAGGCCTAGGCAAAATATTGAAAGAGGAATTGTAATTGGAAACAATGCAGATACAGGGGTCTCCTTTGTGGAAAAAACAAACAAAATTTGTCATGTGACTGTCTGTGACTAACAGCTTGTTCTCACCTTGCTGATAAAGGCCATGAGGAAACCATTGAAATAGGAAACCAGAAGAGGAAAAAGGAAATCATTTAATACTTCACTGGAAAAGCCCGTGTGATCAATTGTTTAGAGAAATGACAGTGGACTCATATCAGCCAATTGAGCTTATTTTTAACTTCATGTTTATCTTTTTATTTCCTGTACAAGAGCACTTGTTTTACTTCATGAGATCGTATGATCAAATTTAGCTTTACCGGTAGTTAGATTGATAGCCTTGTGGATGCTTCTCACAAAATGCCCATGTGTTCAATTGATAAGGAATAGTAATGGGCTGGAGAGTTTCTCCCATATCAGCCAATCTAGCTGATTTTTTAAGCTTCATGTTTATATTTTTTTCTTGTAAAAAAACAAATAAATAAAATAATATTCCGCTTTTACATAGAGGTTATTAAATAAATACATACATTTAATGTCTCTAAGCGCTTTACAGATATATCATTACCCCGATCATTGGATTAAGGTTTTCCTGCACTCAATGTATGCACATATTCTCCACTCCCTGGGGAGCATTCCAGCCAGACATGAAGCATATCACTTTTAAATGTAGTCACATTTTGGGACCGATCTCATTCTCGGTCAACGTTAAATTATCCAGGGCTCGACACTAATAGATGCCCAGAGCACAATCCCCCCCCCCCTCCTTATTGTATACCTGGGCCCTTCAAATTTGTAATTTAAACATTGGCCCCTGCACTTACAATTTCAATTGTTACCTTCAGTGAAAAGGCCAGTTTAGAGCCCTGGGGGCCGCTTCTTGTGTCATAAGTCTTAAGTTCACGAACATCGCATGAAAATGCATGTTAATTGTATAACACATGTTTCTATGGGATGTCTATGCAGTAAGACTAATGATGGTTTAGAGAAATGGCCTCCTGAATTAGCTCGAAAGGAAAGAAACAAATAACAATTTAGAATACTTGATTACAAATATAGTCAGGATTAAATTCAAGAACAGGTTTCCTTTAAAAATTCTTTGAATTACCTCTGTTTTGTTTGTTTGTTTATTTTTCTTATAGATTGAGAAAACTCACCTTAAACTTTGTAGTAAGCAGCCTTCATCTCAAAGATTCAAAATCTTTTCCCATTCCAGATTGTATCAAGTTTAATATCACTGTGAGTACAATATATCTTTCCATTAAGGATTCAATACTTAACTACATTTTCGAAATTTGATTCTCAAAAAATTATTATCTTTGAATATATGTCAAAAATTGCTTTTAGTCTGGACAACGAGTCAAATTAATCTATGTGTTAATTTGATGAAGCAAAACAGAGACAAAAAAAAGAAAGAAATAAAAGAGAAATATATAAATAATATAAAAGGTATGTTACCCCAAAGGGTATATGATATTTTTCTGTAGACTCTGTGGTCATTTTCATACACTGTAGTCATTCAGATAATGCAGAGTTCCAACATATTTTATGCTTGGCTGTTGGACTAAAATCATTAATTTTCCTTTATTGTGTATAAATATATGTACATGCTGTCTTAAGCCTTTAGTAAAACATGTATTTTGTGTACAGGTCTGTTATTCATTTGAACAAAAAAATGTAATTGTAACGTTCATGTTAATGTAAAGGTTGCATTTTAAAAAGAATCCCTTTATCCTATAAATGTATGAGAGTTGACTTCACTATGTATGTTTTCTTTGATTTGTATTTTCTGTTGTAGATCATGTATGATAATACAGTACACAGTGGCAGAATGCCTGTTACACTCAATTTCGATCACAACTTTTTCACCAACTGCTCCAACAAAAATGAATCTGGTAAGTCTGGGCCGTTTCATAAAACTTGCTATCAATAACAAGTTACAATAATTGTTATAAGCTACTGAAATCGTAGCATTTGATTGGCTGAGAGCAAATTTGTCATGGAACTTTAGAATTTGTTATTGATAACAAGTTTTATGACTGAAAAAGGCCTCTAGTATTGTTCATTTTTACTCATTTCTCCACCATCAATTTAAATCCTAGATAGGCACATTGCTTGGTGCATTATGTCCCATACACATTGTATGTGTGTCAAAAGTCGACTGCGGCGGTCTAATGTTTGTTGCATTAGACACCCAAACCAAATAAAGGGTTAGTCAGGCTGATTCACTTTTAACCACAAAAAAAAGAGGAATTTGATATGAAAAATCAATGTTGGTTATTCATTAGATCATCCTCTTTACTTATAACCATAAACATCATAAGCTAAGCCTTTTATGAGTATTACGCAAGAGAAATCCAATCTTTGCCTTTAGATATACGGTATTGAAATTCACACTTTCTTTTGGTAACCCAAACCATCTCAATAGAAAAAGATTATACCAAACTAAACATTAAAAATTAGGGGCTGTAGGTGTTATTCAAAGTTTTTTTAGTATCGAAATATAAATATAAAGAAGAAAAAATAAACTAATCTACTTGTGTAAATATATTGACTGAAAAAAAAAAACAATTTGCCCATTTTGAAATAATTCAAACAGAATGATATTTGCTTAGTATATTAAATGAGAAATTTCCCCTTTTTTAATTCCTTGTCTGCTTTTTCGATTTATGCTTCTGTCAATATTAAACTTTCAAGTGTACTTTTTCCTTGTTAATTTCATATGTATAAAGACAACTGATTTATCATGCAATATTCTTGTGTACATTCCTTTTCTTCTTGTTTTCTATTAAGATGACTTATCGAAGACGCCAGCAAGGTGGACATTTTCAATGGACCTTCTTGTGATCATACTCTGTGTTACTTCAATGATACTGTGCTTAAGGTCCATCATAAAAGCACAGCAGCTGAAATTTGTGAGTATCAGAAGCCTCAGAGTCACTTTCCAAACCTGCCTAATGAGCTATGCATAGAATGAGTCTCCCAACTATATGGGATGCCAAATGCCAATGTCTATATTCCTTGAAAATTCTTTGACAAATGCTCATGTACAATTTACAGCTCATTCAATGAACAGAGATGCCAACCAGTACGATCAAATCGTATTTAGTACGATAATATGAGTGAAATACAATAATACGATATCACCTCTTAAAATCCGATTTTTTTTCTTTTTTTTCCTTCTTTTTTAAAATATTTTTAAATCCATAAAAACCCATAAAAACCACGGAATCGCATAGGAATATGTACAAGTAAACCCCCACAACCCCAATAAAAACTTTGCTTTACAATTTTCTCATTAAATTTTAACGAAAAAACAAACATTTTACTTGACCGTACTTTATACCAGTAAAACATTTTTCTGAAATTTTACTGGCCCGGGACCAACGAGCCAGTGGAAGTGTCAATTTTTCGTGAAAATCTGATTTTTCTCTCCAAAATCAGATTTTTTAGGATACTCCAGTCTGTATTTTGTGTCAAGAGGTTGGCATCTCTGAATGAATGTTAATACCAAAGAAAAAAAAGAAGTCAGTCAGTCACTCAATAGTGTCTGACAGTGAAGTCTAGAAAGTAAACAGGTTTCTTTGCATAATTTGAATACTAGGACTAGTACCTTTAACATGTTATCCCACTTTTAAACATCTTACAAAGAGCTATGATTTTTTCCTTTTTAATTGAAATGGATTGAAATACCGGTAATTTTTTTAATCCATTCCTTTCCTTGACATTTTATTTTTATCCCGCAGAAAACAATGCAGTTTTTCAAGGTACACTATGACTGTACTTTGGGCATATCCGATAAGGTGGAGTTCCTGAATCTGTGGTATGTGATGATCGTTGTGAGTGATATATGCACCATCGCAGGGAGCATCGTCAAGGTCCTGATAGAAGTAGCTGTGAGTATGAATAGGCCTGTCTTCGTCAGCTCGAGATTGCCAAATATCCCGCTATTTCAACTATCCCGATCGCAAATTATCCAGGTAATTTGCGTCTTCATCAGCCGAAGTTGCAATTAGCGGGATATTCGGTCGAGATAATCATCCCAAGATATCTTGGGCTAGTTTGATAAATATCTCGCTATTTGCCCGGTGCGTCTACACCAACCCGGAGACTCGCACTATGCATGAATGCTGAGCAAAATATGTTGAGCTAATTCCATGAGCTCGAGGTTTCAAGTTTCCACGTCGAGTCTCAAGCTGATGAAGACGTGATTTGTAACTTGAGGATTATTTCCCAAATCAGAAATAGCGTGCTATTTGGCAATCTCGAGCTGATGAAGACATAATACCTAATGTTACTTATCATTGCTTCATGCCATCAAATGAAGGGTTGGATAAATAGGCTAATGCTTTAAGCCATTGAGGAAGTGTATGAAACTGAAACCAAAATAAGATGACAAATGATTGGGTGTGGAGTGTGTAAGTGAGAGTGTGTGAGAGAGAGAGGGAGAGAGAGAGAGAGAGAGAGAGAGAGAGAGAGAGAGAATGAGAGAGATTTACTGCATGATGTTCAAGTTTTCAAAGTTGAATGTTACAAATGACTCTTCTATTATTTTTAGAATTTATAAGATACTTTCAATTTCTTCACTCGGCCAAACTTGAGTAATTTCAAGGATTGGAAGGGAACAAAGGAATACTAAGTCATAGGTTGAGGTTTTTTTGAGAAACATTGTCGGTCTAAACATGAGAATCTCAGACTGGAGAAGCACTGAACTTGGTAGCCTAGCAGAGTGCTTTGAAGGGTGCGTTGTGCACCGTATGTACTGGATATGTGCCCTATTTAAATATGCTATATGTTAGGCAGTTACATTACACGTAAAGAAGGCCTAGAGAATCTTGCCTTGACAGGGAAAATTGTGGGAAGGAGGAGCAGGTGGAAAAAGAGGATAATTAGGATGGACAACCTCACCTGCAGAAATTGTTGGAAGAGAGAGGAGTAAAAGAACTGGGAGTGGTGCTAATAGAGAAGGCTAGGATCCGAGGATTGTGGAACAGCATGATTGGCAAAGTCAATAGATATGACACTTAAAGAGATATATATATATATATATATATTACTATTATGTTATGATATCTTTCTATTTACCTGATAGGATAACACATACTACGATCCATGCAGTCTCCTGCTTGGTACAGGCTGCTTTCTGATCTGGTTTGGCGTCCTCAGGTACCTCGGCTTCTTCAACAAGTACAACGTAAGTTGAGCAGTCTCATCTAAAAGACATTCTATGAAGTACCTTTACCGGTACTCAAACAAGTGCGACAGACTTTTGATTAAAAGCCTTGCAGAATTGGCATTATTAATGGGTACCAGGCAAGAATTGATTCTTTGAAATGCTAGAAACAGCAGCCATGTTAAAGCTGGGTTATATATGTGGAGCGGCAGGAGCGTCAGGTCTTACAGACATGATCGAGCGCTATACAAGAACCCACTATTATTATTATTATTAAATCCTTTTTATCCTTTACCTTCTAGATCATGATCGTGACCCTCAAGGGTGCCATGCCTAACGTCCTAAGGTTCCTTATCTGTGCTGGTATCATATATGCTTCATACGCCTTTTTCGGTTGGATAGTACTTGGACCTTATCATCCAAAAGTAAGCCAACATTTTTTTTTCTCTGATAGTTTCTTGTTTCTATGTTTTTTATTTCATGTTTTATTCAAATCTACCTATAGTACAGTCAAACCTGCTTTAGTGACCACCTGTCTACAACAAACACATTTTTTAGTTTCCCTTGAAAATGGTTTCTCATTGAATCATGTACTAAAGGAACCGGCTTCAAAGGCCACTTTTTGTGTTTCCCTTGGGTGGTCACTGTAGACAGTTTTGACTGTACAAGTATTTTCACTATACATATCATTTAAGAACCAAGGAGGTCCTAAACATTTGGTTTTAAGGCTCTCGTAACAAAGTAGATTTTCAACATTTACTTTCGGTTGATAAGAATTATTGATGATACAAGGAAAGTTCAGAATTTTATAAAAGGTGCAAAGCCGTGTTTTATTATGTTTCTCACTTTCTCATTTACATTAAACAGAGTAGATTCCTATTTGTTCATACTTAGTAATCCATAATTCTGTATCACTCTCAAATAGAGCAAATACTGCAACTGCATACATGACAGACATGTACATGTAGTTTATGTAATTGATATGCAATAGGGTGAAAAAATTATGGTAAAATTTACAAGATATACAATAGATTGAAGAGATTCTACTTAAAATTTACGTGATTAATATTCAGTATCTGATCATTTTAGGTCCTATGTATGTCACTAAATGTAAATGAGTAATGAACTTTAAAATTTTCCTTAATACATGATTTGCTCTGATCCATAGTGGGGTATTCACTTAAAGTTGGGAGCCCCAAACATTTGATTGCAAAATTTCACTTAAACTGTATCATTATGTGAAAGAGGATGTCATTTAAGACACATTTTGGCAAAGATTTTCGAAAAAAATGTGTTTGAAGTCTAATATTGATGAAACCATACAAAATTTAGGTTTTCTGCGTACAACAGAAAACCCAAATTATGAATTCTTTTATCAATACTTGTCTTCAAACAATTTTTTTTTTTTTTTTGGGGGGGAGGGGTAGGGAATCTTTGCAGCAGTGTGTCTTAAATGACATCCTCTTTCACATTATGATACAATTTAAATGGAATTTTGCCATCAAGTTTTTGGTGTAGATTTGGGACACCCAACACTTTAGAGGGGCTTTAATACAGTCATTTCTTTTAGAGCGTTATGTATATAGCCTGGAGTTTTCTTATTTTTTAGAACAATGTGTTAACATTCAACTTGTGTCTCCTTTGTTTTGAACAGTTTAAAACACTCAGCATCTCTGTAGAGTGCATGTTCTCACTCATCAACGGAGACGACATGTACGCAACGTTCCGAGAGTTGTCGACTCGTAACATGTCTATCTACGTCTTCAGTAGAATCTACCTCTACACGTTCATCAGTCTCTTCATCTATGTTGTGCTCAGTTTGATCATCGCCATCATCATGGACACCTATGAAACGATGAAAGTAAGAAGCGGGAACGGGCCTTGATCTCTCCTATAGGAGGTCATAGGTCACGTCTAAGACAGTATTTCAGTCTCTTTAACCCTGTTAGTGCCATGCGCAGCAAATCCTGCCAATGATTGAGTGCTGAACAAATTTCTCGAGACTTAAAAGGTCTACATTTTTCTTCCAGAAAACAAACAGTTCTAAGAACCTCTATTTTGAAGTTTCCCAATGGTCTTATGGATGAATAAGGATGTCAAAAAAGCAAGAATTTATGAGAATAATCCTTAGGGGTTTGGAATTACAATCTTAAGAAAACCAGGGTGTTACACTATTATTAAGAAGATCTTAAAGGCATTGTTTAACAATGTTAAATCTGAGATGCATGGCCCTACGTGTTATCAGTGTCTGTAATATGGTGTAATATTGAAGCCCTAAAAAGTTGCGCTTCAAAATGATCAAGAAGTGCCTCAAAAATGTAAAAATCTTTGAGTGACCGGTTTACCATTTTCCCCAATAGACTGTAGTGTTATAAAAACCGTTAGAAAAACACAAATTTTGATTTCGATTTCCAATCATAGATATCTTGATAATTCAGACAGGTGATCAGCTTGTAAAAGTCATGGGGTTCCTGACTGACCTAAAGGTTTTTAATTATCATTGCAACATGAGCTCAATCCAGGATTTTGTTTCAGAATCTGAGACAAAGTTATCCAATCTCTTTAAGAAGATGTACATGTAGCAATTGCTCTTATTGATCTTTTTTGGCACAGGAGTACCAAAGAACAGGCCATATAGAGGGCAAGCTTCATTGCTTCATGGCCGAGACGTGCGACGAGGACATCCCCGGGCGGGGTTCATTCCACACCCAGTCCAGCATGATGGAGAGAGGGAGATGGAGGCAGAAACTTAGAGATAACCTCTGCTGTAGAAGGTGAGGTCAAAGGTCAATCAAAGGTCAAATGTCAACAGATCATGCCTCATTAATTGGTCCTACACTTGGTTACATGTAGAATAGAGATATCGACTGCCATGATCGAGAGGCCTGGCTGTTTATAGGCTCAAGGGAATGTGCACGTCCTCGAGAGCCAACAGCAAGGCCTCAAGTATTAAAGCAGTCGATATGTCTTTTATATACCGAATTGACACAAAAATCTACCAAGAATTCTTACCTTATCCTTTTCTTGAGTAAAGATAGGTTAAAAAATCACGGAAAATCTGAGAAACTGTCTGTTAATCTTTGATGGAAAGATGACTGAACGTTACAATCATTTGGGAATCACAGACAAAAAGCACTGTATGGTGTCAGCGCTCTCACTTTTTTAACATTTTAGAGACAATTTTAACATATAAACCAATGGGGATCGCAGCAAAATTTAACTTTTTTCTTGGTACCCGGAATCTTGCGAGAATCTCACTCATGAACTAATGACCATTGCTGGCATTGTTCTTTTATTTATGGAAATGGCTAAAATTACTACTCTAATTTCGACCAATCAAATGGCTAGATTTCTAAAGGGAGGTATATAATTCAAGTTATATTTGTATTATGAGCCATTAGAGTAAGGCTCAGGAGTGGGATGTGGAGAGTGGATAAAGTTACAGCAACTTCTTTTTAGCCCCTTATAGTGATAATGATAATATTATGATTCTGTTCTTGTGTAGTGCATTTCACAGTACGATACAACATCTCTGTGCGCTTCCAGAAGACTTAAAAAACTATTATACCTTAGCTCAATTGTCAGGATGCAAATGGCATGTATTATGTGTTATCAGGTTGGACAGGCCTTAATGTTTGTCCTATCTAGTAACAACCAATGAATGCAATTTGCAATCTGATGATTGGGAAAAAATGAGTCCTAATAGGTGGATGAAATAATTTGTATTGAGGCACTTCATGCATTGAATTTTGTTACAGTATGTAAAATTGAATTATACACATATAAATACATTGCTTCCTCACACTTTCAACTCAATCTGAACAGCCTGTTTTCATTGTCTCCTCATTCTCTCTCTCTCTCTCTTTCTCTCTCTCTCTCTCTATCACAGGTGCAATTCATTTGACAGTGAGGACAGTCTGATCACATGATGTCATTGGAGGAATCTCCCTGGTTTAGATACCCAAGCCAATGTTCACCCTGCAAGCAGATGGATGCCTGGAGGGGGAATCCCCTAATGTCAAGGATAATGTCTATGGATCAATCTTGCACCTTTGGAAGGCTGTATGTGCGATTACAGGATTCCCGGTGCTTTTCACAAAGATTGCCATGCATTCGCATGAAACTGTAGAAAGGGAATTCCTTTGCTTCTAACACAGCCAATGACCATCCTTGTGATTGCCTCAAGTGAAATTTCCCAGTCTATTTTTATTTTGGGGGGTACAATCTGCGTGTTTCTACAGGAGACCCCAAAATTAATGATATTGTCTACCTGGAATAGACCCAGACAGTAAACACTAGAAGAATAAAACCGGTCTCTTTCTACAGAAGGACAATAAACTAGTTATTCGCACACTTGACAGACTTTACTGGGTACACTAGATGTTCACCTTCAACACTAATGCTAGTACAGTCAAACCTGTCTACAGCGACCACCGAAGGGAAACACAAAAAGTGGTCTTTGTAGACAGGATCCTTTAGTACATGTTTCAATGAGAAACCATTTTCAAGAGAAACAAAAAATGTGCTTGTTGTAGACAGGTGGTCACTAAAGCAGGTTTGACTGTATACAGAAAGTGATGGTAAGATGAAATCTTATAGAAAAACGCTGAATTATCACTATGCAATCTCAATAGCGTGAAGGGGAATTCCCCAGTCATTGGTTAGTTAAGGATTACTCCTACATCACATGATACCTGAAAGGGGAAGTCCCCACTTCCCCAGTGACAGGGGAAGTCCCTACTCCCTTACTGTACAAAAATAAATGCTGAGCGGGTTATCAAACTCCCCAGGGAATTTGCTATAAGCTGCATCAATGTCCTTGTGAATGAACCAAATTTTCTACATAATCTATTTTTCTATAACTTCTATTTTCATCTCTGCCTATTTATAAAAAATATATATTAACATTCTAATAAAGCTATGCACTTTCTTTTTGTGGTTGCACATATTTGTTTTCTTCTTCTAATTTCTTATTTCTATGTATGCAAAGATGTTTAAAGAGAAGGTTGAGTTCTGGGAAGAGGTGAAAAATAATTTGTGAGCATTACTCATTCTTATTATGCAAGTGTGGAAGAACATCAGTTAAGACATGTTCCCTGAAAAGCTTGGCTCTTCAAATGCCTTCATATTCTAAATATGCATGTAACATCGTAAAAATCGGGGGGGGGGGGGGGGGGCCGGCTTTTTACGCCACGTGTTCGTGTAGTCCCATATACATCTTTCTGTGCAAGTGTTTGTAACTTTACCAAGACTTTGGCCACATTTCTTATCATTTTGATGATTCCAGAACCTTGCAATACACACAAATTCTTATATGCTAGATGATCAACCTTTTCTGGTCGGTTCCACACCGTTTCTTTCACAATGCAATCGCATGACCAGAACTCAACTTCATCTTTAAATACACCCATATTTGAACAAACTGTACTCACTCTTGGATGTATTTTCAACTTAACTAATTGTCAAAAAGGCATTGTTTGATAAGGAACAATTAGATGTTATATTCATTTCATATAAACTTACATGTAATATTCTATGGTCTCATCGTCATGATGACTTGAGCCTCAAACTTTCTGTTGACTACTGAGAGTGATTTGTCCTGATTTAAAGATTGTCCATTGCAGGTAGTTCTTCCGTTATGTGGAATAGTTGATTGGATAAATTATGTATCCGAACGTTAGACAACGCAGTGACTCTGACAGATCTGGCTGTGCAATGCAGTTCTGTTTATAGTATATGAATGCTGTGTGTTCTTTTGGATGTGTATCTGTTGATTTTTTAAAAATTTGTTATGTTGAAATATATAATAGAAGTTAATAAATAATATCAGCACATGTACTTAAACACATTTACTACAGCTTCTATACTAAGCAGTGAATTGAACTCCTCTGCCAGTTACCTCATTGAATTTCTTTATTTTAATTTTTTGTTTGTCATCACTTTGTACGAAACTACAATTAATAGTCTATGTCTTGTATCACTATACAAGTCCTACATTGTACTTGTCAAGAAAAAAAAAGGTTATGATGATCAAGTCATATTTATTTACATTCCATGGTGTCAACAAAACAAGAAAAACATGACAGAAATCAGTATGAATGGGACCGATTCATGGTTGTAATAACAGTACTTGAAATCGTGCATGTAATTGCACTGTGTCTGTTGTAGTTCATGTACAGCCTAGGAGTCATCCCATTGGACCGATAGGTCATGAGACCGATGTTCCACAAGACCGGTAGTCTTCAAGATCGATATTTAAACAAGTCAAAGACACTGACAGCCCATGAGATCGATAGCTCATGACACCGATGTTCCACAAGACCGGTAGTCTTCAAGATCGATATTTAAACAAGTCAAAGACACTGACAGCCCATGAGATCGATAGCTCATGACACCGATGTTCCACAAGACCGGTAGTCTTCAAGATCGATATTTAAACAAGTCAAAGACACTGACAGCCCATGAGATCGATAGCTCATGAGACCAATGATCCATGAGACCGGTAGCCTTCAAGATTGACATTTAAACAAGTCAAAGAACAGAAGTGTTCTATAAACACTGCTGAATTGGGCTATCCACCGATTTTTGTCTATGTACATGTATAAATATTTTACATTGTATATTTTACTATGTATAATATTTTTATCTGATTTCGGAAATAAAAACAACAACAACAACAACAACAAAGAGACTGACAGCCCATGAGATTGCTAGCCGATTAACCGTGTTTGTCAATCTGGAAGGCTGTCAGTCTCGCGAGCTGTCAGGTTTAGTAGGATATCTGTCTTGTCGGGTGCCAGTCTCTTGGAGACTGATGTTCATGTAGGCTAATTGCCTTGTTGGCTGTAGCCCATTACTGGGTTAATTATCTTTGAAATTTCATATCCAGTAACTAAAAGTTTTTTATCATGAGTTGACTGTCACATAGCTGCATATTTATTAGCTCTGTACATGTAGAAGGCGATAGATAAATGATATCAGGAGCAATCTTAAAAACCAATGTGATTGATTCAAATTCGATTGAAGAAAAAGAAAATCAATATCAACTCTGTACTTAAGAGATAATTCTGTACTTAGATGGCACACAAATCTGCCTAAAAAAGGCACATGTGTTACAAATTAACAAGTCAAAAGCCAAAATGTAGGAAAGTAACAAATAATTATCTTGAGATACGATTTTGCAAGTTTACGATTGATTGGAGGACTAGCTATTAATCTAGATCAATCACACCTCTTTACAAGACTGGGCTCGGGGTTATATACGCTGGAAACAAATTTGCAATATTTTGTTATGCAATAAAAATTATGGATGAAATTTTGTGACTTTTTTTTAAAATATGTGCTATATTTTGTGTTTGATATGTACATGATTAACGAGCAAGTCCAAACTATCTTCCCACACGTCTCAAATCACATCTTTAAATATTAGTATATATCTGATGAATGTATTACGTTAAACGCCCTATTGGAGCTTTTATCAGACCAAATATGAAATGAAAAGATAAATTTGTCCTCAGTATATGTTAAGGATTCTACAATACTTTGTGACATATGAAGGGACAGCAAATTACCAAATACATACCTTGGATCTGCTGTAGAACATGAATTCAAAGTATAATAGTGAATATAGATATACCTTCTATTCAGGAGTGCAATGCCCCCCCCCCCCCCCCAAAAAAAAAAAAAAAATTATCAACATTTCAACAAACAAACATAAATATAAACTAAATAATAATCTATAACAGACTTATAGACTTACATGGTAGGTTTCAATGTTTGTGATGTTCTTCTTTGTATGACAGTCACAGACCTCGTTAAGTTAGGTTTTTCTGACTATTGCAATCAGTGTTTGAGATGACCCACAAATTTAAAGGTCGGGTGAAATCCAAATATAAGTTGATTCCTGTTGATGTGCAGGGCTGCATACAACTCCTATTTTGTTATTCAAACATTTAAAAATATATGACATATATTTCATAGATTTTTTTAATATTTTGAAAAACAATTTTCTCAGACATGCTGAGCTCCACCCTAAAAAATGCTCCAGATCTCATTCATCTGTGACATCATCTGTCAATCATTAGTGAGCTAACAAGAGACAGAGGTATGTAACTTCCCCCAGCTCAGCACATGCTCACAAATGGAATTACCTCCATATTACTTTTCTTTTTCTGGTGATGCTACAGCATGTCTGACATAGCAACTCCTATGTTGGTATTGTATGGTCAATTGTAAACAGGTGGTCAGCTCTGCTGAAGCTTCATACCACTGTCTCTTGTTAGAATTGCCTATCCACAAGAAAGTATTTAAACACTTGGTCAAAATCATTGTTTCACCCATACAAAGGGGAAATACTTTTTTGTTTAGATTCACAGTTTGTTTTAGGTTTATTTTTGTTTCAAATGGTTTAAAATGAAAAGAAATACCTGCATGTATGTTATTTATTATAGACATGTTGAAGATTATAAATGTTTTCCTTTTCTACAAAAAATGATAATGTGATGTTTCATACAGTCAAATAAATGGAAGGACTATATATAATATATTCACATTCTTCTTTTGTTCAAGTGTATTTCATTCTCAAGTTTTTTGGGTTACAAAAGCAAGAACAACTAGAACACAATTAAGCATTCAATTATGCAAAGATAAAGAAACCTTACTTTAAAAAAAATTTGCTCCTAGATTTCCTTATCTTTACTTGAAGGATGAAAAGGTCAAGAGAGAAAAAAAATCAGCTGATAAGATGAATTGCATGCTAAATGTAACAGATAAAGTTTTCAATATGACAGCCCTACTTTCTGCCCAATATTTGCAGAATCATCGCACAAGCAGGACAATCGTTAACTTTACCTTTACCCGAGATTCTGGAAGAATGCTGTGTTCTTAGCAGTCGGGCTTCCACTTTAATTTTGTGTTTCTTTCTTCTCGTAGTTGGGTTGCTTGAGATATAATTATAGACAGTATAGCATGCAGAAAGATAATCTGCTAAATATTATTATTATATTAAAGATAATCTGCTAATGCAAATGATTGTGTTTCTTTTTCATGCAATCAGTTTTGCTGTTTGAAGCACTTCACCTGTAATGACTGGTTGATCTTTCAAGATTAGACTACTTTCGTGATGTAATCAAATTTAATGCACAAATCTGTTAATTAAGTGCCTCTAACAAATTATTTCAATTCACCTGTTACATATGATTGTATTTCATTAATCGGAATGCGAATTGCATATATTAATTGTTGTTTGGTAGGACAAACATTATGGCTTGCCCTACCTAACAACACCTAATTCGCATTTTGACTATTCGTAACAGGTGAATGAAATAATTTGTAGTGAGGCACTTGCCAAAGATGTGTACATTAAAAGTGATTACATTACGAAAATGGCGTAAATTTTGTCTCTTATATTGAGATTAAAGAAAAGTATTAGCTCGTATCATTGCACACAGAAGAGACAACTTTCTAGCTCCAAACAAATGAAAATAGACTATTAATGCTCATTGTGGTATTTATTGGTTTAAAAAAATTATATTGTCGTATACATGGACATGGCATGTATTGAAAAGAATGGTACATACTATGTATTCATCTTAACGGCAGAGTTTGTCTCATATTACATAAATATATCTAAAATATTTCATACACAGAATGCAGAAATAGAATTGAAATTGAAAATAGACTTGGTATTCTATATTATCTTACATTTCAACAATTGCAAACACGCCATGCATCGAAACAATTTGTAACATATTAATGTGTGGAAAATAGCTCATTTTAAGATATCATATCTGTCATATATTACATACTCTGTGTAAAAATGAGGTAGGCTTTAAATTTTGATCATGGACCATATTGAAAATAGTTGCCTAAAGCTAGCTACATATATCAAAATATTTCATTTTGGTGAGTAATGTCTATTTTTTGCTCTTTTTTTTTAACACAAGAAAACAACACTGTTAAAAATACACGGTCATATCATTGTGCATTGTGACGTCATCAAGGTGCAAAGGAAAAGATGTGGAATCTGCTGACGGAATAACCGGGAATGAAGATCTCGTTGTAGCCGTCCTCGTCGATGTCCTGTACTGACATCGCGCCGATCGTTCCCGCCACGCTGAAGATGATGTTCTCGGTGTAGTTCCAGTTGTTGACGTCGTCGTAGTCGGCGCTCTCGAAGATGTAGATCTTTCCGTCGTCATCGCCCGTGAGGAGCAGGAGGGGCTTTTTGCTGAAAGAGATGGGCCGGGGAAAAGAGGGAGAGAGAGTATGTTAAAAGCAGAGTGACAGAGAAAGATAGGGATAATAGTAGAGGTTGAGTACGAGAAGCATGGAAATATATACATCATCTCTCTCTCTCTCTATATATATATATATATATTTATATGGGTAGACAGATATCTAGGTAGATAGATAGAGTTACAGGAAGACAAATAGATAGGTAGATGGACAAAAGTGTGAGAGTTTATGTGTGTGTGTGTGTGTGTATGAGAGAGAGAGAGAGAGAGAGAGAGAGAGAGAGAGAGAGAGAGAGAGAGGGGGGGGGGGCGGGAGAGAGGATGACACAACGAGAAAGACATGCAGACCGATATCACAAATATGGACAGACCAACGTACAGAAAGAGATGATAAAGACAGATAGAAACAAAAACCCCGGACAGACAGGTATATACAGATAAATGCCGAAAGAGAGAGTAATAGATGGAGGAGGGCAGTTAAAACGACAAAGAGAGAGAGAGAGAGAGAGATAGAGAGAGAGAGAGAGAGAGAGAGAGAGAGAGAGAGAGAGAGAGAGAGAAAGCGAGAGTGAAAGATATGTGCATAATCGACTTCAAAATGTTACTTAATTAATATGTTGGTACATCATTAATATCATCATCATGCATCACCTGGTTTTGGATGATGTGGTATCTAAAAGCATTTTTCACAAACAGTTCAGTTTGAATAATTATGCTCGTACTTTTATTCTGAAGTAAAAAAAACTTTTATTAGTTTTATGTCATATTCTGAATACACGGCTGTAACAAAAAGCTCCGGGGAGAACACATTTATGCAAAAATACGCTTACAATTAGGTGTGATTTTGATTTCCAACCTACATAGTATTTGGCATATATCGCCTTTTATAGTCTTGCAGTTACAAACCGCCTCACAATTGCTAAACAGTTTACATGTTATATATCAAAAGGACCGCTTAAACGATGATAACATTTAAATGGCAGAAGACAAGCCAATATACTAGTGAAATAATCCCTGCTCTGCAACAAAATAAAATGATATTTTAAATTATGTACGCATTGTGACTGGCTGTGTCCCGGTTGTGTCCACACTGTGAAAAAAGTTGGGCAGACGTTACGGGCAAATCAAAGTTGGGCAAATTTTGTCCAATAATTGTGTTATTTTCTCCCAACCATTTACTATATGAATTTACCTCATGAAAGATAAAAAATAGGTTGGGTAGGTGTTACTTGGCAAATCGATATTGGGCAAATATCGTCCAATAATATATTGGGTTATATTTTTATGTTAGAGGTGTCGTGGTCGAGCGGATATGTCAAAGGACTACCAACCATGTAGTAACTGATACAATAATTGGGTAATGTTATAGGGCAAATTAAAGTGGGCCATTTGTGTCCAACGTTTGGGTTATTTTCTTCCAACCATTTACTACATGTATTTACCCAATTAAATGTTCAAAATAAGTTGGGCAGATGTAACTTGTCGAACGGTAGTCGGGAAACATTATTATCCAACAATAGGGTTATATTCTTATATTAGAGGTCTCGTGGTCGAGTGGATATGTCACACAACTGTGGATCACAAGGTCCGCGGTTCGGGTCCCGCCGCGGCACTGATGTACTTTTACATATAATATTTTATCCAACTTATTTGCCCAACTAGTGTCAATATTCTACACATCTGAGTAAAGTTTCTGCCCTTACTCTGTTTCGTCGGTTCTCTCGTAGATCGGGAGTACAATACCGGGTGATCCCTGGCCCTCCTGTGAAAGTATCGGTACGAAACCGTCCGCGATGACGTGCCGAGTCCAGTTGTCGGTACGGAAATCTTCGGGGATTTCGTAGGTGAGCAGTTTCCCGTCGACTTCGCTAGAAATTTGATAGATTTCAACATGAATACACGTCAGAAATTGATTGCATGGTCATGGCTGTTTTACACTATCGATGGGGTCATTTCGATTGTTTTATTACCTGCGCTAATCAGGCGCAAAGACTTCATTTAAAAAAAGTCAACTCATGGGCAATTTCAAATACCCAGTTATCCTCAGAAATCATTAACAGATTAGGTAAGCAGTGTCATGTTTGCACAGTTTGGAAGGTGATGGGCAAGGCGATTGAAAGTACCCTATAATAGGTTAAGTTTTAAAACTCCCCCCTTTAAATCTTTGTTGATAAAAAAAATCAAATAAACCAATTAAATATTCAAACAACTTCATACATAATTATAAAATGCAGCATTGGATGCACTATGTGGACTGGAAGTATACACTAAAAACAACTTAATCGATTCTCCACTTTTTGAAATGTAAAAGGGAGTTTGTTTTTCTTCTAAGCGTGAAAACATTATAAATCCTTGTTGGATTTCAGCAAAGCCTTAACATCCTCAATACATATACTTTGGTACTTTGGAATTTACAAACATAAGCATAAATTCTTCGCGATTGTGTAGCTAAAAATCCATTGCACTTTTAGTTCATTTGGCAATTTTTCTTTGGACAATGCCACCCACAGGTATACTGTGTGTGTAGGGAGGTGGGAATTGTCACGGACCCCACAACTCACTGATGCGTAGCGAATTGTTTTAAACACTTCATTATCAGATGATTTAATTTACTATTGCTTTTATAATTTTTGCACAAAATTATACCTGCTGGCAGTCACCAAAACATCAATTCTTCCATCTCGATTCACATCCGCGATCTGAAAATTAAAAATAAAAACAACAACAAATAAAAACATCATCGGAGTGAAAATAATATAATAATAAACGAAGCTCGCTGGATAGGAAGCAAAACGACCGTGGTCAAATAAGAAAAATGGGAAGAACATAAAAAAGAAGAAGGGGTGGGGGAGGAGAAAAAAAGATAGTGGTGAAGAGTAAAAAACAAAATTTACGTGGGGACTTTTATTTTCACCCTTGTCCTTCGGTCCCCACCGATTTTATGAGCGAATTCTGGTAGTAGGGTCGGCAAGATTCCCGAAATCTCGAAAATCACGAATATATCCAAATGTAATGCCCCTTCTGAAAATACTAAACATGCCCCTGATTTCATCGTGTGTCTTTCAGGAACCGCTTAACTTTGTTAAGTGGGGACTGACCATGCGAAACGGCACTGCCGCAGTATTTAATGTGGGCGGCAGATCGACCCCCCCCCCCCCTCTTCTGTGCCCCCTGCAAACTTACGTAAGCATCAAAGTAGGATTCTCCAACAACGGCGTCGATGATTCGAGAGTAGATCCTCTCAGGCTTAGACCAGTCTGTAGAAGGACCTACACACAAAAGAAAGAAAAGAAAAATAAAAAAAACAAAAGAAAAATAAGGACTCGTTAAGTTTACTGCCTCACAATTTTGTGAACAGCCCTTAAAAGGTTCCAGCCGAGTTTAAGCCTTGGTCACAAATTAATGCCATTACGAACTGCTACGAAAGCCGTACTAACGATTTTAAGACAATGGAAATTCGGGAAGACAATGGAAAAACAGGGAGATTCGTACGAAATTATCGTTCGTACGAACCTTTGTGACCGTAGCATAAGGATATATTTTACAAAAAAGATATTTGTACAACACATGCTTTGGCGGCTATTGCTCCGTGGTCAATAGGCCTACACTACGCTAACACTGGACCAAACACTATACATTAAAAAAAACACGATAATTAAGACCTATAGATTTTTAATGATTATACAGATATCTTTTTAGCATAAAACAGGACTTTGGAACTCGAGTACAAAGGTTAGCTATTAGTGACGTGTGGTAAGACAATGTCTGTTTAGATTCCTTTAACTTGGTTTTATGTTCATATTGAATAATTCTAATTTGTTTTTGTTTTCGAAGAATAAAGTAAAAGAGCAATAGTCAATCAATCTATCAATCAATCAATCACTTATTCAATCAATGATTCAATAGATAAATTAATTAATCAATAAACCAATGAATCATTAATTAAATCAATCAATCAACCAATCAATCAATCAACTCAATCAATCAACTCAATCAATCAATCAATAAATTATTCACTTACTCACTCACTCAATTATTCAACCAATCAATCAATAACAAACAAAAAATGAAATATTACTAACCTAGTAATAGCAAAATTGTAGCTGATCATAAACTACCTAGATAACTACGACTTGGTTAATGCTATCGAGTTCGTATTACACCGATTCCATGACTGATGAAAAGAATGTGCTTACCTTCTATCCAATGTACAAACAAGGTCTGTGAGAAATACGCTGGAGTGATTATAGCCTGGAGAAAATAGAAAAAAGAAAAAAAAAATATTAATCTTGTGATTTCATTTTGAAAATTTCTAGGACACCAAGTTGCGACAGTAATTTACGCTTGCATAAAAAATTATAATAAATGAAAACCAAAATTCTCGCAGGGTAGGATGTACTTAGTGTGCCTACATTCATATACATAACTTCGAGGTAGGATGCTTAGCCCTACGAAGATTACAAGTAGAAGTAGAAGATGAAGAAGGAGGCGGAAGAGGAGGAGGAGGAAGGGAGAAGGAGAAGAAGAAGAAGAAGACAAAAAGAAGAAGAAGTTTTGAGAATCAAGGTTTATTTGTTTTATTGTCCATATCATAGGAAATACTCAACAGAGATTTAAGTTATCATTAGGCTCTATTACAGTGGTCTTTCCCCCCCCCCCCGGCGCTCAATCAGAATAATCGAATCTCTTTATAAGACAGTGCCCACGATCATCTTTCAGCAATTTAATGTCAGTATTTATTTCAAAAGCCGAAAATAAAGCTCGTTAAAATGTGTCTAATATATTGAATGTATTTTGGCCGCCGGCTTTGGGGGGTCTATTTCGAGATAAATTGATATATCACAAAGAGCGCCCCCCCCCTGTCCGCATTTGAGAGACATAAGGGAACCCCCCCCCCCCAGACACCTTCGTAACGTACCACGAGCGGGTATGTCAGGATATCGCCAAAAAAAAAAGGACAGGGATCGGTGATCTATCATGATATCAATATCTTCCCCCTTTTTTGGTTTTCTAAGAAGAAGAAGAAGAAGAAATATGCATACATAATATATACACGCATATTATGTGAGTGTATATACGTAAATTTGAATTAAAAACAATTTTTGTTATAGTATTTGGCAATAATGGTCATAAACTGACTGACTTGCCTAAATTAAACAACAACAACAACATCGGATTAAGGGCGGGGGAAGGGTTGAGGAAAAGAGGGGGAGGGGAAAGAGGTTTGAGAACACCCTTATTGAACCAGGACAATGCGATAGAGGTTCTAGTCGGCCTTCTACCCCTTTTATTCTTTTTTTAAGGGCTAAATTGATCACATGTTGTTCTTCCAATTTTTCTTATAACATATAACGCATCTGAAAACAATACATGAGTATAGAATTTGTAACAGGGAAAATCTCAAATTTTATTCGAAAACCATGATTTTTATCCCTTAATTGTATTGCCAATCACAGGATTTTAGGGCTTATTTTCATCCCCATCCATTTCTTGCATCAAACGTACCATGGTCATGCAGCAAAAAGGATGCAATGTGTGCAGAAATTTTTGCCCTTTCTATTTATGCCTCTGGTATAATTTCTAGGGTTCGGAATAAAAATGTATTAAATCACAAAATGTGGACTTGTTTGCTCTTTACAAAGACCACACAACGCCCTCATATTAAACATGTCATGATATTGTCTTTAAGAGAGGAAGAGGGGTTATTTCTAAAATGAAATGAAAGGGGCTATGTGACTTTCAAGGAGGAAATTACAATTTCTGTCGCTCGTGACGAATATTTGGAACTTCCTATTTTTTTAATTCAAGAACTTCCTAGGGGCTCCGCCCCAAGACTCCCGGCAAAGACTACCCCTGCACCCCCATCTGCAAAGATAGAATCGTTTCTCAAGACAACCTTTTGTTGAATAAAATAGGAGAGAATGTGACTTTTATGTAGTTAAAGCTTCTAACAACCACTTCCGTGAACGGGGGGGGGGGGGGGCTGGGAGGCCCACCCCCTCGACATTTTCGAGAAATTCCCCTCGCTAACGTGTACAAAAAAATACGCTACCCGATTGGCCCCGAGTCAGGCAACGGGAAAGACGCGTAGTCTCGTCAGGCTACACCCCTTTTAAGTGTATTCTTACCTCAAACGTGCCGTCGGGTGTGTCGATATTTACGAATGTGAAGAAAGCATCAGGTCCATCATACATATAATTGATGTTCCATGGATTTCCATTGAGTGGGTCCTCAGGATGTTCTAGCCATACCATCTCTGCCTTCTGTAAACCATCTAGTATACAAATAATACACAGCAGCGGGGGCATTAGTAATTTTACTAATGCCCGAACAAAAATGATGTGTATCATTTGTTTTAATAGATTATGTTTGATTTGTTTTATAAAATGATGTTTTATAACATGATTTTGATAATGACCGGTCATTATCAAAATTACGCGTTAGGCAAAATGAATTTCTGGTCACGTGTATGCTTTCAACCAATCATTTTATTAGGATCCACGTCATCATCTTATAAATAATAATATATCGTACGAAACAGGTTTAATTTTAAGATACTTTGCTTGATAATCCCCCATTTCAGTTGAAAATCGTAACAAGGTAATGATTCGATCACAACACTGCAGATTGTATTTCAAGCATGGTGTTACTGTGATGTGTTCTTTTCCACTCAGTGTACACTTTTGCCCATAAATAATCTTTCTTTATCGCTTTTCATGAAATGATTGTAACAATATGATTCACTTTTGAAAGATAAAGGTTATATCTCCATAGAATTTCATTGATCAATCCCCATGAATCTTTAGATTGATCCATTACGTTCTGATAAGATATGAACTGCTTGTATATAGATCGAGAATGAACCACAATGTCACAATAATTTCATGAAAAGAGGTAAAGTAAGATTACTCCAACGAAGAGGTGGGCGGGGGGGGGGGGGCGGTCTGGCATCCTCAGGAAAAAATATCTTGGGCATTTTCGAACCTTTGTTGGCAATCCGCAGTTGATTTTTTTCGGGGGGAGGGGGGGGGGGGGGACAGGGTGGAAGAGGTGCTTGTTAATAAAAAATTAATGGAATCTTTGTAGACAACTTTGAAAAAAAATTACCACTGTTCTTTTCTTCTCATTTTCATTTTCATTTTTTTTTTGGGGGGGGGGGGTAATGGATTTTTCTTTCAAAGTACTTGTCGGCAAATTGGTCCGATATTCCTATTAAAAACCGTCTTAGGGCACCCATGTTTACAATATTGTTATTTTACATATTTCATCATCTTCGTATAGTTTATGTCGTCACATATGGCGACTGGCTGGAATGCTCCCCAGGGAGTGGAAAATGTGCACACATTGTGTGCGGGTAAGCCTGAATCCGATGACCGGGGTAATAATATATCTGTAAAGCGCTTAGGTACATCGTTGGATCGGTGTGATGAGCGCTATATAAAAAACCAGATTATTATTATTATTATTATAATCATAGGAATATCTCACTGAAACAGTTGAATATGAATCGTTATTAAATAGATTTAAATTTTATCCGTTATCCTTTATTTTCTTCTTGCAAATATAAGTTGCAAATGAATCACACGTGACTGCGTTTGACCAATCATTTGGTTAGGATCTAGGATTGAGTTGTATAACACAGGATGAAGACTAGTAATCTCCGATACGTATGAAGTCAGGTAGACAAAATGTTATGCCAATTCCCTTAATGTTGTGCCGCCTAAACCAAACATTTAACTTTATTATCAGTCTTTAAAATATTTCGGTGCTAAAGTATGGAATCTATTACCAAATAACTTTCAAAATGCTAAGTCTCTGGATATTTTCAGATTATTGTACAAAAAAAAATCAAAATCGAATCTATTATAATGACCCCCAAACCCTAAGCTGAAACCTTGCATTTGCATATATGACTATATTTTTGTTCTTTTAACTTCTACTTGATATTGTTATATGTAGCCACCATTCATATTTATAATTATTTTTGTTAAGGACCTGAATTGTTATGTTACCATATTTTGTACTACTTTGTATCTATTTTGTATTTTACTTTGTTATACTTGAATTCTGAATACTGCATTGTCATTGTTACTACCTTTTTCATACTATGCTTTTAAAACCAGGTCCAAGATGTAAAACAGATTTATTTCTGATCTTGTGTACCTGTATAAATATGTATGAATAAATAAAACAAAAATAAATAAATATGATGAATCCTCACACTCGAAGTCGAACCGTGCCCTTGCCGTGATTGCATCTTTACGTCCGTCACCATTGACATCGTGCCAGAGCACACGATGATAGAACCACAACCCCATATCACACTTCCAGGTAGTGATGTCGTACGACTTTCCTATCACCCGAACAAACAAACAAAAAAGAACCAAAAAAAAGAAGACTAAAATAAAGAAAAATAGTGCGGTGTTATTGATCAAAAATTGTCTCTTTTTATCCTGGATTCAGAAGAACATAATAGGGACTTTTAGATTTGCACAACGACAATGTGGATTGCTACGATTGACGTCCTTTTAATGCACTGCCTTGAATGGACGTCACACGTATCAGTCCACGCAAATCTAAAAGTCCCTAGTAACCAGCATTAATCAACCCTAGGTTATCTGTCCACAGGAATATGATCGACTAAAGTAATCTCTCCAAACTCCAAACATCCTATAGAGGATAATGAAAATCAATACAGTGCAGTTAATTCTTCTGGCGTAATATATAGTACATTTAGTTTAAATTTGCGTGAATAAAATAGTTTCGAATACCTGTATGAAGTAGAAATACAAAATCTGTTGTATGTACATTCATTGGGGATGATCTATCAACCACCTCCCTTCGATTTCAGATCATGGTGTACGCATGTTTACCCATGAATCTAGAACGATTGCAGTTTTGTTCAGTTCAGTTCAGTTCAGTGGGGTGACGAACTGGGGGCTCAGGGTAGGTTCCCCTCCATTTGTTTTCAATTTTGGGTTTCTTTTCGACCTTTTTTTCGCAGCGAAGTAGTCATATGTGGGCAATTCCTTAAAAAAAATGTGTTCCACTTTGACAAATTTGGTTTAAAACAGAAGAGTTTAACAATCTCCTCTCTTTGAGTGGTATATCAGTTGGAGTGAAGAACTTCCAGGCATTATTTTCTACGAAAACATATTTTTAGGGCAAAATGTGGAAACAGGTTTATTTTTTATCATCCAATATTTGGATTTCTTTATTCCACACCGTTATCTCTTGAGAGTTGATTCCTTGGTAATAAATCATTGTGAAGGGGTTTTAGAGCACTGGTAAGAGCTTTCCATGACACATTGAACATTCTGAAGCAAAGCTATATGGGTTTATAAAAGGTGGACAAAATGTCACGTCCGTTACGCTTAATTTGTCAGGCCCGTCACGCTATATTTTTGTAGCTATTGTAAGGAAATATATAATACAATTTTTTACGAGGTATATCTATTTTTGTTGTAAGATAATAAGCTCCTGTTCGCATCAACACGTTTAACCCCTACATCACAGACTTTTCAAAATATTAACAGCGAGAATTAACCCCCCCCCCCCAAAAAAAAAAAAAAAAAAAATTCTAATCGATTATGTGTCATGTCCGTCACGGTTACGGTTACAAAAAGGTCATTTTTCTCAATTTGCTATCTATGAACAAAAAAATCCTGAATCACGGGCTGAAATATATGTTAGGACTCTTAACTCTATTTAAAAACTGTCTTAAATAACCAAACGTGTTCTGAGTGTCAATTCGATTACACTGGAATTGCCCATGCCAGGTACTTCCAAACTTAGTATTATTAAAATGCTATACTCACCGACCCCTCCGTCTTTCGAGTCATCCATAAGAACGACATTTCCTCGTCTTTTAGATGGGAGGAGAAACCCAGTTGCGGACCAGCGAATTCCGCCTACCCCAAAGACATCCTCTGCAGAGAAAATGAAGACAATGAAGAAATTGAATCACAAATATACAATCAAGCATGATATATAAGAAGCATTCATAACAGCAACATTTACATGAGTGCGATCGCAAAGACCTCCTGCGATTATCCTGCGAATTATATTAGAAACAGACATCTTGACAAACATCATACTAAATAATGTTAAAGGTGAAATTCAAAGAAGATCACAAATATGTCAACTAATGTATCACTAGAAACTGGTAAGCTAACAGATGACCATCGGACAAGTTTTAGGTTAACTACATATCGGGTGATTTATAAAAAATACAAATACAACCACCTCCATAGCAGCTGGGATATACGAGAGATTCGCCGGAAAATAACGATGTTTTAATGACGTCACTATATGGACCAACACTGCCCAAGCAGACGACATCCCATAGAGAATGAACATAATTGCAAAGCCATTATTTCTCAAATTATAATGAGTTTAGTGTATTTAAATGTAATGGCATGTCAAACCATTCAAAAGGGGATATGACCCGATTCTGATAACTAAAATCTTTTGCTTGCAAATACACAGGATAGGGGTTAATTAACAATCAAAGAAACCAGACTTTCAAATTGAAAAACCCCTGGAATGATATTAGGGACGGCATTTGTTCCCTCTTAAAACGCCGAACATACCCCGGTGTGTGCAGCTGAATATACAATGGCGTCTTATTTCGTTACAAGCGACAGATTCCTTTATTTTTGTATCGCTACATTTGTCATCAAAATAAAAACATGCGCGGGGTTTAGAGTGAGGCAATAGATTATACATTTAGCCTGACGGTAGTGAAGTAAGAGAAAGAACTCGAGAGAAGACGAAAACACAGGCACTATAAATGTGTGAGATGTCATGGGACATCGTCTGCTTGTGCAAGTCATGTCCATACTGTGATCTCACATATCTTAGCAGCGTTCGGAGAGCTCTTCAGGTGATATGCCGGGGCTGTATTTAAGCGTTTTGTAATTTATGATAATCATTAATTCGAATGTTTCCAAGCATTGAATTTTGATAACCTTGTCGAATCAAAGTTTCAACTTTGCAATAATGAAAGTAAAGTTAGTTTTTAAAATCAATGAATATCTACTTTAAGAAAACTAGCAACCGGAATTTGAGAATGAAAGCCGAATCAGCTTTCAATCGTAGACAATCGCAATACTGGTGTGACGTCACTACGATTGTGAGTCGACATGGATATTCCTCCACCAAGAAAGCTCGAATTCCACAGAAATATTACATTTTTTATTGATATATGATTGTTCAAAGTATTGATCTTAGAAAGACCTAAGAATTCAGAAGTTTGAATGTTCATATTAACTGCTATAATTGCAAATTCTTCCCAAATCGGATCGTAATCAGATCAGATCAGATCGTGCCGTGGGCTTATTAATGTATAGGCACACCTTGTGTAGGTGTTTCAACATCCGAATGTTGTATCATGGAGTTGGACCCTACCACAAATAGTTGTTTAAAAGCAAAATAGAACCACTGGAGGGTTTAGCATCCCTCTGTATGCTTAGGCGAGCATTAAAAAAAGGCAATCATCCAATTTCCCAAATGTCACTGAATGATTGACAACTATTACTATTTTATATGTGTTAATTGAATTTAACACATAATCTTTTGATGTACGACAGACCTGATGCATGGCTGATCTTCAACGAAGCGGAGTTAAGTCTTTTGTCAACTCTGTTTGTTGCTACAGCAGGCAGCCAGTGAAAACGAACTCGTTTGATCAAATTATGGAAATGCAAGCATTACTTTAAAAAAACAGAACTTTGTTATTCCTGGCTCATTGTTCCTGATTGAGGTGTCATATGAAAGGGCAGAAATTGAAATTTCTAGAAATGTGATTTTCTTCTTGAAATTCAGATACCGCCCGCCAAATGACTTTTTGGTTTCCTCTCTTCAAATTGCTTTTAATCACTCATGCGTGAGATATGAATCATATGAGTTGCATTAAATGAAAGAAGGGAATCTAAGCTTTCCAAATATGTGTCATTTATTAATTATAATTGTGATTAAGTTATGATAAAACATCGATAGTTCTCGGTTTCGTTTTTGCTGGGACGCACTGTAGATGGAGAGTCGTAATAAGTACCTCAATCACAGCGCCAAACCGACTTCAGACCTACTCCAAACCCCGGTGGGGTCACTCCCCTGCAAAGAGTGACACGTATGACCGTTACCACCAATGCATATAACCCCCTTTTGCGGTCAATTTCAAGGACATTTTGTGATATTTAACCCCCTTTTTTACGTCAAAACAAGGACAAAATCTAAACCGACTAATACTTGGCCATAGACGTTATGTAATATTTTAATTCAGTCTATTGTCTGTCTGGTGTCGGTCTTGTCGATGTGATTATTAGGGACAGTTTTCGGTGGTAATGTTCCATGTCTTTGCAAACAATCGTCCGCTGCGATAGAATACGTTTTTATTGATTTCTCATCTATGCCATTACAGCATGTACAACCTCGGACTAAATTAGAGACTTTTAGATTTGCGTGGACTGATACGTGTGACGTCCATTCATGGCAGTGCATTAAAAGGACGTCGATCGTAGCAATCCACGTTGTCGTTGTGCAAATATAAAAGTCCCTATTAAGTGCATGTTGACTTTTGTTGACATTACCTTTTCAGACTGCTTGCAAAGTGCATTGTCCCAATCCAAAGAACGAGGCCTTAATCATGCTAATTGACTCAGTATTAATTAACTAGGCAATATCGTCATGATCCGACTCACAGGGAAACTTTTATTAAAAATTAGATCTTCAACACCTACTGATGATAATAATTCAATTATCGTCAAGTAGGGTTGTCATAACAACTGCAATCTTGCTTTATAGTTCACGGGTGAGTATATTTTCATTTCCCAAATCCCAAGTATTGACTGATACTTTACACTATACTGCTTGCAGTCGTCTATACATTATGAAAATGTGTAAAATGGATCGTCTGTGATCATAAAACTTTTAAAACACAAGTCCTGGAAAAATCTGAATCAAAAAATCAAATATTTTATCGGACCTCCCTACCTGCTTCTATTAGGCTACACTTCGTGGTTGTTTATATGATCAACAACGTAATGAAAACACAAATGGAAATCATCTACTTAAAATACAATCCATGTTAAAACAATTCACTCTACACAATCATGATTAATTCATTTTGCATCTTTATCCTATATTCCTGTATAAAAGTGCACTGCAATCAACACGCTTGTCTGATTCAAGTCATGTTACGCCTATCATAAGTTTACAAAAAAATCCTCGAAAAATATGCATGTTAGATGGGAGATAATACTTCCAATTGACCGTATTATTTTTAATTGGTATTTTGTTCATGTTCATATAAACAAGTACAGGCGAGTAAACATAAGAATAAGACAAATTATGTTCAGATGTATATGTATATATATATATAGTTATATATAATGTTTTTGATGAAAAACAAAACTAAACTAAACAAAACAACACCCCTATACCGATTCAACTTAAACTACCAACAATTGATTCTTTGCATATATTGTTTATTACTCGTTACATTTTATAATACGTGTTCAACTATTGCCAATCATATACTTATGAAAGCTGAATTATTTTGCACATTATATTTTAATTTTAAGTTATTCTTTTACGTATTCTTTTTTTCTTCTCCAAACATAATCCATGTGCATGAATGTGAATTGATCAATTTCTAGTACATGCCTAGGAAGTGCTAAATAAATAAAGTTGGAAACCTAATTGCCTATTTCCTATTACTTTCAAATAGAGAAAGCTCTTGCATAATTAGTCAACGAAGGACCATCTAGTAAGTCCATGGTAGGACCTAATCTGACATTTATTCACAGACATTTTAGTTTATAATCCTCCCTTTGTCACCATTGCACAATACCTTGTGGGTCATAGTCAGTGTTTGAACTGTCATAATACACGCCTTTTTCTCTGAAGAAACAAATCTACTACTTTAGCCATCGTTATAGCTCGGGTCGAAGGAGCGAGAAATCTGGGCTTGAAGGCTACCCATACAATCAGCTATGTTGACAAACGTATTTTGCTCTCGTCAAACAATGTTGTCAACGCAGATGATTGTATTGGAAACCGTCATGTGCAAATATCTCGCTTCTCCAAGCATGGCAATTATTGTTGCAAAAGTAGTAACTTTTGAAAACGATATTGCTTCACAAATATAGCAGTATAGAATGAAAACGTCTTCCCTGAAATTAATGATCTTGGTGTCATTTTACGCGGTAAAGGATATTTTTCCCAATGAAACAAAAAACTAAATGACACTCTGTCAATATGCAGTCGGGAGCTATAATTGTAGGCCCTAATACCAGCTAAATCTATGTTATAAATTTGTAATATTAACCATGAAGACCATGCTTTGCATTAGATTGTTCTGTGAAGACTATGTGGACATAGTCGTGATTAAAATGGATACATACAAAACAGTATCATTGTTTACCAATATAGACATTGGTGACAGCTTAATTTATAACAATTTGCTTAAATTCGCATGATTTAAAATGAAACAATTGGATTTTGTGAGTTATTTGAAGAAAAATGTAATTATATGCATCTTAAATAATTGTTTAAAATTGAAACGCTAATGGTATACAACAACTTCTCATAGAACATACTAGCAATTTCAATCAACTATTTCGTGGTACCCCTTCATACATTGATTCTGAGGATACGCACGACTCACAGGGGAAAAAGAGTTGCCCATTTGTCTGCTCTGTCTCCCGAATTATTTGGTTAAGAGACGTGACTATTTAATTAAGCCAAATCTCGATCTCTCATTACAATTGGTCATGTAGACACTCAACATTCCCGATTGACGGCAGGCCATGAGACCCATGTTCAATCAACTTGATGACCAGTCCCCCGATTGCACCCTAAATAAAGAGTCGGTCTTTTGTGGTGAGATCAGTGAACCATGAGCCAGTTAACTACATTTCATACCCAGTAGGCCTACATCTGTACATGACTATTTTGTGCGGAGAGAGTAATTCACTTGGTGGCGATTCCTGTTCGATGTCTACAAACAACAGTAGTCTGCAAAGAAAGTTTTAATGTATCTATTCCCGTTCCGGTGGTAGCCAAACTGTTCACACGACTTCAAATACTCCAGAATTGACAGTCTACATATTGTAAACATGAGTGGGGTGTATAGAGAGGAGCCGAAATGTGAATAATTTGCATTTTCCATCGATCATCTTTGAATGCTTAATGTGTCACTTTTGAACGAGATTTTTAGCTGTTGTCATCAGCGTAGTAGCTGGACGGGTGTTGTCTTATTAATATCATCAATAGAACTTCTCATCGACTGATACCTGATACCGGACGTGACAAAGTTATGAACATTATTATACGGCTCCAAACCAAGGTCCGAAAAAGAAACTTGTTTAAAAATCTTCACCTCTACGATCATCGGATTCATAATCATATTGACATCGCACCTCTAGTCTGATAACGGATCATTGAATGTTATAAACTGAACTATAGCGCTGTTAATACTATGTTTATTTGAATGCTTAATGTGTCACTTTTGAACGAAATTTTTAGCTGTTGGACTGAAGGCCTTTGGACAGAAATATGGCGATGCGCTTTGGAAACAAACGCCGGGCCTTCATCTTCGCGCCAATAGCCACTTTGCTTATCATTATGACGTTCAAAGGACACTCTCCATTTCACCGTTATCAACCTGAACAGGATCTACGACGCCATGATCATCGAGAGACCACAGTTCACCCCTTACAAACTTGCTCGTGCTACATGAACTACATCAGAAAACATAGTTTTAATGGCAGTAGTGAAGCTGTACAAATAAAGGTTGCTGCTCAAGATAGGACTGTGACAGAAAAGTCAACTATCACTAAACTCTTGCCGCCTGCTATTTTGAAAAATGTTGAAAAAACAACCGACACGATAGATAACCCTCCTATGAATTATTTACAAGAACCAATAGACACACACCTTTTTAGCTACATCCATAATCCGGAGATGACATGTTTCCACACGAATGGCTCGAAAATGGATGTCTATCTCGTATTCTTTGTTCTGTCAGCACCAGGAAATTTCGTCCATCGTGATGCCATTCGTAGTTCCTATGGTTCAAGAGACTCATGGCCAACCGTTGAGGGCGCGCAAGTGGTGACGGTATTTTTGCTCGCTTCTACAGGCAATGCGGGACTCCAAGACAAGATTGACATTGAGTCGAATAAATACGGCGACATCGTGCAAGAGTCCTTTGTTGATTCCTACCTGAATCTGACTAGAAAGACGATCATGGGTCTGAAATGGGTCAAGAGCCACTGCAGACACGCACAGTTTGCCATGAAGATCGACGATGACACTTCAATCATCCAACGTCGCATCCTCTCAATCCTCCATGATGCACCCCACATCAGGTACACATTGGGGTTTATCTTCAAAAAACCAATCGTCAACCGTGACAAAAAGGATAAATTCTACATGTCCAAGGAATACTACCCCGATGACCACTTCCCGTCCTACCCCAACGGCCATGGGTATGTCATGTCAACGGACGTGGTCGAAGCCGTGTTCAACGTCGCTATCACCATTCCCTTGTTCCCATGGGAGGACGTCTTCTTCGGAACGTGCATTCACAGGCTCGATATCGAGCTCAATCACGACAACAATTACTTATACTGGGGTTCTTACAAAGCTCTCATGACTGGCAACAAGGATGATATCGCAGGAAAGCACGTTATGGCAACAGATATTCCCCCAGAGGACATGGTGCGTTTCTTCAAGAGATTCATGACGAAAGAGTCATGAAGTTGTGACTTCTTGTATAATGGTTTGACTAGATTGTGAATGTTGTACCGCTTACACAGCGTTTAAAAGTCTACAATGCCAAACTCGATGTAAGAATTGCTCGTAACTTGCGTTTGAATTGAATCAGTGAAGGACTAATCCCTTTGATCCAGATCGATTCTTCCACCATTCTTGACCATCATCCCATCCGATTTTATGTCAAGTATTATTGATGTGTTCTGTTACCCTGAATGAGATGGATTACTCAATCAAAAAGGCTTCGTTGTGATTTTGTTGTGTCCTTGTCTATGTATGAGGCACGATGGTCATAAACCTCGGATAAATGGGCTTTCTTAGGTTGTCTTATATGTTTGTATTACATCATTCATAATTATGTTTATTGTGAGGATGATCATGTTGCATATTGTGAAAGTGACCACAGTCATGTTTTTTCTTCTTTCAATTTGAAGGGTTCAAAGGAATGAATACTCACAAGGGTAAAAATGCAGGGCAACTCCAGAAGTATCTACAGTATTATTATTATTATATTTCGTAAAGACAACATCAAGAAAACAGTAAATACGAAAAACAACATGTTTCATGTCAAAGATTACAATTTACAGGAAGGGTTTATTAAAATCCGATAACGGATTAGAAATCAGTCAACAATTGGCAAACCGACACCAAATGTCATACGTTCAGCCATACACAATTTGCTCTGTTATGTATTTTACACTATGAATATGACGGACAAAGAAAGCGGACAAAATATACAGTTCCTCAGGTAAACAAAGGAACATCCCTTCACTGCTATTATGTAAAAAGGTGAATATGCATGTGACACCTGTTCTACACATTTTTACATAATAGCAGTGAAGGGATGTTCCTTTGTCTACCTGAGGAACTGTATATTTTGTCCGCTTTCTTTGTCAGTCATATTCATAGTGTTATACTCCGTTTCCATCTTATAATTTGTTTCCTATATATATATATATATATATATATATATATATATATATATATAGTAACTTTAACGGCCCTATGATTAAATATTATTTTGCAAAGTTATTAATTACCTGTTTTGTTTTTCATGTGTACTGTGTATATTCTACTTATCTGTACTACGATATATATCAACATGACTATCACATCTATATTTGTAATTAAAACTGTCTTTTAGAATAAAATTGAGGACATTCTATATATTAAAGCGCATGCAGACTTAAAGTTGTCACAATGCGATATCAATTATATTATTAGTATTATATAATCATATTTGAACTCGTATTTTGAAATTATACAGTCTGTGCCGAAACAAGTACACGCATGACATCTGCACAGCCATTTTCTTGATTATAATAACGTACCACGGGAACTTGAACATGTATCATGCACCAAGCTGTAGTTGGACAGACCTATAAAAATTATGTAACAAAGGAGATACAGTTTGTCATTTATTCAAAAATAATTAAAATATAGCAGTTGACAAACTCTGCTCTCTGCTAGTGTGTAATTTGTTATAGAACAAAGAATTGTATTGGGAACCAGTTTTATCTTTCCTGATGGTGTCCAAGGACCCGCCATAGGGCCTCTATTGGGATGCAGGGGCAGAGCCTTTGTCAGGGGTCATGGGAGCGGAGCCCTTGAAGTTCTTGAGTTTTAACCAAATTAGAACCTTCAAGATCGCCTAGAATTAGAAATTGTAACTTTCTTCGTACAAAATCACATGGCCCCTATCATTTCATTTAAGAAATCCTCTTTTTTGTTATCTCTTATAAGACACATTTCTAGAATATTTTTCGCACTGTTCTACTTTCGTCTAAAATCTTCGTAGGCAATCGTAAGAGGTTAAGGGGCACTTATCAGAGGTGGCCAGGGGCACTTGATTTACCTGAAAAGGTGCACTCACATGAGATGAATAGAAAGGGGCTCTCATTACAACATAAAATGGGCAATTGTCAAAGGAAAAGGGCCAACTATGATATTTTAGTAGAGGCATTTATCAGGAACGTAAGAAGGGGCATTTAAGAGAAGGGGGAAGTTGTTGTTATTAAAATAGAAAAGGGGCATTATTTTATTAGGAGGAGAAAGGGCAATTATTAGAAAGAAAAATGGGACACGCCTCAAAATAAAAGAAGGCACTTATCAGAGGTGGGAAGGGGCACTCATCAAAGTTGGAAAGAAGCACTTATTAGAAGCTTTAGAACCCCCGAACTGAACAGAGACTAAGATAGACAGCAAGTCAAATATTATATATTTCCAACATTTACCATGCCTAATGGCTTTTTATTTGCCCCTCTATTATGTTTGTTTAGTATAATTATGTATTGTTATATGTATTTTCTTTTTAAATTGTAAAATTCAGCGTTAGCTGCGGAATAGATTTGGAATAAATATAGTGTATTAACTAAAGATAGTAATTAATCATACCCGCAAATTTACTCGGAATTAATTAAATCTAAATTCATCAAATTAAAACAATGCCATAATTATAGAGGATATATATTAACCTAAGAACAAATAAACAAAAACCATATGGTACGGTTTGATTTTTCAGATTTAATTATCGTGGTCGTATCCTTGTGTCTACATACTCTCATCACGCGATATCGATGGCGAGAATTGTCATAAGCATATTTCACGTCAGGGGCGGTAAGCTGAAAACTATGTTAATTTGTGTTTAGGTTACGCCCCCGAAAGGCTCATTTCCAATGATTCTCCAATGAGAATCATTGTTAAAATATACTCTCATCCAATCACCTTAGTTTGATCACGCTGTTACAGCTCTGTGGACTGTAGCGCATATTAATTCAACATAATCAAAACATGCGCACTACCGTAGTCCGAATCTTTGTCATAAAGTTCGTGCATAAGGCCTTTAAGAAAAATGTTGTTAAGCCCTTTGCGACCGACCCAAAAGTTTTGAAATCGACGGTCGGCTTTGTTATATTTTTTTACCGTTTTTTAGAGAAGAAAAATGTATTAAAGAGGGAGTTAAAAAAAAAAAAAGTAAAAAAAAAAAAGGATGTCCGACCGACCGACCCATGTTTTGGCACCTAAAGACCCGCCCCTCCCCCCCCCTCCGGGAACGGAGGGACCACATGCGTGTTCCCAAAATCTCCGGCTCGTAAGAAAGAAAAAGGGCTACCCGTATTGACTTTACACACCGGACTTATGCTGAAAAGGTGCTGGGAACACTCATATGTGTACCCTAAATAACATTGAGTGGGGGAGGGGGGCCTTAAGGGCAATACAACATCTTCTTTGTTTAGGCCTAATGATTACAATCTCGACTTCATTTGCATCCTTTCTTTAAGTTATTACTCTTCTCATTAAGTGATACAAATGAATATAGTTGATTGGGATATAATATTTTATTATGAAAGTCTACTGTCAATATGTTTGATAATTATCATCAGATGTGTTCTTTCTTGCATGTTGGCATCTTTGAGTTTTCAATCGCTATTCGAGATAAACACATCAAGCTCCTTACGCGTGCGAAACGGAGCAGAGGACAGGATATCATGAGACAAGAATTAAGTCCCGAAATTAAGTAAGTTGTTCAAAATAATTAGGGGTTATCCTACGGACTGAAGCAATGCCGTCCTGTAAAAGCATAAATAGATTGCATCATTTTAAACCACGATTTTAGGCACAAGTTCAAGACCACAATATTGAATCGGAAAAATCAAACCGTACCATATGGTTGTTGTTTTTTGTTCTTAGGTTAATGCACTTCTTCTATAGTCTATGGCATTGGTTTGATTTGATGAATTTAGATAAAATTATTTTTGTGTAAATTTGCGGGTATGATTAATTACTATCGTTTGTTAATACTCTATATTTATTCCAAATCTGTTCCCCAGCTAACGCTGAATTGTACAATAAAAGAAATATGCATATAACAATACATAATAATACTAAACAAACATAATACGGGGGGTAATGAAAGGCCATTAGGCATGGTAGGTGTTGGAAATATATTATATTTTGTCGTGCTATCTATCTTAGTGTCTTTCCAGTTTGGAAGTTGATTACAACAATTTCCCACACATGGCATCTCTGTTATCTGCCATCCTAGTAAACTCTTGCAGTGTCGTTCCCCTTTGGGTCTTCATGTTCTCTGTTCGCCCTTTTCTCTTTAACTATTCCTATGCAGGGGCAGCGATCCCGGGGGGGGGGGGGACCCCTCAATTTTTTAGGGGGGATTGTCCCCCCTGAAAATTTGAAAAAAATGCAAAAAGAAAATGTATAGCAAATACTGACTAAAGACTGCAACACACTTTTAGGCTTTGGAGGGCCCAAGAGTGCAGCGTCTAGACTAATACAAATGCAAAAATCTTCTAACTCGGTCGCTACGCTCCCCGCATAATATCCTTTAGAATGTACGAGTAAATATGGGAGAAAATCTGAATTCAGTTGGGGATAATCATATTTATACATAACTTCCGAGTGGGGATACACTGGCAACAGTCCCCAGTCGATAACTTTCTTATTTTTTGCTTATTTTGGTAAAAGTGACCCGAGAGGAGTCTACTACCCAAGAGTTCCAAGACATCCACATTACCATAGCAAGACACCTGATTTTCGTGCGCTACTTTGGGTATCATCTGAGATTTTAAAATTCTGATAAATAAACAGCGCCTAGTAAGCTCAAATTCCAGTATCCCCAATGTCATAGTTAAGGATAAATATCGCCTGTTGGTACGTTCCGGGGATATTTATCCGTAACTATGACATTGTAATTTGAGGTGTTTGTATAATTTGTTTTTATGTAAGAGCGTGAATCGCGCCCCCTAGGGAGGGGGAGTTCCATATTTAAGAGAAAGAAGACGATCCATTGTTCCGTTCTCCTTTAAATCAATCAATCACCAAACTATCAGCATTTAATCAAAAGATTTTCATATTACTTGAGGGAAATATGCTAGTCATTATATGCAACATTATTAAGACTTATTTCTTGTTTATTTCTGGTATGAGAGCGGGGTTGTAACACTAAAGGGCGCTTGACTGTGTCCTTTGGTAAGGCATTTATCCTCATTACTCACACTGACTTGCACCTTTACCTTCACAAATTGTAATTTGCTTTCAAAATACTAATTGTTTTGTTGTTTTCAAACTCAAGCTTTGGTATAAGCCAATAAAATACACTCTAAATTGGTTAAACATTTACTTAGTGTTAGTATTACGTCTTACCCGAACAAACATGATTGTATGGTCCTGATTTTTCCCTCCTATGTGTACAATTTTACCCAATCGCATAGTCAGACCTATTGATCTAACATTTGAAATATTCATAACCTTCTCATTATTGATCCGATTTATTTCAAACTTTCACCATTCTGTTTCTCTTATTTTTCTGCTTCCATACAAATGAACTTATCACAAGTGTTTGGAATGCCTTTAACTGGCTTACACGATTTTAAGTCAAAGATTTAACCCAGTGCCGGGTTTTAATTTTTAATAGAATACATGTCATTGTGTTTACAGGCCAATTGGTAGTGTTCTTTAAAGATAATTTTATTCGAGCACCAACTCACTAACAAAAAGTGACCTTTAAAAAAGCGAAGTTACAAAATCATTGCAACTCTCTCTATTGCATGTACGGGAGTGGAAATCCATTTTGTGGGAGTCATGATTAGGGATCACTTCACTTGGAGCAAAATCAAGGCTGAAAATGGTGGAATCCATTCATAAAAGGGTATTTAAACCCCTACTTCAGAGTGGCCATATTTCACAGTAGTAAAGTGGATTGCCATTCCTTTTCACAGAGAGAGAATACGGTTTTTCAAACTCACCTGGCACTAGTCCAACCTCATTGGGCCAAAACAACCCGTCATCGAGCTCCTCGGCATTTAATTGTCTAACATCATTTTCCTCCACAAGTTGTTTTGCTATATCACGCACGATGTAGTTCGAATCTAGAGTACCCGGAATAGCCGAGAAGGTGCTGATACTCAGGTCATAGCCACCTACGCCACCAGGACGGGGCTCCACTGCCGTGAAGGCCGGGTTTCGAATGAGAAACCAGCCCAAGTCTTTTACTTGCCAAGCCCAAGACTGAGCCGGAAAAAGTAAGCATAAGGTGGTGACCAAGAGTACCAAGTTTGATGAAACAGCCATTTTAAGATCCGATTTCTCTAGTCTCCATGCAATATCAATCTTTTAGGTTTAATCCGGGCCTTGAAACTGTTGTAGGCCTATACGAACAGCCGTGACTAGAAGTTAATAACTTTGCCTTTTATTGTTTTAATTTAACCATGCGGATTGAGTAATAAAGTACTTGGTTTTGTTATCTAGTTACACATTAAACTGTAATCAGTTGAGTGGGTTGTGGGATGTGAAGCAATCATTCCTTAATTGCTATCTTCGGGATCCCAAAGGTCGCATTTTTTGTGTTACACCTAGTGTTTGTTTCTACCTTCAAGAATGATAATCTCTATGGGTCTGACCTAAACTTAACTTACACTGTTTGAAATCCAAAATTCAAAGTCATGATTTGTTTTACCAATATCTCATCGCAATAGAGTACCGAAGCTGTTACATCAAAAAGATCTATTTTTTTAGAATTTCTCAATTTTCTCTTCATTTTCCGAAAGAGCATCAAAAGTAATGTCCAATGCCGAAAACCAGTTGAAAATGTTAAGTATTGGCTGAGATATGACCATCTGAATGAATATATTTCCTATAGCAGCTCAGTGTTATATTGCTCTGGTTCATAACTTGAGGAACCAGAGCAATAAACACTGAGAAAATATTTGTATTCAGATGGTCATATCTCAGCTAATACTCGGAAAATGAAGAGAAAATGGAGAAATTCTAAAAATAGATTTTTGATGACGTCACACTTCACCACTCTATGTAAATAAGCTCTAGGCTAGGAAAATCCTTATTTCCCGTATGTGCATATCCTTTCTGTGTCTTATAATAATTTGTTAATGTCTGACAATTTGTCTTTATATTTTCCTGTAATATTCAATTATTTTGTATAACCTTATTAAAGGCAGAAATAATATTCAAACAAACCAACCAAAAAAGATGAGGTGATAGTTGTTTGTATATTGAAGCTCTTAAATGCCTCGGGGGAATGAGGGTCTAATTTGTAGGTCATTTGATAACACGATCACTAAGACTTTCGAGAAAACCCAATGTTAGGTTTCAGGTTTCCGGTTTTAAAAGCCTACTGTCTTTCCGAAGATATCAGGATCAGATTATGTAATGTCATGTTAATGTTCGCACTTAGTTGATGGACAAGGATAGTGATATTGCCCAAGGTTGATTTTTCCAAAGATTTTGCGATCGCGTTTTATATACCTGATTGACGGATTAGTATTCGAAATATAGATTCCTCTGCTGTTTCTTTTACTAGGAACATAAAAAACGACACAAGTTGGTCAACATCATATTACACACGAACGCCCTCTACGTAACGTTTATCCAGAACAAATTTCAACAACACATCTTGATTAGTTTTTCCAGTGGACTTTGTGAAGGTGCTTGATGAGGCATTGTGACGTTATGCCGTCGTAATTGACATCTAGCTGCTGTAAAGAAAGAAAAAATAACAGGCATCAGTAATTATGATAAACGAATCAGATAACAAAAAAAGTTTTTATGATGACTGGCAGTGGTGGGGACTACCTGAGCCCTTGTCCAAATTTCGTAGGTAAAGAATTAGCGTTTTGTCAAGCTTTCTCACAAAACAAAACAAACAAACAAGAAGCATACAAACAAGAACAGATCAAACACAAACGATTCCGAAAAAAATAACAAAAACAAACAAACAAACAAACGAACAATTTGAAATAAATATTTCGCTTGTGCCTTAAGATTTTAGGATAAATATGCAGCAAAACAAATCTTTTCACTTCGTTCGTTCGTACGAAGAATAGCAAGGCGTACATCATTTAAATAGGAAGATCCTTATTTAGCCAACTGATGGTCTCATCATTGAGCTCTCGAAGTCCAGAATCACCGAGAGTGGATTTGTAGATAGGACAAGCATCAATGACGTGATCCACAGTTTGAATCTTTCGACAGGCACAGTTTGGCGATGGATCAGCTCCAATTTTATGTTGGAAATATTGTGTACTGCCAACTCCAGTTCTGATACGGTTGAGGTTGACCCCGTCTTTTCTTGAGAGGTCACTGCCACTTGGTTTTGCACAGGGTTCTGGGATGAACTCCTACAAGTTAATAGCAGACGAATTTTACTGGTCTGACCAGTGTTTTGCTATCCAGGTAGGTAAGGTAGAGGGGAAGCTCAGCAGCCAGGGTTGCAAAGTGTCTTCTATTAAGGGAAACGATGCCCCTTCACACAGGGGCATCGCTAGACCTTTTTCAGTGTGGGGGGGGGGGGGGGGGGGGGAGGTAGAGGCCAACGATTACCGATAAAACTAGCCACCAATTACCGACACAATTAAATGTCCAAATATCTACAAATTCAACCCTATAAACCCGGGGCCGAAGGCTAAATTGTTTTTCCTATGGACTATCTATAGAACTTGCGTATGCGCAAGTGGTAATTTTCCACGACGACATAAATATACGGATTATTTCGTCAACTTTGTCAGCATCATAGCTATATATTTTAATGTAGGCGCGGAGCTCCACGTAGGATCTTATTTTAGGGAGGGGCGGTAGTGAGCAAGCGAATCACTGAACGAGTGCGCGTGGGTGATAGGCCTCCCGCGCGAAGCGCGCAAGCTTAGACGTTTCCTTAAATCATTAGGAAAAGAAGACGATTTATTGTACCGTTCTCGACTGTTAATCCTTGTCTGAATGAAGTCCCCCCCCCCTCCCGCGCGAAGCGCTTAAGTTTAGACGTTTCCTTAAATTATTATAAAAAGAAGACGATTTGCTGTACCGTTCTCGATTGCTAATCCTTGTCTGAATTCAGTTTCTTTCACTCCCTCGCAAAGCGCGGAAGCTTTGACGTTTCATTAAATTATGAGAAAAAGCAGACGATTCGGTGTACTGTTCTAAACTCTTAATCCTTATCTGAATTCAGTTCTCCCCGTTCCGCGCGAAGCGCGGAAGTTTTAGCGTTTCATTAAATTATTAGAGAAAGTAAACGATTCGTTAAACCGTGTTCAACTCTTAATCCTTGTCTGAAATCAGTTTCTCCCCCTCCCGCGCGAAGCGCGGAAGTTTTGACGTTTCATTATGAGAACAAGCAGACGATTTGATGTACTGTTCTCAACTCTTAATCCTTATCTGAATTCATTTCTCCCCATTCCGCGCGAATTTTTAGCGTTTTATAAAATTGTTAGAGAAAGTAGACGATTCGTTGAACCGTGCTCGACTCTTTATCGTTGACTGAATGAAGTTTCCCCTTCTCGCGCGAAGCGCGGAAGCTTAGACGTTTCCTTAAATCATTAGGAAAAGAAGACGATTTATTGTACCGTTCTCGACTGTTAATCCTTGTCTGAATGAAGCCCCCCCCCCCCTCCACGCGCGAAGGCTTAAGTTTAGACGTTTCCTTAAATTATTATAAAAAGAAGACGATTTGCTGTACCGTTCTCGACTGCTAATCCTTGTCTTGTCAAACAAACAAGGAATAAGATGGTGTGCACCTATTTTGACCGACTCACAACTGCAGAATTTCATTCATAAATTAAAAGGGTGCGTTTTCAGCAAGGACTTAAACTGGTCAAGAGAATGAATATCATAAATATGCGCTGGTAATTTATTCCAAAAAATAGGGGTATTTACTGAAAAAGCTCGATCGCCATATTTTGTAACAGTACGAGGTCCAAGTGTTAACTGCAAGGTTGATGATGATCGAAGAGGTCTTACAGAACTAGAAGAACGTAAGGAAATCGAATCTGAAAGATATTTAGGGGTTTGGCCATTGAGAATTTTGTATGTCAGAAGAAGAACTCTAAAAGTAAATTGGAAGCCAATGAAGAGAACGCAATATTTGGGTTATGTGCTCAAATTTTCTCGAGAGAGTAACAAGCCTTGCAGCAGTATTCTGAATTCTTTAAAGTGGAAGTAGGTATTAAAGAGGAAGGCCAGAAAGAAAAAAATGAATTACAATAATCAAGGTGGGAGGATACAAAGGCATGGTTAATTTTGCAGTTGTGGGTCCGTCAAATAGTTTCCTAACTATTATAATTGATTCATTAATTATTAATATATTCTGTCACTCGCGGTTACCAGCAGATGGTAACCTTCATGCAACCTTCATGCAACCTTCATACAACCTTCGATATTCTTTAAAAATAGAAGCTATCGATAGACAGTACTTCAAAAGATAGCTGGATAGAAACACTTCGTCACATCAAGCTACGAGAAAGTTTAGCATCATCTCACCGAAATCTACTCCAAATCTGCATCGAAATCAGGTAGGTCCAAGTAACCCTTACATTATGCTTGTTGCACATGGGGCGTCTTTATGATTGCGTCAGTTTGTCATTGTATTGATAATGATATCGACTATTTAGTAGCGTTAAAACAAACAGTACCTTATCGCTAACAAAGTAACAGACTGTGAAGAGAAACATAAAACTTATAAATAGGTAAATCATACTTTATTACTGAAGGAAGAAGTTCGTTTTAAAAGGGTTGGGTATTATGTTACACATAGAAGGAAAAAAAAGGGATGTTTGTTGGGTAAAACTTTATACCAACATTAGTTGGTGTTTACACAATTTTGGGTACATTTTACCCAACAAACACGCCAAAGTTATAATGGTCAATCTTAAGTTTGTTTTGTATACTTAAGTTTAAAAATAATTAGCATTTTGAAAGCAAATTACAAATTACAAGGTAGGTTTAAGTTAGTGTGAGTAATGTTACAATGTGGTATGTCAAGTACTCTTTCAGAAAGTGAAGAATGTGATTGAATGTAGACAGGCGCGTACGCAGGATTTTTTCAAGGGGGGGGTTTTAACATTTATAAATCGGTCCGAAAATTTCGCAACGACTCAGCCAGCCGCTGAATAAGCGGGGGGGGGGGGGGGGGGGGGGGGGGGGGGGGGGGGGGGGGGGGGGGGGGTAAGAGGACACATTTTTTTTTTTTTTTGGTCTCGAAATTTGGAAATTTGACATTTTGCTCCGTTGGGGGGGGGTAAGGTCACCTTTTTTAGGTCGGCCATGGGAATAATTTTTTTTTTTTTTTTTTTTTAATAATTAAAAAAAAACAAAACAAAAAAAAAAAAAAACAAAAGGGGGGGGTTTTAGGTTTTTTTTAGGGGGGTTTACATACATAAAATTTCCAAAGGGGGGGGGGGGGTTTAACCCCCCAAACCCCCCCCCCCCCCCCTGCGTACGCGCCTGAATGTAGACATTCTGAAGCCTTGCATTCATCAGAGCAAACCGAAATTCCCGTATTTTCTGGCAGCCAATCGTCTCGAAGTCTGTTATTTTTCGCACAATTTGCTTTGTCATTTTCCGTTATTACATTCAATCGTCCGTTCTCGGCTTACTGTTCATTCTTGATGAAAAGGAAAGTTCCAGTGATATTCTCAATTGTGTTGAAATTGCACCGTAGCTTTGGCCAAATTATCAAAATGTATTGTATGTTGATTCTATTTTCCTTAGACTTTGAAAATGGCGGCAAAAAACATGATTGCTCTCTACTTTCTGATTGCCCTGGCCGTGGCTGCAAGTGTTAATTTAGTCGAGGAAGATCAGATCGAACATTCTGATGGGTGGAATGTCGAGGAGAACGAGGGCCAAGGCTCCACAAATGGTAAGCAATTAATTCCCTTTTAATTTCAATCAACTAAACGAATAACTAAATCATAATAATTACAAAACGATCAACCTAAAGCAATTCAAACAGCCGTATGATTGTGCGGTCACGTATTGAAATGTGCCAACATGACAATAAGGATTTTTTACATTAGGCCTATCCGAACAGATTTGAAGAAAGTGTGCGCTGAGGTTTGATGATAGAAAAGGGGATTTTTCAGAATTGAATGTTATCAGAGTTGCTTTCAGTCTTGAAATTATATGAATGTTATTCTCCTTCCTTTCCTCTTGACTCATCTCTTTCTCTATTAAAAAGAACACGCTTAGGGACTTCATACGTGGTGATATGTGCCATAGAAAGATGGTTTGTCATTATCATTATCATTACGACGGTCAAACCTGTCTACTTAAAGATAAAGACCAGTTATGTTCATGCGATTGCATTGTGAAAGAAACGTTGTGGAATCGATCAGAAAAGGTTGATCATCTAGCATATAAGTATTGGTGCATGTGTACTGCAAGGTTCTTGAATCATCAAAATGATACGAAATTTGGCCAAGTCTTGATAAAGCTACAATCACTGTACACAGAAAGATGTATATGGGACTACGTACCCCACATGTGCACGACACGCGCGTTATCAGGTCCAAATATATATAATATTTTACCAAATATATCAATCAGTAGACGGTTTCTCGGCAAAATTTGAATGATATCACGTATTAGTCAAAACATATTCTTTCACATGGTTGGTAATAAGAGCTTCCGTTTCATTTTTTTGAGAGCCCGGGGGCGTTTCCAAAACTGGTCTTTACCTTTATTAAGGCCACCAAATGAAAACACATGAAGTGGGCCACGGTATATAGTTGGCCTTTAAAGACAGGTTCTTCAACAAGCATTGCCTCCTAGAGGAAGGCAATATGAGAGACCACTATAGGCCGGTGGCCTTTATTGAGAGTAGGCCACTAATACCCCGGTCACACAACGCTGCGACTAGAAGCGGCGTGTAAATAAGGCAGCTTTGACTGTATTTGAGAAAGCCGTTGATTTAACACTTTTAGAAACTTGTAATCCTTGCTGATTATATTTCAAAATGAATTTTGTTACCGAGCAAGTTTTGTTTGACTTGATTTAATTCATTGATTTGTAAATGTGCCGATCATTTTGTGTTTTTTATTTATGTGTGGCAGCTTGTGTTAGTGACGGATATAAGTGCTACTGTAATGGACAAGGAGTAGTCTATTGTACAGGTAAGTCAAACATTATCATTAGGGACTTTTAGATTTACACGATGAGAACGTGGACTGCCACGTGTGACATCCTTTTTAGACAATGTGACGTCCTTCTAAAGGCACTGACAGTCACATTGCCTTAAATGGATGTCACACGTGGCAGTCCACGTTCTCGTCATGTAAATCTAAAAGTCCCTAATATCTCCGAATCTAAAGAAAAATGCATAGAAAGCAGAATGCTCCTTCCATGAATGAGAATTCTCAATTTTCGATTTAAAGCCCCACTGTACTACTTGTACTAGCTACTTGCTCCCTCTATATAGAAAATTTCCCCAGTCGGTGCCTGTTGGTCCCCCATGATCCTCTATTTCTTATTTTATTTGAGAGCTGAGTTGATGAGATAGTCACCTGTCAGTGACCTCGCTGTGTGGTCTAATCCCTCCTAGCCACACTAGTGTTGATAAGCTTTAACACCTCCAGTAGATAGTTCAGAAAATGAGAAAGGTGGATGAAGACAAACGTTACAAGAAGGCAATATTTTTTCTTCTTCCCGCTGTCATCTTTTCCACCGCCGTTACAACCCTCAACATGATCTAAGTCATTTTTTAACGTAATGATTAAGTTAATAATTACAATACTGCTAAAATTGACATGTGATTCGTGTGTGTGCAGTTAAAGGACATACCATGACACTAAATGGCTTTAAAGTTTGCCTTATTTTGATCAAAAAGACTTTGAATAACATTTAAAAATGGAGGGCATGGTTATTTCCTACAAGTCTGGCTCGAACAACCATCGTCATTTTGATTGATGATTTAAAAATAGGATGATTGAACAACTGAGCACGACATGGCAAACTCCTCTGTTTTAGGATTGCCCTTTCTATAGAGGGAATGGACTTATTTTTAATCACCTAAAGTTATTCATAATGGGAAGAGTTATCCAATCCTTATATTTACCATAATGGTATCTTCCTAATCTTAACAAGTTGGGTAAAATGTATACATAAGAGGGGGAAAAGGGACCATGTATGTTTTCTGGGTCAGAGTTCACCAAAAATGCGTATTGTTTAACCAAGTTTTGGTCCATTTCACCGAATAAACATGCATATTCCAATACTTTCCTCTTATTTGAAAAATGTTACCCAACTCTACAATGCTCTAACCTCTTCATTATCCCGCCAGCAGAATCACAACATAACACATCACACTACTGTTTCTGAAATGCAATCGTCAAAATACAGCAAAATCACCTGAGAACAAAATTGCTATTTATTTTCCCCTTTTATTTTAATGTTACAGAAGAGAAGGCCTCCGGGTAATAGTAGCGTCGAGAAGCCCGGGAAGATATATGAGTTGGATCTTCTCCATGCATGTGGTCAGACGACTTCTCTGTTTACTGAGACCAAATTACTGCGAATAAAAAATATCATGGATGATCAGTCATCACCAGGCGCGTACGCAGGATTTTTTCAAGGTTTTTTTTTTAAACATTTATAAATCGGGCCGAAAATTTTACAACGACTCAGCCAGCCGCTGAATAAGCGGGGGGGGGGGGGGGGGGGGGGGGGGGATAAGAGGACACTTTAAAAAAAAAAATATGATCAATAAAAAATCGCAACGACTCAGCCGACAGCTGAATAAGCGGGGGGGGGGGGGGGGGGGGGGTATAAGAGGTCACTTTTTTTTTTGGTCTCAATATTTGAAAATTTGACATTTTGCTCCGTTGGGGGGGGGGGGGGGGTAAGGTCAGCTTTTTTAGGTCAGCCATGGGAATATTTTCTTGTTTTTTTAATTTAAAAAAAAAAAAATCCAAAGGGGGGGGGGGGGGGGGTTTAGGGGGGTTATGGGGGGGGGTTTACACATTAAAAATAATACCAAAGGGGGGGTTAGCCCCCCAAACCACCCCCCCCCCCCCCCTGTGTACGCGCCTGGCCATCACCGACCTTAATCCTAATCCCCAATGAATTCACAACCTTTCCTTTGAAATAATACAAATCAATAAGTATACAATTTGAACTTCCGTTTCAAATTAAGTATCAATATGTCTACGTGTAGCCCAATACATTTTTGTGTTGACAGCAGTTAATCCAATTCACTGGAAAATGTGATTGTTTGAAATAATGCATCGAATAGTACAATCTTGTACATGTGCTTCATATTAGGTAAAGGATACGTGTAAAGGAAACTTATGAGATGTGTACATTAATAGAAATCAATGATCTAAACACTATGTTTCGATTGTAAATTGTCAAATTTTTAATCAGCTGCTTTATTCTCTGACACATTGTGCACGAAACGGTCTCGTTAAATGGAATGACGTAATCATGCTTCCTCGTGTTATTTTCTTTCGGTCATGTCGTGAGAGTGGTAATTATGAAGAATAGAAGGGAGAGAGAGAGAGAGAGAGAGAGAGAGAGAGAGAAAGAAAGAGCCTTGAAGAGAGAGAAAGAAAGAGAGAGAGAGAGAATGAAAGAGAGAGAAAGAGAGAAAGGGAAGAGATAGACAGGGAACAGGCATATCAGAGAGGGAGAGAGAGAGAGAGAGAGAGAGAGAGAGATTGGAGTTAGTGTGAATAGAAAAGGAAGCGAGAGAGAGAGAGAGAGAGAGAGAGAGAGAGACATAGAGAGAGGGGGAGGGAGGGAGGGAGGGAGAGACATAGAGAGAGAGAGAGAGATTGGAGTAAGTGTGAATAGAAAAGGAAGCGAGAGAGAGAGAGAGAGACAGAGACAGAGACATAGAGAGAGAGAGAGAGAGAGATAGATATTGGATCATAGAAGAGGATACGAGAGAGAGAGACAGAGAGACGGAGAGAGAGAGAGAGTGAGAGAGACAGGGAGAGAGAGAGAGAAAGAGAAAGAGAAGAGAGAGAGAGAGAGAGATATATATAGAGAGAGAGAGAGAGAGAGAGGGAGAGGGTGGGGTGGGGGGAGGGGAATAGACATAGATCAGACATGAGAGAAATAGAGATTGGAGCAAGCCTATATAGTCCAAAATCTGTTTTGATTTTGATCTCCATCAACTTAGGCCAAAAAAAAAAAAAGTAACATGATTAGCGTCCTGCCTTTTTGAAAAATAGGAAGGAAGAGGCCCCTTTTTTTCTTTCTCAAAATTGCCGCTCGGTATAATTCCCCTGACAGTCGGACTATTTTTCAGGATGGCCGCAGGCATTTTTTTTTAATTAAAAAAAAAATCTAAAATATATCATTTTACCAGTATGTTTTTCATGTTAAACTAAAAATTAAAAAAATAAATTATTAAACAAAACAAGGAGGCGGCCCCCCAAAAGGAGAAGGCGGGGACGCTTAACATGATTTTGTGTGTGAAATGGCCTTAGGCTGGGCTTGTGACGATTATTAGTTCGTTGATAACGCCATCTTCGGCGGCTTGAATCATACTTTATTGATTTCAATCCAAACAGATAGGATCACGATATGAAGATTGTTGATATAGTGAATTAAGCAGACATGATTAAGAAAAATAAAAACAAATGATTCAGAGAGAGGAGAGAGAGGGGGTGAGAGAGAGAGAGAGAGAGAGAGAGAGAGAGAGAGGGTGAGAGAGAGAGAGAGAGAGAGGGTGAGAGAGAGAGAGAGAGAGAGAGAGAGAGAGAGAGAGAGAGAGAGAGAAAGAGAGAGGATGGGGTGGACTAGAGTGAAATCAAAGAAAGAAGAAAGAAGGTTCAACAGAGAAATCAATAGAGAAAAAAGGTAGGAGAGAGAGAGAACTACATCATACGTGTACACGTAAAATGTTAGTTGCGTCTTGCTGATATGTACATGTATCACATCGATGAGAAAAGGAAATAGACCAGTTTAATATATTTTTTCTTTAAAATTTGAGATGATTCTTCTGAGACCCATTCAACATTCCTTTCACACAACATACAAAATAAAACATACAAAATACATACACTATAATAAATTGCGTCATTGTTCATATATAACCTTTGTTTCAAGTCAATTTGGGTTATTCTTTATTGCATCTTCTTGACAATTTACAGAGGTTGAACTATATTTTTTTTTTACATGTACAGCACTTTTGAATATCACCATCACAAAGTTTCTTATATCCAAACCGAATTTAAACATATCTATAAATCACGCTTATACGTACCATCTTCCGTCTACAGTAACTGACATATAAAACTTATATCATCATATTGGAATTGATTGGCAGATGTTGAAGTTGAAGAAAAAAACAAAACAATAAGAAAGCAAAATAGTTACATGATCGAAAGCATATCTGGAAATGCATTGTACATTTGAAAACAATATGGTTCTTGCAATGAAATGAAATAACCGTATCATGCTACAAGTCAATGTAGATAAACATTATTTGTATATCACTTTGCCTACAATGTAAATGGAAGGGGGAGGGGGGACTAGTAAGATAATGACCATCTTTTTTGTTACTGTCATAAAAATGATGAAATTTATAATATTTCCTTTGCATCAAATCTCATTTCTCTCATACACTCCCATCATTGTTTACTGAGACAGAAGTGGGAAAAAAAAAAAAAAATCATTCTTTTAAAACCAGAACCTTGCAAACTGATAGCAAAGCTGTGATTCACTGAATGGCTTATTACATTGTTCAGAGTGTGCTGCATGCACGACTGAGCCAACTGTGCTTCAGTCCATAATTTGTCAGTCTTTCGTTATGCCACTTTATTACTTGAGAAACATTTGCAATTCGGGAGAGACTTCAAATTTACTTATCTTTCAAGTTGGGTATGCAAAATCCGGCAAAGTAAAGATATGACAATCAGTTCAAGCTTATTGGTCAGATTTGGTTGCACAATATCCATTATGTATCTAGTTTTTGAGGAGAAATATTTCGAAATGTTAAGAAAATTCCAAATCTTTTTCACTTTTGACGAAAAAAAATCAACAAAAACATGAGGCTTTTACAGAAAAGCTGGAATTAGTACTCACAATCTGCAAGAATAAGGCCTACATCCAAATATTGTAAGTACAATTCTTTGCAAGTAATTATTCCACTCTTCACTGTCCATTGGCCCAAGGAAAAAAAATCTCTGGATTTTTCTTACATCTAAACAATATTTTTCCCGTTTTTCAGGGGGAAGGGGCTCATCGACTCCTTGGTAAAGTTTTCAGACAGCCACATACATTCCATGCAGTCTGGGAAAACGACTCCTTACAACAAAGGCTTACACATCAACTTCTCTGAAATAAAAGTATCTAATCAAGTTTATGATAGCAGCATTCAAAATTCTGCCCTAGTTATTCATCTTATTAACCTTTACTCATCTTATCTAATTGAAATTTATTGTAATTTCATTGAGTTATCAATATTTATTGATTTTTTCTAGGGGGAGGAATGAAGGACAGTAGTGTCATTATTTCCATTATTTGAAGAAAAAAAAATAGCACCATTAAGAAATAGACTTCAATTCACCACACACAAATAAGAATTCATTAGATTTGTTTTGAAGTGACAGTACTGTAGCTTACACTCACAAAATGCCCTCAATCAATGCTTTTTATTTAGTCACAATTATGAAGAGGATATAGAATACACATATATGCACAAGAATATATAGATCAGATAAATTACAGGCAAATACAAAATAATAATAATAATAGCTCGTTCTTATATAGCGCTTTTCAGGACCGGAGGCCCTCACAAAGCACTTTACAGATAAGTATATTATTACCCCGGTCATTGGATTTAGGCTTACCCGCACACAATGAAACATTCAAACTGAATGACATCCATCAATCTTTTAAAAATAATAAATAGAAAATACAAATTTACTGTATACATCTGCAAAATGAAATTGTCCTATTCATTACATGAAATACATGTTACATTTTTTTTTTACACACAATTCATTCATAGATCTCTCAAGAAAGAATTTATAATTATTTTGTTCTAAATAGCATGTGATTACAGCTAGAAACATGCTGGCTCAAATATTCTTCTTTCTAAGTTCAAACTACAATGTTTTTCTATGATGGACAGAAAGATCATTCAGGCAAACATTTTTATTTATATGGTTTATTTCTCCACTTCTTGAAAGATAAAATTTCCCATCATCTCCTTAAAAGGAGAGAAACATACTAGTATGTATTAGCCCCTAGTCAATTTCTCTGAGCGTATTCCTTCTTGAAAAAATGTAGGTTCACGTTCACAATGGCAATTGTAATCACGAATGTAAATTTGTGATCACGATCGTGTCAAACACAAGTGACCCTAGTTGTTCAAGAAGAAAATAATTTGGAGAAATTCACTATTTTGAAAGCAAAATGGATTTTTCTTTTAAAAAAGAATTCAAGAATAGATAGTCCTATATGAAAGAATACAAATATCTTTTATTCAGGAATGAACTGGTGTTAAATTCTAGCATAGCGAAATTTGCACCAGATGAGAGAAATTTGACCAGGGCTCTGAAGGTCACGGTCAGAGCATGGTTTACGAGCCGAAATGTATCCTTTGTCACGAGAAGAACAAAGGGCGCATTCCTGAAAGGTGAATCATTGATAAACATTGAATTTCACTTGAGATATTCACAAATTACCTGCTGGAAACATTCCAAAACTTCTACATAACACTAATCAGTTCAATTTCATTTTGTAAAGAAGTAAAGATGCATATGTATCTTTAGAAGTGGGCGAGTCCAAGCTAACTTGTCCGAAACGTCACTGACCACGTCTAAGAGTTCAGTACACAGTCAAACCTGTCTTAGTGGACTCTGCTCTATAAAGGCTATCCAGCCTTCTCATGACAAAAGTGTGTTGTAGACCCTGTCTACAAAAAGGCCACCTGTCCAGTGTCCACATTCTCTGTTTCCCTTGGGTGGCTTTTTTAGACAGGTTTGACTGTATCGTATAACTCTATTAAGCCGATGAACCCTAACAAGAGTTTGAATCAGACAAAACATGTAATAAAATGATGTCTTAATGTCAATCTATTGTCACAATTCTACAATACCCATCAATATAATACTGGGTAACACATTGGACGTACCATGGACATGCCTAGGGGGTGTTTCACAAAGATTCTAAGTTGAACTAAACTCTAAGTTGGACTTAAATATTATGGAGAGCCATTTGTAGCCTTATAATGAAATATTTCAAAAGCAAAAATTGAAGTATTTTAGACTTTTCATAAATTCCTCATCAAGAACAAGAAATCTCTCATGATAATAGAAAATATGAATGATTAAAATCAACATTTTATGCCTTTTAAAATAACTTTTACAAAATATTTTCAAGGATGCTTATGGCTTTCCATAATTGTTAGTCCAACTTAGAGAGAAGTTCAACTTAGGATCATTGTGAAACACCCCCCTGGTCACTCAACTTTGATGTCAGTCAATCTGGAGGGAGTCGCCATCCTTTGTGATGGCACCTGGATGCCCACACACAAGGGCACTCATTCCTGGACGGAGCTTCTCAGCTCGGGAGAGGACAATGCGGAAGTTGCCTTCTGGGTTGAGGTCAAGGTCATCTTTTAGCTTCCTGAGGGTGACTTTGCTGGGATGGGTGCCTCGATCTCTGGAGTAAGAAAAACATATGACATTAACATTCATTGGAAATGTCACAATAACAGCAAATCCTTTTCATCTTTTATATTCTATCTAAAATCAAAGTCAATCGATGGTAATCCAGGTGGTAACAATTCGTTAGAAGTTTAAAAAAATGTGATTTCCAGCTAACATGGCATCAAATAGATAAAAATCATTTTCTTCTCTCCTCATTCCACCTTCAAAACATACATTAAAGACACTCAGAATTATGGTTATCTTGCTATTTACAAATTAAGTTCGGACAAAAAGTAAGTTTCTGTAATTCTTTCCTGTACAACATGCATGTATCCAATTATTTCATCCACAAATCAAATCTCTCTTTATATTAGGACCACTGACTAAAGGTAATGATATCAGAAAGGTCAAAGGTCATATCACTAGGTTTCTCATTTTTTGATAAATGTAAATTATTGTAAACGTGGTAATATTCGCGGTACTTTAATTTCCACTGATTTCGTGCTACAGTCGGTGTCCGTGAATAATAAAACCTGCGAATATATATGCATGACTTCTTATGCATGTTTTTAACGGGCTGAATTGCGTGCAACACGAATTTAAGAACCCGCCAATATGTTTTGGGATAGCTCAGCCCGAAAAATGAATCACGCGAACATAACAGCGTTCACAGTAATAGATATAAATACTGATATCTGCTCAAATAGACTAAGATACTACCACAAACTTGCTCTTCATTAGTTTAATTCTTTGCTCAGTATAGGCATCAAATTGGCAACTTACGTTTCGCATTCCACATATTTGATCAGAGCAATTGCTCTCCTGTCCAATATCCTCCGGAACTGCTCAATGTAGGCCTCACGGATTCCGCATTGAGGGTACAATAGGAATATCTGGAAAAAACACACACACAATCATGTATACTATGAGGTAAATTTTGCAATTGAGCCTCGATCAGATACAAGGTGGTAAACCACTGTTTTTTTTAAGAGAAGGCTGAGTTCTGGGAAGAGGTGATAAGTACTTTGTGAGCAATATCGTTGTTATTATGCAAGTGTGGAAGAACATCAGATAAAAAATGTTCCCTGAAGAGCATGGCAGTTCAAATGCCTTAATTGTCTAAATATGGCATGTAACAGCATACAAATCAAGATGGATTTTTATGCCACATGTTTGTGCAGTCCCATATACATCTTTCTGTGTACAGTGCTTGTAATTTTACCAAGACTGGGCTAAATTTCTTATCATTTTGATGATTCCAGAACTTTGCAGTACACACCGATAATACTTATATGCTAGATGATCAACCTTTTCTGATCAATTCCTCACCGTTCTTTCACAATGCAATCGCATGACCAGAACTCAACTTTATCTTACGACGGCGTAAAACACACTACGCTTCATATTTTAGTATCTTATAACACAGAGAATAGAGAATACGCATAGGATCATTTGTGTGTGCAGTTGCCATACATTTACACGTATACACATACAAACGAATGAACAAAAACAAAAATCAAAATTGTATTGTGGAAAAGATGAGTACTACAGAGTGATTTAATAATATGAGCTGATTTTAAGAAGGATGACTTCCCCTTTTTAAACAATTTTGTTGCAGAAAAGTAAGACTTCTCTGTGCCATTTTTTGTGTAGTACATCCATTTTTTACCTAGGTACCGAGGATTATGAGATCAACTAATACTGCCTTCCCAACTTCCCAAGAGAAAAAGTCTCTAACAGTGTACAGTTAAGAAATTAATTATTCAAACCTCTTGTAAATTTGAAAATCAAATCGAAAAATGAAAGGGGGGCTGGTTGAATTAGGGCCTTAAACATAAATCTAGACAAATAAATGTTCACACACTTTAAAAATTACAACACTTTGAAAGGATATGAATAATTTAGTTGTTAACTGTATTCAATGTTTCATCCATCAGTCACCATCTGCAAAAAAATGTTATTTACTTTATTACTCCATTTTTAAAAGGTCTGATAGAAAACAATTTATATTGGTACCAGGCTTGCTTACCTCTTTCAAGAAGTTTGTTATCAGAGTTTCAGATTCAAGTCCCAAAAACCTCAATCTGTCAATTAAAAATGGGATAAAAAAAAACAAAAAAACAGCAGCTCTTTAAAATAGTTATTAACAAAAATACAAGAAAACCAGAAATTTCCAAGTCATGTAACTTCTGCATATTTTGTTCAGTTTGTGAAAAAGGCCATTATTAACAATTCACAACAATTTCTCATTTTACAAAGAGAAAAGACTGTGAATGCAGACCAACCATTCCTTAAACAGTATCATCAAATACTGTAATAATTTATAAATTGCATAATTTTGGCTGCAAGGTAAATTTTACACTGGAATGATAATTTTTTTTTTTTGGTTTTAATCCCAGTACTTGGTACTCAAAATCAAAGCAAGTGTCATCATCAAATAAAAGAATTAATACCGGTAATTATAATAACATTACAAAAATATCTCCATATTTGTTGCAAGAAATAATGAACATTGATTTTTAAAGAGATCTGGTAACTTTGTCTCAGATACTGAAACAAAATCCTGGATTTAGCTCATGCTGCAATGATAATTATAAACCTTTAGGTCAGTCAGGAACCCCAAGACTTTAATAAGCCGATCGCTTGTCTGATTATTAAGATATTTTATGATTGGAAATCGAAACCAAATTTTGCGTTTGCCAAACGGTTTTCATAACACTACAGTCTATTGGGGTACTGAGTATGGTAAAACCGGTCACTCAAAGATTTTTACTTTTTTGAGGTACTTCTTCATCATTTTGAAGCGCGATTTCTTTTTTTAGGGCTTCAATATTACACCATATCACAGACATTGATAACACGTAGGGCCTTGCATCTCAGATTTAACATTGTTAAACGATGCCTTTAAGGCTGAAAGAAACAAACGCTTACACTGGCAATGTCTCTTGACTGTCCAACCACAGTGATTGCAGCTCCCAAGTCAGGGCTTCATGTCTCCTAAGATAAGAAGGGGGAATGGCATACCAACAATTACGCAAAGAAGTTAAACCATTTTGTATGTCTATGTTATCACAGATGAATGTGAATTTTTTACCTCATTGCCAATTAAGAAAGCAATTCCTCTTGTAGATACATGTAGGCAGAGAGATCCTGTGGCTTTAAGTCTTATCTAAAGGACTTGCCAATTCAGGATTTATGGCTTTCATAAAAAGGCATTACAAAATGGCACTAGTCAAATGACTGTTTCTAACCTGTTTCTAACCTAGAAAGACCCACAATAACACTCTGTCATCATGCCTCTTACTCCCCAGCACCCCCCTCTAACTTCAATGTGAAAATAGATGTTACAACTTACAGTACCTGGGTATACTTCTTCCAAATTAATGCATGAGATTCATGTTTGGAATCTGTATTATCTGATACAGGCACTGTATGGTGGATCAAGCTCACACAGGACGACTGTACGGCACTTTCTCCTGCTGCGTCAAATTTCTTTGACAAACTGAATCCCCAACTTCAAACCTCAGAGCAAACACTATACACAACCATAATAATGAACTTACACATAACCTAAAAACCCAACTGCAGCCCTAATCCTTACCCTATACATGTGCCTTTGACAAAAAAAAACTTGGAGGTGTTGTGGTGTAGTTGATAAGTCAACGGACTGTCGATCACAAGGCACAGGTTAAATTCCTAGCCCGGCCCTAACATCCTTTGGCAAGACATTAATCTACATTTGCCACTCTCCACCAAGGTGTAAATGGGTACCTGATATGCTTGAGCGCTATTTACTTTGGCAGCTCGGCTTTAGCAAGGGTACTTATATCTAAGCGCTATGAGCGTCACTGCGTGTGGGATATTTGCAAAGATACTATTATATCCTTGCATATGTCAGAGCACCCACATGACAGTACAATGATATGGGCCCTTAACACTCAACATCTTAACATGTTAAATTCAAACTTGAAAAATTCAAAACTGAAGATCAATATATACACATATAACTTCTTAAACAAAAATAGAGAAAAATAAAAAGGAACTGGTAAAAGTCTTACCAATAATCATGTTCATTATATGGTAGTGTTTGCTTGACTTCTAGGGCGCTCATGTCCACGAGGGTCGTTGGATAACGGCTCGCCATGATGTCACGTCCATAATCTGAGAGGTTAATCTTATCCTGTGTATATTAATTGAGAAAGAAAATATGTCATCCTTTAAAGGCCCACTGCACTACTTGTAGCTACTTGCCCCCTCTATATAGAAAACAATGCCTAATCGGTGACCATTGGTCCCCCATGATCCTCTTTTTCTTATATTATTTGAGAGCTGAGAGATGAGATAACCACCTGTCCAGTGACCTTGCGGGGTGCTCTAATCCCTCCTGTAAACTAGTACTGATAAGCTTTAACTTTAATCAATATGCTGTACGAAATCATCAATCTTACTGTGTAGCACCGAATCAATAATAGTGCGTAGGTCACTAAAAGTACCCCATTGCTTCCATCAATGTTTGAATTTTTGCAAATGTTGAACAAAATAATGCTTGTTGGGAATCAACCCCATAGCCTAGAACGGCAACCTTCATGGTTATCATCAGAATCATCTTAATCAATATAATTACTGCCATCAGTATCCTAACATACTTAAAGACAACAGTTTTTTTTCCTATTCCCGCTTACATAAAACTGAAAATAAATAAAAATAAAAAATCAAAGAAATGAGTTAAAATGTAATTATCCTTCATTTTCCCCTTATAATAGCATGATAAATAACATTCTCTGTAATTTTATTTAGTCTTGGGACAACTTTGATAGGCCTGTTGGCTTTTGTTATTCCTACCACACGAGTAGTACATGTTTCTTTTGAATCTTTATTTTATATATATCTATATACCAATTTTAATTGTATTTCTTTGTGTTTTAGCCAGCTGTGGGAATCCACTTGAATTGAATTGAATCAGGTTGATGTTGGTAGTTACCTTGATGAATCCTTGTAGTAGTAGATCTCTCTGGTATTCAGATTGCTTCTCGTCCTTGAGATACACCGAACATTTCCTCTCGTCTGGCGTCAGAAACATGCTCAATGTGCTCAGCATCTGTCCATGGTCAAATTGAGATTTCAAATTTGATAATTAAAGGCATTGTTAAACAATGTTAAATCTGAGATGCATGGCCCTACGTGTTATCAGTGTCTATAATGGTGTAATATTGAAGCCCTAACAAAATTGTGCTTCAAATTGATCATGAAGTGCCTCAAAAAAGTAAAAAATCTTCGAGTGACCTGTCTTACCATGACGGTACTCATTATCCCCAATGGACTGTAGTGTAATAAAAACCGAAAACGCAAAATTTGATTTTGATTTCCGATCATAAATATCTTGATAATCAGACAGGCGATCGACTTGTGCAAGTAATGGGATTCCTGACTGACCTAAAGATTTATAACTATGATTGCTGGATTTTGTTTCAGAATCTAAGGCAATGTTACCGAGTCACTTTAAACTGTTTGTATACTAATTCACTTGTTTGTGTTTTTTCTATTTTTTGTTTGTTTTTTGTCTCGTTTCTTTTTGGTTTGTTCTAGTATCACTATGAGAAACAAATATGTAATGAAAAATCAAATGAACTGGTCTCAATTATCACATATTTATTGGTCCACAATTATGTCCCATACATTAGCAAACATTTTGGAGTTGTGAGCATGTCTTGACATAAAAAGATAATTTAACATTATTTTTTTTGTCAGCTCTCCTGATTCATTCTGACTTGTTAATATTCATCAGCCCGCCATTACGAGAATAGCTTTGAATATTGAGCTTCCTGGGTGAAGTTTCAATTGATGTAAAGACATTTTTGGCTTGCACCCAGTAAATAAAGATTGCACTAATCTTGTAATTGAAAACAGGTCCTATGATTGTATGTTTAAGGAAATGAAATAAATAACATGAACATTTTTGGATAAGGTTTGTAATGAGATTATTAAATCTCAATAGTTTTCATTTCAACAATGAATTAAAGCCTGTCTGCACTAGTTTGGCCAAGAGGGATTAGACCTCCCTGCAAGGTCACTGACAGGTGGTTACAGTATCTCATCAAATCAGCTCTCAATTAACATAAGAAAAGGGGATCATGGGGGACCAACAGGCACCGATTAGGCATTGTTTCCTATATAGAGGGCGCAAGTAGCTATAAGTAGTACAGTGGGGCTTTAACTGATGATACATACAGTATTGGGTTGAGATTCATCAACTTACCATGTTGACCTCTTCCTTGCTGTTTCCTAAAACGACTGAACATCCACAGGTCTGTAGATGTGATGCTATGGCCCTGAAAATACAAATCATAAACAATAATTACCTGGCAGGAATTAGTTCCTTGAAATGCTAGAGCGCTGTATGGCAGCCGTGCTAAAGCCAGGGTAATAATTGGGAGCGCCAGGAATGTCACGTATGACATACATGAGCGTATACAAGAACCCACTATTTATTATTATTATTAAGGAAATGGTCATAAATTGTTTACAAGCCCTGTGTTCAACTATGATCCTGAACAAAAAAAAATCACAAACAAAATCATTACACAAAATAATCATCATCAGGAAGAGAACAAAAAAATAGCATAGTTGCAATTTCCTTAAACCCTGATATCACCATCAGTAGATGGCAATTTCATTTACAGTGATTAAGGTATTTTTCTATAGATGCTCGAGTGAAACCAACATTGGCTAAGTGCTTATATTTCAACAGCATGTGAAGTCATTACATCTCACTTTTGATTTGTTCTTATTGGAGACTGAATACTGGCGTTGGATTCTAACAAGATTTTCATTCCTACAAGGTCTAGTAAACAATTAAAAACACATACTAAAAAGGTATTTTGTCCCATTTGCAGGTCAAAAAAATGAAAAATTAAATTCCAATGGCATTTGAAAGACGATACTTATTTAGAACTTCTCTCAAAACGAAAGGGTTTGAAAATGGCTTTTTGTTGGAAAATAACAACCATTAGTTGTCAAATGGACATAAGAGATTGCAATCACCTAAGTAATAGTCTGATTTTCAGACCCCTTGGACCAAATGGTTGTATGTTTTGAGCTGCACAAAGATTCAATCAGTTTAATTTTGGCCATTACAAGTAGTGGGTTATTGATGTAGACAAATGCTCATGTACCTGTTACAGCTCATTTTATATATGTTATTACCAAAGAAGAAAAAAAAGCCAGTCATGCACGCAATAGTGTCTGAAAGGGAAGTCAAGAAAGTAAACAGGTTTCCTTGCATCATTTGAATGCATAGGACACTACTAACGTATAAATTTCACAGATAGGACATACATTCATAATTCCTGCACTGACTGTTCTACAGAATTTGATGTTGGCTGCAAAAGGGACATAGTATCTTTAACTTCAAATCTGATTTGATAGCACCAACTTTTAGCCACCACTAGGTACAAATCAAAAACTTTTCTTATATGGACTTACTTTCTTGTGAACTGTACATCAAGTTGCTTCCCCTGACCGGCTGCAAAAATGGTATCATTTAGCTGAAGGAAAGAATTGACAAAAATACTTAATCAATATTTTGTTTCTTTAAGGAGTATTTCATGCAATTGATGGTGAGTTTAGTAATGGAAGTACACAATAACTGACAACAAATGTGACATATACATGTAATTAATTACATGAGGTAGAAAAATCTAACCAAAAGTTTAAAGCTAGGATGTATGTTCATAATTGTTGTGATGAAAAGCTATGCCAAAAAATTGTTGCATTCTATTGTTAAAAATCCAAACCATTCCATTGTCTTTTGAAGAAAAGAAAAACAACAGGAAGACGCTATCAAATTTGGGATGTCGCCAAATTATTCTAGCGGCAATTGGTTGTCTGCCAAAGACGCTGATAATATTCATTCAAAGATATATGTCCATTAGACTGTTTGTAATTCTGTGAGAATTTGTATACATTTATATGTATTTTTTCCATCAAAGTACAGTGTACTTCCTGGAGATGGCTCTGTACTAAACATACTACTGTACTCTTGAATTGAGGAAAAACAAGTGTTTCTTACATATTTTCTTTCTTCAATCGCTTTTATTTCTTTCATACAAAGCTCCTTTTAGCTCATTTCTCTGTTTATTTCTGGCTTCCTCCCGCCCCCCCTCTCTCTCTCTCTCTTTCCCCTCCCCCCCCCCCTCTCTCTCTCTCTCCCCCTCTCTCTCTCTCTCTCTCTCCTCTCCCCCCTCTCACTCTCTCTCTCTTTAATGTTGCATGAATGCCATGTATGTAGGAGAGTAACCCCCTATGTGTTTTGAATAAATAAATCCTCTCTTTGTAACAGGGCATAGGGAGTATTGAGGTATAAAGGTAAGCAAGACCCCTGGGTAATGTTCGTTTTCCCCTCCAAGGCACCTGTGATGCTAAATACATGCTCAGTCAGTGGTGGGCAATGGTCTCGTAACCAGGAGGCCCCGGGTTCGATACCATGTCGATGCGCTCATGCCCTTTGGCAAGGCATTAATCCTCATTACCAAGTCCCTCATGCTTCTTAGCAGTCAGGTAAAACAAACAAACGAACACCAACCAAAGTCTTCCAAGATTGCATCCTTTTGTCCCATGTGATGACTTACATTGACCTGCGTAGGCATGGGGGCCATGAAGAGAAGACCCAAGGCACAATAAAGACTAGGAATCTCTGCATCTAGGATCTGGATAGGATCAACCTGCCAAACCAGAACAAGACAATGTTATCACAATGTTAAAGAGAAGGCTGAGTTCTGGGGACAGGAGCATGGAGGAAGAGAGAGAGTGAGAGAGGAGAGGGGGGGGGGGGGGGAGAGAATGAGATAGAGAGAGAGAGAGAAATAGGGGCAGATGAAAAATAATTTTTTAGCATTATGCGACATGTTTGTGTAGACCCACATACATCATTCTATGTACAGTGCTTGTTACTTTACCAAGACTGGGCCCACTTTCTTATCATTTTGATGACTCCAGAACCTTGCAGTACAAACCAATACTTATATGCTACATGATCAACCTTCGCTATTCCATTCCACACTGTTTCTTCCACAAGTCAATCGTATGACCAGCAGCCTTTTCACACACAGCTAAAATTCATCGTATCTAGAGATGATTAGAATCACTCAACAGTTTTAAACATGTTTATAGACAAAATTTCCCAGTGTGAACATCGTTTATACGATGTTGGGATAGATACGAAGTCGCGATCCATACGCCCCTAAAAGCAGGCTGCAGATACGAAGTTCGTATCTAGAGAGCTTGACATTTTGTGTGTGAAAGGAAATTCGTGTTTAAACGTGTTTAAACTGGATGGAGCGTGCGCTTTGATTGACATGACATGACCTTCAATGCGCAATGGCACTACTGCGCATTTTACGAGCAGTAGTTAATCACGAAACTATTAACGTTCGCAACGAAATTTCTGTGGGTGAAAGGCTCGTGATTAGTTTAAACACGTTCGAAACACGTTTATACTAGTCATGTTTATAGAATTTTAGCTGTGTGTGAAAAGGCTGCAGAACTCAACTTTATCTTTAACTATAGACTTGAACTGGTTTAGTGATTAAAACGTAAATCCACCACAACTGGATACATGCTCATAAAACTGATGAAACCATTATCCATATATGCAGCAACTCAGCATTCTCTGATGTAGTTTCAAACATTCTTTGTGAATGGGCCAACAAAGTTTATTAAAAAAGGCACCTTCGTCACTTTGGGAGCGATTAGACTAAAACACAAAAAAGGTACCTCTCCATTGCACGATGGATGGAGAACAGCTACTTTGAAGACTTCTCCTCGAGTCATAATATTCAACTGGAAGTTGTGGATGTTCAAGGTCATTTGGGACATGTGCAAACTCTGAACTGGGGGATGTTTCACAAAGATCCCAAGTTGAAATTATATCCAAGTTGGACTTAAAAAATTATGGAAAGCCGTTTACCTTTGACAATATTTTGTAAAAGTTATTTTAAATTTTAAAAGGCAAAAAATGTTGATTCAAATCATTCATATTTTCTATTATCAAGGAGATTTCATGTTCTTGATGTGGAATTTATAAAAAGTCTAAAATACTTCACTTTTCGCTTTTGGAAATGTTTAATGTTAAAGAGAAGGTTGAGTTCTGGAAAGAGGTGAAAAATAATTTGTGAGCGTTATCATTCTTATTATGCAAGTGTGGAAGAACATCAGATAAGACATGTTCCCTGAAAAGCATGGCTCTTCAAATGCCTTTATATTCTAAATATGTCATGTAACATCGTAAAAGTCCGGGGTAGGATTTTTACGCCACATGTTCGTGTAGTCCCATATACATCTTTTTGTGTACAGTGTTTGTAACATTACCAGGATTTTGCCAAATTTCTTATCATTTTGATGATTCCAGAACCTTGCAATACACACAAATTCTTATATGCTAGATGATCAACCATTTCTGGTCGATTCCACACCGTTTCTTTCACAATGCAATCGAATGACCAGAGCTCAACTTCATCTTTAAGGCTACAAATAGCTCTCCATTTTCACTTAGAATTAAGTTTGACTTAGGATCTTTGCGAAACACCCTCCCCCTTGTCTACTAAAACACAGGAATAAATGTTTACCTCAAACTTCTGCTTGTCCTGAAGCACCCTTAGTTTGCTGATCATGGCCGTCAGACGAGCAGCGCAGAAGTCTTCTAGGGGAAGGTACCAGGACTTGAGACCGTAGGGGACGATGAGGGACAGGGCAAAGACAGTCTTCTCTTGACGGTCACACCCGCTGAAGAGGAATGTTGAGATTACCAGTCCCTTGTCTCGGAGTAGGAGTGTCTTTGTTTCTATGGCAGACTGAGAGAAAATAATACCGTCAATTAATTGAATGAATTACCGGTAGTAGGGACTTTTAGATTTGCACGTCAACATAGTGGATGAATGTAAGGCACTGGCAGTGCCTTAAAAGGACGTCACACATAACAGTCCACTATATCGACATGCACATCTAAAAGTCCTTAATGTCTGTGATTTTACTAAAATTGATATTTTTTCACCCTCTATTCCATACATGTATGAAATGTGAATATTCTTAAGGGGAAATGTGTACTGTTGTCAATTCACATTAGACTTAGGTTTCTGATCACAAAGTTAACATACAATCATTAATTATCTTAATTATCCTGATTTGTAATCTAGACTGGGAGGACCTTCCCTTCATGGAGTTCTCAAGATATTGATTATAATTTAAAGTCTGCTTAAGATCACCAGAACAATATCTTCATTAATAGTTTCAAACATTAATTTTCAGTACCCTTTCTTAAATAATATCTTAAACAGTTTAACAGATATACTTTTGTGTTCATAGGAGCCCCTTTTAGACATTTCGCTGCAGTGATTTGTCACAGCCCTGTTTACAAATAATTTTTCCAAATCTCTTACAGAGCTTTTCTGAGCTGGACTGCTCTGCTCTCATCCATTTTTTCCTTTGGTTACAAGGCATACTGTCCCGACAAGAAACAGCTACAGAAACAACTTTCAAAATTAAGAATTAAAGCCTCGGTCACAAATGCCATTACGAACTGCTACGAACGCCGTATGAACGATTTTCAGACAATGGAAAAACAGGGAGATTCGTACAAACGCATCCTTCATACAAACCTTTGTGACCGTAGCTTAAGATGAAATTAAGATGGCACTAACCTGAGGCTGGTCACTGGATGTGAGCGTGTGTGTGGTGAGATAGTGGATCATCTCGTGGCTCATCTCTGGCTTACCCTCTGTCTGCCAGATATGCTGAAGATGCGGTCCAAGGATGTTGTTCCAGGCACACAGGATGATTGCATGGGCGGGGCACTCCTTGGTCCCCTCCATCACCATGCTCTTGGTCTCATCCCGGACCTTCTCGAAGTCTAGGAAGTTGGAGCGTTGGTTTTCATTGAAGTAGTCCCCCATTTTGATAATTAATCTTGATTTGGAATGATGATGCTCAATGTTAGCAGGCTAGTTTCACTGGCAAGAAATTTTCAAATGTGCTCGAGTTGCTATGACATCATACTCCTATCAAAGTGGCACAAGAAGTTCATAGATTACAGTGAAAGCACCTGGGTTCAGCAAAAAATTGTTCTGTTACGCTTTTCGTGCTAAAAAACCGGGTGGTAATCGTATAAATGTACATTTCAGGTGAATATATACGAACTATACTGTATTAACTATTATAATGAAGTCTTTGATCACTAAAACACAAAACAATATAATGTAGATCCACAAATAATTCCACACTATGTCAAAGGGCTTCCTAGAACATCATAAGCAAAGTGCTGTCTTTCTGTCAATGACTGGGAATCGTGACTCAGGAGTCTCCAAAGCACAATCTGATGAGCGCACTCTATTGCCAGGCTGACCATGAGCAGAGTCATGAGCGACAAGACGGCACCCAGCGGGAGGCGGGGCGTGGAGTGGATGACGGACATCAGAAAGAGGACGAAGATGGAGATGAGGCACGAGGAGATGGCGTAATTGAAGAAGATGCGCTTGACTCCTACGTTGTCAATGATGGTCTCCGTCATCTGCCAGTCCACAGAGATCATACTTTGAACAACATGCAGTGACGTACTTGAAACACCTTTTTTGTCCCTAATGTCAACTTTCTCCTCAAACTAGTTTATAATTTTTAGAATCTTCCTTGGAATTTTAGTCAATACTGGTAGATGTAAAATTTAGTGTCTAGTTGATATGTCAGGCAAGTTATACATGTACATCCATCATTGAACCTCAAAGTGGGTTTTAAAACTATGCGTCATCTGGTAGGCAAACTTGATGGACAGCGTGACGATGAAGAGAGACATGAGAGCGGACATGGCAACTGTTGCTAGGCGTGGCGATGAGAAGTTGAGGAAGGTCATAAGAAACATGACAGTGCTCGTCAGGATGTAGGTAGTGATCATGTGATTGAAGCAGATGTATTTCAGTGCGTTGTGATCCACGATGGTACCGATCCACTTCCCGTACAGGACCATTTTGATGATATCATGTTGGTAAGCTCTACAAAACTGTTTTCCAGTATCTGGTTCCTCGTTTTCCGCTATTCTGAGTGGATGTTAAAGAGAATGGTCTCGCCAGTATCTTTGGAAATAATAAGAGTAACTAGATGGATCTTCGACTATGCGCAGTCGCAAATTATGCCTCTGCCATACAGCGCCATACAAACCAAAAGAGAAGTGATTTTAAAAATTCATGTTTGATTGTAATCCATAAACAGGTTCTCAGAATATCATCATAACAAACTATCTTTCATATACATGAATGACTCTGCAAGATACATACCGTACATGTCCAGAGTTTAATAGTAAACCATTCGTCGGTTCTATTGACAATGCATGCATTCACAAGCTATTTTTGCATACATAATGAGCCCCATTGACCTCTGACCTCATGTACCATAATCTGATCGTTTCATTGGCTCTGCAAGAAAAATATGTGACACAAGTTTGACGGTAATCCATCAATCGGTTCTTGAGATATCGCAATCACAACCTATTTTTGCACACATAGTGAGCCCTGTGACCTTTGACCTCGTAACTGCAAAATCTAATCCGTTCATTGGCTCTGCAAGATACATACATCACCCAAGTTTGACGGTAATCCATCAATCGGTTCTTGAGGTGACGCGATTACAAGCTATTTTTGCATACATATGAGCCCTGAAATTTGACCTCGTGACCCCAAAATCTAATCAGTTCATTGGCTCTGCAAGATACATCCATCATGACTTAAGTTTGAATCCATCAATCGGTTCTTGAGATAACGCGATCAAGAGAATGGGATGTAGAGACTGTACGTGCAGACGAACAACCCGAAAACATCTACTTTGTAGCGAGGCATAAAAAAGAGGAGTAAGATACTTAATGAGACATGGGGAAAAAAAAAAGTTTACAAAATAATCAACTCTTGACTAGTCTAGACCTAATACTAGTACTAGGTCTTGACCTAAACAATTATACAAAAACATATTGATTGTCTGATTAAATCTCATGAGAAAGCTTAAATTTATTTATCATATAGACCCTAGTCTAGAGACTCTAGACTAGTGCTGTAGTCAAACGTTTAACCGTCCGGTATCCGACCGCCCATGGCGGATTCCGTTTTCAATTGGACGGTTTCGTTTTCCCGATTTTTTTTTTTTTTTTTTTTTTTTTTTTTTTTTATAATTTTTTTTTATAATTTTTTTAAAATTTTTTTTTAATTTTTTTTTTTAAAGTTTCGATTTATGCCCCTCCACCTGGCACTATGCCTGGCAATGTCTCCCAGCTCAGTAATCTGTGTGTTGACTCACCACTCCAAAACTAGAACAACACTCCAATTTGTCTGTCATCTTGGTTTGAAAGTAATCTTTGTAATAGATCTCATCATCTCAATATGTAGTTTATAATAATAATTCATCCAACTTTTACACAAGGTTCTGTCCTAGGTCCTCTACTGTTTTTAATTTACATTAATGATCTTACACATTCTTCCAAAAACAACATTGTTACTATTATTTGTGACAAGTTCACAAGCACAAATCGGCCCCTTTAAATGCACCTGGCAGTTAAATGACAGTTGCCGACAGAGTCGGTAAAAAAAAAAAAAAAAAAAAAAAAAAAAGATTTTTTTTTTTTTTTAATTTTTTTAATTTTTTTTTTTTTAAATCGTTTAACCGAAAACCGTCCGGTTTTGACTGGCGGTTAAACGGAATTGGAGATATCCGTGATGTTACAGCACTACTCTAGACTAGGGTCTATATGATAAATAAATTTAAGCTTTCTCAGAATACCTCCTAATACATAATTCATAATTCAGAGTATCTAATTCATATTTATGATTAATTTAACCCACATAACTTGACTTCCTATTTAGTCTCCAATATATACATTGGTTCCATTTACTAACTTGATTGAAATAATCCGTTTAATGGTCCCTTTTAAGGAAATTATGGGTCAAAATCGACATCCATGTTGAAAATCTTGCAAGCCGTGTTAAACTCTCGCTGCCGTCAATCTCATCCCTTCTAGTCTACGCCGAAGGCAAAATGATTATGAAGGAAAAACTGTGCGCCATCTACACGTTCGTAATGGCGTTATCACAGTTTTTCCTTCATAATCATTTTGCTTTCGGCGTAGACTAGAAGGGATGAGATTGACGGCAGCGAGAGTTTAACACGGCTTGCAAGATTTTCAACATGGATGTCGATTTTGACCCATAATTTCCTTAAAAGGGACCATTAAACGGATTATTTCAATCAAGTTAGTAAATGGAACCAATGTATCATAGCCTAGGCCTAATTTAAAATTGGATCTAGTCTAGGTCTAGTCTACACGAGGTAAAATGACATTTTGGGGGATTTTGGGGGCATAACAATACGGCCGTGGCAAGTTTGTCATGTTTGTGGGAGGGGCCTAGCGGCTAAAATCTAGCCGTGATATCTTCAACATACGATGGTATAGGCGATCGTTCAGTCTCTATAACCGGAGGTCTAGTGGAGCCAGACGTAGTCTCAGTGGAACAACCGACGATTATAGAGACTGAAGCTTTCGGTCTAACTTTTTTGTATTAAGCCAAAGCCAGGACTGAGCTACAATGACAAATAACAAATAATCATACAAGAACATATTGATAACAAATGTAAAAAGGGGGATCAAGAAAAGCAACTAACAACATCATGCACAGCCCTTTAATAATTTAAAGACCATAATTACATGTACAGCCGCTGTACATATACAAACGCAAAATCAGATATATGGGACTGAAACATTTTTTTCAATGCAAATAATGACTGCTATCGTGAAACTTAAAGTACAGAAATACGTGAATTGTTTTCAATATTATTCCCAGCTTGTGTTTTAATGATAACGACGAGAAAATTCTCACCCTGTAGATATAGATCTGAAAATATGATATATAATTTACTCTAGAATCTAGTCCTTCTCCGTATGGCTCTCCAGACCACTCCAGCAAAGCATACACAGAGTCAATGCTAATGCGTATTGACCTCTAGCGCCTCAAAAATGCTAATAGGCAGCAATTGGCTTACACGAATAATCAATACACACACAACACATAAATGCACGCAATAAATACGATGTGGTTGATCGGTAAGTTTGACAGTAGATTTACAATTTGAATTTTAAAATTATTCTTTTTAACATCCGTAAGTTGAATCAATTGTATTTTACTGCTATTTAAGTGTCATTAATTGTTACTAAAGTACCGATTTTTTGTGAAATCAGTTGAGTTTTGTACAGTGGTGTTTACTTTGAAATGTTATCAATAGCACAGTTTTTAATACACAGTCAGAATAGTAATGCAGCTATGTAGGGTCCAGACATGGTAGGGCCTATGGCAATCCAAACAGTGCATGAAGATGTACGGTACGTTATTAAATGATGATGATTCGAGGGCGGCTAGTACATTTAATTAGGGGCTTGAAGTTTAGGTATGCTTGGTTAAAGACCATGGACCTACTCGGGCCCCCTCCCCTGGCAAAAAAACAAACAGACAAAAACACATTAATTTTACCCTGTTTTTTTAAAAAGACGGAGCCCCTCCCCTGGCAATAAAATAAAATAAAACAAGTTTAAATTTTGTTTGCTCAAGGTGGGGGGGGGGGGGGGGGGGAATAGGGTTTGAGTAAAAACAACCTTTCCCCCTCCCCCAATGAACAAAAATTGTTGCTCCTAACCCCCTCTTATATGAGAGTGAAATAAGCTATTATTAAAGGAAAAGGGGGATCTATCAGATTTCGATAGGGGCATTTATCAAAGGTGAAAAGGGGTATTTATGTGAAGGGAAGGGGCTCTTATTTAAAAGGAAAAGGGGCACTGTTATTTGAAAGGAAAAGGGATCGTGCGACAAATTAAAAGGGGAACTTATGAGAAATAAAAATGGGCACTCATCAGACATGAAAAGGAGCTCTTATCATAAGGGGAAGGGAAACTTACAAAGGGAAAGGTGCAGTTGTCAAAGTAAAAACAGACACCTCACAGTTTTAAATAGGGGCAATTCTCAAAGGTTAATAGGGCACTTATGAGAAGTGAAATGGGGCACTCCTCGTACCTGAAAAGGGGCACTTATAAAATAGATGAGGGACACGCCTTTAGTTTTTTTTTTTTTCTCTAATATGTTTTCTCTTACTACGTATATTTGCTATTTTTGTATTTATTAAGATTTGTTTTTATGCTTGAGAAAAATTAATAAACTGAACTGAACTGAACTGAAATGAAAGGAAAAAGGGCACCTATCAAATTTTAATAGGCTAATTATCAGAGGTGAAAAGGGTGTGCTTATGAGAAGGGGAAATGGTTCTTTAATAATCAAAAACGTGTGAGCACTTATCCCAAGCAAAAAGGGGCACTTATTAGCAGTGGCGGATCCAGGGGGGGGGGGGGGGGGGCCCGGGGGGCCCGGCCCCCCCCCCCTTGAGAAAAAAATCATGTAAAATCACGTGATTATTACCTTTTTTGGGGGTTGGGCCCCCCCCCTGGCGCTCAAGGGGGGGGGGGTGCAATTTGAAATTTTTTTGAGGATCAAAAAAAAAAAAAAATGTGCTCACTCCCCCCCCCCCCCCCCCCCACTGAGCGAATTTTTGGCCGGCGCGTTTTTCAAATTTTCGGGAGCAAAAAAAAAAAAAAAAAATTGCTCTGTACCCCCTCCCCCCCCCCCCCCCCCCCCCCCCCCCACTGAGCGACTCTTCGGCCGGCGCGATTTTCAAATTTTCGGGAGCAAAAAAAAAAAAAGTTGGGCCCCCTCCCCTAAGAAATCCTGGATCCGCGCCTGCTTATTAGAAAGGAAAGTGTGTACGTTTCAAAATAAAAGGCCGGAGCACTTATCAGAGGTGAAAAGTGGTACTTATTAGAAGGGGAATGGGCACTCCAATGAAAAAAGGAGCATTTTTCTGAAATAAAAGGAACACTTTTACTATTTGAAATGGGGCACTTTTGGGATACTTGAAAAAATTGGCACTTTCGTTAACATTTCGCCTTTCTGAGATGCAATGAACTACTTGATATGGCCCAAATGGTGTCAATGAGAGCTTGCTGTTTGAGTCCATTTCTTAAGATGTTTGGCACATGTTGCACCTATATGATGATGACTTGTGGCACCGTTTATCTGTTTGAAACATTTCAATTAAGGCTCCTCCAATAGTGTCATGTACCGTACTTGTCGGTGTCGCGATGAATCAGTGAGGGAGTTCCAGAGGGGTATACACATAATATCGAAGACATCTTCTAGATTCCTGCTCGGAGTGAGAGAAAATAACAATAACATTTTTCAAGGTCAAATAAAATGATCATTACTTGACAAAGCCCTAAGGGCGAAAATGTGCAAAACAATTTCTTCGTCTAATGAGCATCATTGTTTTGTATTTTTGTGTATGATATATAGGCCTACATTATGGAGTTGAGCTTTGAATTGAAATGATATTAATTGAACTAAATGAATTAGTTGAATTTGAAATAACAACACTACACAATGATAAAAACTAGCATACAAACAATTGTAAACAACAACAAAAAGTAAACAAAGAGAGAGAGAGAGAGAGAGAGAGAGAGAAAGAGATCGAGAGAGAGAGAGAGAAAAAAAGGAGAAAGGTATGTGTGCATGTGTGTGTGTGTGTGTGTAATTGGGTTTTACAGACGCTTATCAATCAGATATGATTATTTACGTCTGAGGACCGACCTTTAACGTCACCATCCGAAATGAGTATAGATCCGGGGAGAAGATACACAAAACAGAAAGAAAGCGATGTTTTTCCTTGGTTATATACTTTTCTAATTTCATCACTTTCAAATCAAGACTCAATTTCTGTTTCGTACTACGTGTACATGTAAACGAATATCACAAAGAAGAAAAGTGAAAGTATTGCTGACGTCATCTCTGACATCACGTATTTGAGAATCTTTAAAAAGAGCATTTCTAATTCCATTACAGTGCGTCTGAGCTGACGATACACACCTCACACCTTCGTCAAAATTATATATTTCGGACGTGAGAGAAGAGAAGGATGATATCAATTATCATAATAAAAACATCGTCTATCATTGTATCAGCCAATCACAATCGGGTATTCAGGTCACATGATTTGGCACCTCCGCGAGGCGTCTTTGTACGGAAGTGCGAGGTCGATATGCGGGGAAAAGTGAGGGGGGATTCCAAACCGAAAATGAGTCGATAGTCTCGTGATTTTGGAGTTTAAAGACGATTACATGAGGACTGAAGGATAACAGAGTTCCAAAATGGCAACAGAGTTACGATTACATAGTCCAGCAGGTGTTGAACCGGCTGTTTATGTGTGGCCTCTTCAGCACACGGTAAGTATTTTGATTACCGTATTTATGTGACCGCATGCATGAGTGAGTGAAATACTACGCGAGGCCGCCTACAGTGTACGTACACGGTTCACGGCTATGTCTATGGCCTGATCCGAAAAGTGTGTAGAGATTCAATACAGTTTCGTGTATCTGGCCTAGCCCTAGATCGTCGTGAGTGAGTGTACGTGTGGTGCGGGTGTAGTAGAGTCCAACTTGTTTTATTATTTATTACTGTTACTTGTTAGATCTACAGCACACAACTCACAAGCCGATTGGCACGGAGTCCTAAACTAAGTGTAAACACAGATCAAAATCATGCACTTTTCACAAATAATGTGCTTGCCACAAACAACATCAGCAGGGGGGCGCGCTTGTCCGAAAAAGAGGATCGTCCGCGTAAACGAGAATAACCTCATAAAAACGGACAAATCGCGTTAAAAAAAATTAGGATCGTCCGCTTTATGCAAACTTTTTTTATTTTCTTAGGTGCTCTGCGGGTTACGGGTTCTCGATCCACGCGCTGGCAATGCGAAAAACGGATTCCGTGCATTCAAATACTCTGGTTTAGAGTAGTGGCTCCGGTCTGCGGCCGATCGGCGGGAACTGCCGATTCTATTTTTATTGGAATACTCACAGAATACTTCAATACCCTCAATAAAGAGTCCATATACTTACTTATTAAATAGAAGTCACAAATAACCAAACTGACCCACAGCGTGGTCAGCATTGACCATGTTTCGAAATGCTTCGAGTTCCCCGGTTTGCGGGCACGCAGTACCGGTTTGCGGCACGCGTACGTCACAAAGCTTTATGCGCTACGTCACGATGAAAGCATGTACCAAATTACTACGGGTAACCCAAATTCTCATGTTTATCTGTTGCTACGGTAAATTTGTGAAGTTTTAAACAATTTCACCTTTTCCTCGAATGGATCATCCCATACGGGGGTACGTACTACTAGAAACTATTGGGTCATAGGGGGTACACACATCAGCACACATACCATCATACACGATCCCGCATGTTATGTGTGTATTAACACCCCCTGCCGCAAACCAGAAAAACACGTAATTACGTGCCGGTTTGCGGTCACCCCATGCAACTAGCCATGCGGTGGCACAATCAAAATATCTGCGATAGGAGACAGACCACAGCCATCATACTTCCACAAAAACATCAAATTTCACCTCCAATCGGACAAATATCGGACAAATAGAGCTACAATATTGATCTAGTCATGCCCCGATCTCTTAACTTAAAAGTTAGCACCTGCTGGAATTTTCATCGGCGACTGGTGCCGTAGATTTCCGACATCGCTGACGGATACTCCGTACCGATAGGAGCACCTGCTACGGACATTTTCGGCAAAGCAGAACTTACCGTGGAATCCACGGTAGGTTTCAATGATTATTATCGAGTCATATTCATTTTATTTTTGAAACAAATACCCCTGGCCGCAAACCGGGCGATGCCGCAAACCGGAGACTCTACTCTAGATCTACTGTCTACTTTCCGCCTTCCGAGGATTTATCGCTCATAACATGAAAAGTCTCTGTACAAAGTCACTGTGAAATGCATTGAGAAAATCATAGAGGAATCTGTTTTTTTCCGCAATGCCAATGGCAATGCCGCGAATCGGAAATAAGAATCGTCTGCGAAAATGCTGATGATCTTTATTTTTTGTGGACCCGTCTGTCCGCGTTTACGAAGACGATCCTTATTCTTGGACCACCGCCCCTACTGAAGCCGGAACATGCCCTTTTGGTGTTTTGCCAAGATAAGGCCAATGCCAATCATGCCAATGGCAAGGGCAAGGCAAAGATTTGGCTTCAGCAGTTCTAGACCTATGTACAGCTTAAAGATAAACTTGAGTTCTGGTAATGCGATTGCATTGTGAAAGAAAAGGTGTGGAATGGATCAGAAAAGTTGATCATATAGCATGCAACAGCCTTCTTTATGGCCTTCCGGAGTCGCACATTGCAAAACTCCAGAGAATCCAAAACTCTGCTGCCAGGCTTGTAACACGCACACGTTCTTGTGAACACATCACCCCAGTACTTCGCGAATTGCATTGGTTGCCGGTGACGTACCGCATTATGTACAAATTAACTTATAAATGCATTCATGAATTGGCACCAATTTATCTGCAAGAATTAATCGAGGAATACAAACCCTCACGCAATTTACGGTCATCTTCACAATTAAACCTCGTATCTACTTCTGTGTCAACTCTCTCTTATGGTAATCGCTCCTTTCGCAAAGCTTCTGCTGAACTTTGGAACAAATTACCTTTAAATGTAAAAAACTGTCAAACCGTTAACCTATTCAAAACTAGTCTCAAGACACATTTATTCAAAATTGCGTTCGATGATTAATTATCTCTGTTCACTTTGATGTGTATTCCATATGTATTGTTATTTGTAGGTTTATTTGCATTTTTAGTTTTGTATAGGGGCAATTCCACAATTGGTAACGTTACATTTAAGCAAATTTTCATATTTCATTTTACTACTACATCACCATCTATTCATTTCAAGTCACAATCATGTTACAATATGTTCACCCACCCTAGGTCTATAATATAAAAAAGAATGAATACAATTGAACAAATATTAGAGTCGCCATGGTAACTTTTAATGTTGGTTGGTAACGTTACAAAAAAAGGACATGCGAAAAAAATCAGTGTCTTCAGACCAAAAGTTTCCTAAAACGCGAGATACCTCAAACAAAGTGTCGTATTCATTTCAATTCTAGTGTCATGATAAATATTTCAGCCAATAATTTTAGCAGCTTGACTCTTCAATTTTTTATTAGACCCAAAATTCATGGTTGGTAACGTTACCGGTTGGTAACGTTACAGTTTGTCCATGCAGAAATAAGCGTTGTAAAAAGCAAGTGTTAAACCTACTCCTTCCTTAAAATCAAAAGATACACTTTGCAATTACATATAAATTAACATAGTTATCAATGTAACTGTTATTTATAACTCCAACTCACAATTTGAAACAATCCAAACATATTTACAACACTTTTTATCCAAATGTTACATTCTGAAGTTCACCATTTGTCGTGGGATTATGCATGTCAACATACATAATAACTTGATTTCACAAAGTAACTATTTTATTGAGAGAATTTTAACAGAGTTCATGACATCATGACAGAGACATTGAGCAGATATTCAGTCCATAACACAATAGAATGATAATGTGTTGTTTTGTTCCATAATCCAATGCATGTATTTTATGTACAAATGTACTTGATACCATACAAATCTAAAATTTGAAAAGCCCACGGTTATTAACAACTTCTTTAACGAATGTATTTGCCGTCGATTTAGACCTGTACTCCTTCCTTAAAATCAAAAGATACACTTTGGAATTGCATGTAAATTAACATGGTTATCAATGTAAGTGTTATTTATAACTCTTACCCAGACACAACTTGAAACAATCCAAACATATTTACAACACTTTTTATCCAAATGTTAGATTCTGAAGTTCACCATTTGCCATGGGATTATGCATGTCAACATACATGATAACTTGGTTTCACAAAGTAACTATTTTTGTTGAGATAAGTTTAACAGAGTTCAGAATAAAAATGTGCGGTTGTATTCCATAACCCAATGCATGTATTTGATGTAGGGCCTACTTGATACCATACAAATCTAAAATTTGAAATGCCCACGGTTGTTAACAACTTCTGGAGGAGCCAATTTTGTAATCATCTTGCTCTCCATGTAGAAAATGGCATCCTTTTTTGTAGGCCATTTCCAGTACTTTCCCACTGGCTCCATCACTGACACCTGAAACTCACCCTTGCGTGTGAACCCAACAACTTCACCAGGAAATTTCTTTCCTTCGTACTCGACCACATACCAATCTCCCACTACAATGGCCTTACTACCACTTTGGGTAACCACTACATCATCCTTGTCTGCCCTATTGTCTTTTGTGAGAATGTGGGATACCACTTCATCCTTTACGACCTTCAGGAAATGCATCTTTCCGATGCCAGTGATTGGCTTGGCCTGAATGAAAACATCTTTCAATTTGAGCTTCTCATTCCGCTTAGCAATTTCTGTTGACTTGACCTCTGTGACGCATACATTCTCCATGAAGCTTGCTGCTAGAACAAAGCTGCTTGCATCTGCTACAATGTCTTGGCGGCTCAGAACTCTTTGCATCACAAAGCGCTTGGCTGACCCTCCAATCCCATCAACGGGGCCTTTTCCATGGGAGGTCGAAAAGAAGTTCCACTTGATTTGAATCTTGTGAGCCTCTTGAAGTGTGCAGAGTGCTGCTGCCACAAACCGATTTTTGAATTGCGAAGCTGGGCCATCTGACCAGATAGAAATAGATGTTACCGTATCTGGTAGATATCCTAGCAGCACATCAAGGTAGGCTATGATGGTTTCCTTGGAGTGTGTGAGGTCATCAGATGCCAGGATATGAGAATGTAGAGATCCAGAGTACCAGAGTGCTGCAGTGAAGAGGGATACTTGACGTTGATTCCAATGTGCGCTCTGGACTTCATCTTGAGCAACGCATGTAAAATTTTCAGAGAAATCCACCTGGAGGAGGGCACTGTGGGTGTCATGTGATTCAGGAGAAACTTTTTCCCTCTGAGCATTGTATGCTGATGCTTGCTCACGCTTTACATAGCAGTGCTGCAGGAACTGAGGTAAGATGGCAGTGATGTGCTGTACTAGCTCTCCTACAGTTCCCTCCTCTTGAATCTTCATCATCCGTCCATCTTTATCCGTCTCCCACTGAAGCCATGAGCAAGGGCAGTTAAGGGATCCCTCAAAAGAGAAGGCTTTGCTAAATCCTGCTCCATCTTTGCATTCTGCACATTCATTCATCCAGCACTCTCTTGATGGTTGCTTGCAAAGGAGCAAAGCTGGGAGATCACGGGTGTAAGCAGGGAATTCTGGTTGAGCCTTGTGAAGTGCAGTAAAAGCATTAATGGCATTCTCGTGGTACCTGCAGAGACAG